TTTTAGACTACTTCTCTTTTTTGTTTCTTTAATCTAACTTAATCTATTCGGATCGAAACTAATATCTGTAATAAAAAAATAGCAGGTATTTTAATCTAACTAGAACTAACAGAATAATACTATATAGTTGCTATTTAGTTAAAAAAATTCTCGGGTATAGAACTTAACTGGAATATTCTGAATTAAGAACTTTTTGCTATTATCTATTTTTTTAAATATTAATATTAATATCTTGATGGGACTTAGTATTTTATTAAAGTTCTATTTAACTATACAAATCTTAGATTATTTATAAATTAATCCCGGCTTAATAGATGTTAAGCACGTTAATATATGATTTTAGTTTTTTTTAACTTTATAATTAAATACTGATTAGATAAAAGTAATCTTATTAATATTCTATCTAAATTATTCGAGCCAGTAAAGAGCTTTTATAATAATAATATTATATAGATATTATATAACCGGTTAGTATCTATTTTAGTAGTATTTAAAATCTCAGCAGTAACTAAGATTAGAAAATCTTAGTTTAAATATAGTAAGACGTCTTTATAGAAGAGACCTGGATTTAGTATTTATATAGTATTAAGCAGATCTACAGGTGCTGCCGGTACAGAACTAGCTAACTAGACTGTGGTTTATATAATAAATTATAAATAATCTACTAGTATTACAGCTATAAAAAGTGCAAGTAAAACCGAAAAAATTTATAAATCTATTTATAATAATAATCTAAAAAATTTAATTAAAACTCTTCAGAATTAAGATTCTAAATTTCAGAAAAAGAAAAATAAACTATTTAAATATTAGGAAATTATAATAGATAGATTATTATATTTTAAAAATAAATTCTATATATTAAAGATAAAAGGTCTATATTAAGAGCTACTGCAGTAATACTATAATAATCTATTAATAAATTACTTTAGATAAAATAGAACTAAACAACTTTTCTGTAAAAAATTCTATTAGATTAGCCTCTAAAATAATATGGAAAACTATATAGTAATATATTCTATCTACTAATATTAAACTGCAGCTAGGCATTGACTATATAGAAAACTTAAAAGTCTACTAATTTTATTAAAATTATAGACTAAAATTACTATAGATTTTATTATAGAACTACCCGAACTATACTATTAGAATTATTAGATAGATTTAATATTAGTAATTATTAATTATTTTACAAAAATAAACTATTTTATAGCGGTATTATATATAATTCGAGCAGGAGAACTGGCCGAACTATTTTATCGAGAAATTAAACTGAAATATAGAGTCTTCTATAGTATAGTTATAAATAAAGACTCTGTATTTATAAGTTAATTTTAGTTTAATTTTTACTATTAAACTAAAATTAAAAAATAGTTATTAACTGTATTTTATCTGTAAACCGATAGTTAAATAAAAAAAACTAACCAAGTTCTCGAACATTATCTGTACTGCTTTATAACCGAGTATTAAAACTATTAAATAAATTTATTAAATAAGATAGAATTTATATATAATAGTTATTTAAATATCTTTATAAAAATAATTTTTTTTGAAGCTCTAATAGGTTACTCTTCTAAGTTTAGACTCCGGATTAAGAATAATCCTATAAAAGTAGAGGTGCTGTTAATATCAGAAAAACTAGAAAAGCTAAATATTTTATAAGAAAAATTAAAAAAAAACTGGTAAAAAATAAGTAAAAACTAATTGATTTATTATAATAATTATTATAATACTCTATTTTTTAAGCGAGATAATAAAACAATCTATACTTTTAAATAAAAAGATTTAGTCAAGCTATTTACTGTAAATATTAAATTTAAAAAAATTTCTTGAAAATTAGTCCCAAAATTTATAGAGCTTTTTAGAATTCTAAAAGCTGTAGAAAAATAAGTATTTTATTTATATCTTCTTGATAAATATACTCGGTTGTATAATATTTTTTATATTACTCTACTGGAATCTTAGAAAATTAGAAAAAATATTTCTGAAACTTTATTAATACCAGACCTAGATAATAATAAGAAGTAAAAGATAGAACAGATATTAGATAGCTTATACTATTAGAAGAATTAGTTTTATCTAGTAAAATAGTAGAAATAGTCTTTTAAATATAATTAATAGTTACCGGTAGAAAATTTAGTAAATATTTAGTAGAAAGTCTATAAATTTAATAATCGGATTATAGCTTTTTATTTTATAATATATAGATCGAGATTAACATGCAGTAAAAATAATAATAAAATAATTATAAAATATATACAACGCGCATATAATTTATAATAAAAAAATACGAGTTTATTATATTATATATCTGTTTTATTTACGTCTATATATATAAACTATAAAAAGAATAATATTAAGAAAAACCCAGATTATATGTATTCAGCAGGACTATTAAAACTAAAAAATAATTAAATAAAAATTATTAGTAAAAGGTATTGCCGTGTAAAAAATAAATATAAAATACTAATAAAACTATAAACCGCGGACGATACTAATAGAAAAGATATTCTTAATATTAGTAATATATTAGTTTTTATTACTATTTCCGTTGGTATAAAGATATATAATCTTATAGATTATATTATTCAGATAGAAAGCAGTTATATAGTATTAAAGCAGATAGCTAGTATTATTAGATAAAAAACAGAAATATTTATATAAGTTTTCGGTCTAGGCGGCGAGAGCACAATACTCCGCAATAAAACTATAATAAATAGTTAGATTTTTTTGTTAGAAAGTTAATATAATCTTTATAAATAGTTAATATTATTTATAATTATAGTTTTTTTAGTAGCAGCTGTTATGCCGTATTCAATACAGTAGATCTTTTTTATATTAAAAAATTAAGCAGCAAGATTAGCGGCTAAAAAACCGAAAAAAATATAAAAAGCAGGATTATACTTTTTTTCTATTTCCGCCGCCTAAAAAAAGCTTAACTAGTAAAAAATTAGTAATAAATTACTAATATTATCTAGTATTTCTGATACCGTCTGCTATATGTTTAGCTAGGGTTTAAAAATTTAAATAAAGAAAAACTTACCGAAATATAATTTATCTTCCGACTGATATACTGTTAATATTTTACTAATAAAATTATATTAAAAATATACCCGGGCTTAAACTTTTTACTAGAACTATATTTATAGTTCTTTATACTAGTCCAAAAATATTTTAGATAAAAAAAAATACTAAAAAAAAATAAAGTTTTAGTTAAGAAACAATAATTTGCCGCGAAAGGTATAATATTACGGTATAAATATTACAGTTATTTATTAGTATCTTAGCAATACTAAGAAAAACGTAAAATATAGATGCTGTATATATATATTAGAATAAACAAATAAATACAGAAACAGCAGAAAAATACGAATTTTTTAATACAAAACAAATAATACTGATAATATCGAGAATGTTGAAAAAGATATATAAAAGTATATTTATATTATTAATATTATTATTAAAGAACCACAGTATTTCTAAAGCGGAATAGTATTATTTATAATATATATTCCAAACGGGACTAGCCTGTGACTTTCTATTATTTATTATTATACTTTCGAAAATAGTTAGCTCCCGCGCCGAAGCAGTAGTACTATACTACTATTATACTGCTAAAAACAGCTGCATACAAGAAAAAGCCTAATTATTATAGATAACTCCTGTAACTATAGCGGATTATTAACGATTTATCTATATATTCTCCGTGTAATAGTTATAATATTAATAACTTAAACCTTCTTTAGTATTTAACTTCTAGGACCTTGCTAAACCTTTAGGATAGCAAGGATTAGTCTTGAAATCAATAGACTGCTACTATTCTATACCTAACTGACCTTTTCCCTTTACAGCTTGCTTGTAGATTTATTTATAAAACTGTTAGTAGGCTTGCCTGTAGAACTGATAGTAGGCTTACTTATAAACTTACTTATAAAACTAGTAATAAACTTATTTATAAAACTGTTGGTAGACTTATTTATAGAATTATTAGCAGACTTATTTACAGACTTATTTATAAAACTATTAACAAACTTGCTTATAAAACTGATGGCAGATTTGCTTATAGGCTTATTTACAGACCTGGTAATAAACTTATTTATAAAATTATTAATAAATTTATTTATAGAACTGTTAGCAGACTTGTTTATAGACTTATTTATAAAATTATTAGCAGACTTGCTTACAGAGCTAGTAATAGACTCGCTAATAAAACTATTAATAAACTTATTAATAAAATTATTAGCAGACTTATTAGTAGAATAGTTAGCAGATTTACTAGTGAAATTATTAACAGATTTATTAGTAGAATTAATAACAGACTTGTAAGCTTACTTATATAGCAGACTTATTTATAAAACTAGTAATAGATTTATTTATAAAACTAGTAGTAAGCTGAACTAGTAGCTAAAAAATAAAGCTAAACAAGTTTAAATAGCTTTATATATATATATATATATACGCTTGCTTAAAAATAAAATAATTCTGCCGGCAGAACAACTAGCAAAAACCCATTTGCCCGATGGCCGCAATCGTCCGCCGTACTAGGTAGCTAGGCAGCCGGGCGGGCGGTGAGCTGGCACCTCAGGCACCAAGGCTGTATACCTAGTATACCTAGTAGTTCTCCGATAGCCTCACGTAGAGGAATCAACAAGCCTTCTCCACCTCCCAGAGGCCTCATCAGAACCCCCTACCTTCTCTGTCCTGCATCTTTGCTCTTCTTCACTTATTCTCGGCTGTCCGACCATAATTCCATCTCACCTGTTTGTTCATTGATTCCCCCCCATACGTGGGTAGAGAACGATCATCCTCGACACGGTCTCGTGATCCGCGTCCCTCTTCATCGCGCGTACAAAGTGCGGTTGATCCTGGTCGTCCACGCGTTCCTCCGTCAACTTGTCCACATCTATCTGGAGGACCTCTGAGCACTCGCGCAGGACAGAAGGTGATCCTCCATGGCAGAAATGGCATCATGTTGGAGTGATCCCGACACGGAGGATGAGATGATGGGCCTGCGATCCAGTCTACTGAATGTTTTAGATGCCATTGAAACACCCGCGGCTTTTGCATCCTCTGAAGAAATTGGCTTTGTCGATCCAGGGGTGTTTGTCCACGGTATGGGTTCAATCTACCTCCCCTTGGAGGAATCACAAGCGCGACAAATGATCGAGCAGGCGCATCAGGCCCCCTATGGCAAGGGAAGCGAAACGATCATTGATACCTCCGTGCGCAACACCTGGGAATTAAACTCGGATCAATTCGAACTGCGAAGACCGAACTGGAACACCGTCCTCGTGCGAGTGGTTGCCGATGTCGCGCGGGAGCTGGACCTTGACTCGACCGTTCATGCCGAGTTGTATAAGATGTTGATCTATAAGGAGGGAGCCATGTTCAAGCCGCACACCGAGTAAGTCACATGCTGGCTCAAATGTCCAACCAGCTATGTCTCTAACAAACAATCTCCGGAGTGAAGTACAGAGAAGGCGCCTGGGATGGTTGCGACCCTGGTCATTGGTCTCCCCTCTGCTCACGAGGGAGGCAAGGTGGTCGTGAAGCATCGCGGACAGCAGAAGACCTTCAAGTTGTCCAACACTCAATGCTCCTATGCAAGCTGATACTCAGACGTCGTGCATGAAGTGCTTCCGGTCACCTCCGGGTATCGGTGGGTGCTCACCTACAATCTTGCCCTGTATGCTTCGCAACCGCGTCCCGCGGGAGGTCTCCAACCACCAGACACCTCGCATCTTTACAAGACCCTCAAGCTCTGGGTGGAGCAGGATGCAAGCCTCGGCCCTACAAGCCACTTCTGGTACCAGCTCGACCACGAATACACGGAAGCCAGCATTTCCCTCAGGGCCATGAAGACGCGAGACCTGGCCTGCGTTCAGGCGCTATACGAAATCTCCACCATGCTGCCCGTGGATATCTTCCTCGCCGTTCTAGAAAAGACAGAGCACGGGAGCTGTGATTATGATGATGACGATCGCTGGCACCCGTACAAGGTAATGTATATAGAAGGCTTTCATCCCCTGGTGGATGTTACGAGCACCACGTTGAGGTCAAATCGCTGGTCGACCTTAATGGGAAAAAGGTTCTTCGGGGAAGGACGCTAGACACCAAAAGTATTTCTCCAGGCAGATTGTTTCGAAGATGTCTCCCCGGAAGAATCCTACCGAGGCTATCTAGGAAACGAGGTACGCCGACCGGGTTCCTCCCATCTCTTTACCACTGGCGTCGCTGATAGTATCTCGAATAGGGGCCGGATGTGACGCATTGGTACCGAGTGACGGTAAAACCTCCTCTCACCATATAGACACGATGTACTATGCTGATCTTTGCAATAGGCAGTGGCAGTGGTAGCTTGACGTTCGACCGTGTTGTTCCTTCTAGGTGGTCTGCCGAAGAAGTGATGATGATGACGATAGTTCCATTAACCTAAGCCTATTTTTGCATAGGAGCCCGCATTTCGAGTATGCAAGCTATGAAGTTGTCTTATCAGCGTTAAGCCATTCTCTAATATTCTAATATGATTCTAGTTCTAATCCATAAATTAAATTGAATTAAATTTTTTTGTACTTCTTCGGATCCAGGCTTTTTCAGGGGTCTAATCCGTATTTTGTTTAGAATACTAGTACTCAAAACAGTTATTTTTAATCTAAAAGTCCGATACAGAATTAATAGATATAGGTCTATATCCAAAGCTAAATTAGACTGATTCAACTATATAATATATATTATAAACCTTTCAGTAGACTGCTTTTTCCGCCTGCTATTTTTAGTAGACTTATTTTATTCTAGGTCAATCGAAATAGATATCTTTAAATAGAATATATAGCTGCAATATGATTCGAATCTAAAGCCTCCAAGATTTAGTAAGAGCCCTAATTCTTACTGTCACCCGAAGCCTAGCCGACGACGTTCTACCACTACGCCATCTGCGGCCAGGTCTGCAGGAGAAGCTGAACAGTGGCCGCAGCATGTTGTACATGAAGGATGAGGATAACATCGAGTCAACTATCAAGTACTATGCTAGAGTTGTGTTAACCCCGGATGCTGACCCGCTGTGGATCAAGACGCTCAAGGAGCTCGTGTTTGGGCTGTGGAGAAGGAGCGAAGAGAATCCAAGGCCGTCGTACCCCAGCGGTCGAATCTTCGCCGACGAGACAATGATCGAGATCCTCAAGGCCGCCTTCGGAACCGAGGATTCAGCGTTCTTTGAAGAAGCCGCCCGGTTTCACAAGGGCAAGCTGTCAATGGACTTCTTCGCTTGGGCTTAGGAGCAATTCGCCTGTGAAGGAAGTTCCTTGGCTAAAGTGCAAGACGGATATGACTTCGGTCTGCTTCGGGTCGGTCTCATCTAGCAACTATAGATTGCATTCTACGGTCCTCGCCTACCCATACTTCAAGCAGAGACATACAGCAGTAGCGCGCTTGGTTCTCCAGAATCAATCCATTTCCGACAAACTTCGGAACTGGGCGCACAGTGTTCATAATCAAATACTAAAAAATAATGCCGCAGCTGGAGCTCAATCAGCAAGACGGTCATGCTGTAGTAGGTATAGCCATAATGTATTGCAATTTTTTCTACCTTTTAACGTGGTACGTCTTCTTATCTCGCTCCTTAGCTTGGTGCTGACTTGACACAAGCATTGCTCCCTTAGTCAAGGGCACCGATAGGGTCCTATTCTTTGCCCTCGGCTTCCTCTCCCAACTCGATCAGCAATTGGAAGTCGGCACGTTTCCCAAGGAAGAAGAATCCAAGCTTTACAGAGATATTGCCTGCGGGCTGCTCAGTCGACTGGACGTCTCCACCTTTAACGTTCATGAAAAGTAGACCCATCTGATACGCTAGCTTACTATCGACGACTCCGAGATCTCCAAAATAACAAGGATGTGGGACTCGACCAAAAGACTGGCCCAGTCACGCCGGAAGAGACACTGGCATTTGTCCAGTCACTGGTTCGTCACAGTCTTGACAATGATCTGATCCAGACCTTCTGGCAAAGATTCGTCACCGGAGCCCCCAGCATAAGCTCATCCACATTCCACTACCTCTGGCTTCATTTCTGCACTCCTTCCTGCCATTCTACCAACAGAACCCTGCTCACCCATCCGTCGCAGGCTTCAGCCAGACGCTTGCGGCGATTTTCTACGCCTACATCGGCAACTACCTCGGCCTGAAGCCCAGCTCGGCCACCAGCAATATCGTCTGTCCCACGATACAATCCTGTTGCGGCAACTGCTACGATGTCAACAGGTTCCCCCGCGACCCCGTCAGCCGGGTATGGGTACAGCCCATGAGCAAAAAGCGTCGCGCGCATATCCATCAGAAGCTCGACCAGGCGCGCGTGGACTGCATTCATGAAACGGACCATTCTCGCTGGACCAACCCCAAGTTGGTGGTGACCAAGACCTTTGCCCAGGTGGGGGATTCCCAGCTCGCGTGGCAGCAGAGGAAACTCGAGGCCAGTAAGCAGATCCAGAGCTTTGATCAGGTGCGTCTCACAGTCCTGCTTCTAGATGACTACGAGAATATCGTGCGCATGCGCGCGCTGGATGTCCCGTCTGAGCAGCCTGTGGCATCGAGATCTGAGTCTACCCCTACATCGCTGAGCCAGCAGTATCAGCCGGGCTTTCACAACTTTCCGCCCGCACCCAACGTGCCATCGCTAGCTGGGATGAAGAGGACAGCGGAGGAGGCGGACTTCGTAGATCTGACGTTGGATGATTGAGCACGTCGTCAATTGAGTGCATTTGTAATTTCTTCGGCGGCTGGGATCTGTGGCGCGATCAGGGTCTTGTTGGCTGGAACCTCCGAGTAATTTGCTTGGTTCGATTTACAGAGACACATAATCTGTGAAGGCTTGAGAGCGATTTGATCTGAAGGTGACTACAATGCCCCGTCTGTTCTTCGGCAGACTTCTCACTGGACATTGACGCTGGTCCCGGTACGCAAGCAGAGTAGCTCATGATTAGATTGATTTGAGTGAAACGTCAGAACAACGGGAACTGGCTGGGGCTACTTTGCAGACAATCGAGATCCTTGAAATTCACTACCCGTGTATGAATACTCTGATGAAGGATGTTATCATTCCGCGGTTCTACATCGCCGCGGGACTTGCATTCACACATCTACAGTGAATCAAAGAAATCAGAATAGCGAAAATTTGATGAAGGGCTATATACATTCACACATAGACCCGGAAGTACAGTTCTTCCAGAGGACCTTCCGAACATAAGGCGAAAGAGCTTTGATTTCACACAGCCTGGAACATGCCACACCTACACGTTCGTCCACAAAGCATCCACCATGAAGCATCTTACCCTTCTCCTCGTGGCGACCACTGCCTACGCTTCCTGCATCAGCGACACCTTCCTATTCCCTCGCGCTGCCGGTGATCAAGCCGCCATCAACCTCTTCAACTACACCGAGCTGGGGGGACCGTTCACGTGGCACCATATAAACAAGGCCAACGCTGCCTGCCCTCAAGGGAAGCATCAATCCCCGATCGACGTCCTCAGCGAGGAGGTTGACTATGTCGCATCCAGCAGCCTTGCACTCGATATCACCGCCGCCGATGAAGCCAAGATTTCGAACCTAGGCTCAAGTCTAGAGGTAGCACTAGCGCAGGGCACTCTCACTGTCAGCGAGAACCACCAGTACCAGCTGGCCCAGTTTCACTTCCACACCCCGAGCGAGCATCGCGTGGACCAAGAGTACTTTCCGCTGGAGGTGCACTTCGTCTTCAAGGATTATGGTAAGCTACATCCCAGCCCAAATCCCCGACATCGAGTCTCTCCGAGCCAAGCCTCACATCACTAGGAACCAGCATAGCAGTGGTAGCCTTCCTCTTCCAACTCTCCTCGACTGGCGAAGCCGTTCACCCCTTCGATTCCATCTTCAACCATCTCGATGACGTCGACAGGCCCAGAACATCCACAGAGACCGGATATCTCGACTTCAAATACTTGACCGCGCATCTCGAGATCCACGATATCTACCGATACATCGGCTCCCTCACGACGCCTCCGTGTACCGAGGGTGTGGCCTGGTACATCAGCGCTGAGCCGCTGCCGTTGGATGTGGTGAGCCTCAACAAGACCAAGCGGATTTTGAAGTTCAATGCTCGCCTTACTCAGAACGCCCTTGGTCAGGAGAATCTGCTGAAGGTGGCTGTTCAGGCGGTGGATTAGAATTGTCGGAAGTCTGCAGCTAGAAGAAACGGCGAATTGTGGATCATGGGAAATATTCTGGCGAGAAATGGGTTGTGCGCTTTGACTAGCCCATCGAAGATGTTGTAATCGTACACTCAGAAAACAAACAAATCACATACTGACTTGTGCTTCTGGGCTGTTGACATGGGCACTAGGATAGGAGGTGCAGTTCGGACTGTTATATCATCTCCGCAATGGGATCTCCTTCACGTGGATGTTACGTTATATAAGAGAATAGCTTCCAACCATCAAGAAGCATCTATTGGGTCACAGGGAGTGTCGCCTGGAAGGGCATGATTCTTCAATTTAGCATTAGAAGTGCGATGCTCCAGACTGACCAAGCATGTGCAGTTGTCTCACCAGTGCGATAGAGGTGACACAGCCTCGAATACCCCGGGTGTATCATATGCCATTCATGCCTCGAAGAATAAGCCGGGCACAGTAGCATTAGGCGATCGGTCTGTCTCCAGATATCGGATTTCTGCACACGACGTACCATATATCACCTTTTCCCCAACTACGCAACGTGCTACGCATTAGAGTCGATACTCAAGCCCGCCGGTTCTTCACAGAGGCCCACAGAGCTGACCTCCCGCGTTGTCGTCATGCTCTCGCTCAGAGCCCACCTAACCATTCTACTGCTCGCCGTTGCAGGATATTACGGAGCGGAAACCAAACCACATAAGCTGACAGAGGGGGTCTTTGGGGTCGATGCTAGCTTTGACTATGTCGTTGTTGGCGCCGGGACGTCCGGCTTCACACTGGCAGCCCGACTCGCGGAGCAGAAGCTGAGCGTGGCTCTCGTCGAAGCCGGCGACTTCTATGAGGCGGTTTGGCCTTTGGCGAAGATTCCAGGGGCAGTGATTGTCGGCCTGGGCTCGAGTCCGACTGCCACCACTCCAATTGACTGGAATTTCATCACGGCCCCGGTCCCGGGCGCGAACTACCGCCAGGTACATTATGGCCGACACAAGACGTTTGGGGGTTGGTAAGAAGGCACTCCTCGCCCGACTGTGTGTTTGAAAAGTATGTGACCACGACACTGACTCCGTCTAGCTCAGTATGCAACGTGATGATATACCAGAGGTTTCGAGCCACAGAGTGCCCATGTCATTGAGCCATGGATTGCTAAACGATCGCAGACCCGATAACGGCTCCATGCAACGGTGGGCCGACCTCGTCGAGGATCAGAGCTACACGTTCGATCAGGTCCTCCCTTTCTACCAACGAACGACCACCTTCTACCCTCCTCAGAACGAGCTTCGCCCCCCCAACGCCTCCGTGCAATATAACCCGGCCGCATACTCTCCGGCCGGGGGGCCCCTCCAAGTATCCTACCCAATCGACAGTATCCCATTCTCCAGCTGGATGGTTGGCGGAATGCAAGCAATTGGCATCAACGAGACACAAGACTTCAGCAGTGGGCATTTACTAGGTGCGCAATGGTGCCCCTTCACCGTCCGCCCATCGGACCGAACACGGAGCAGTTCGGAAGCTGCTTTCATGGGCGCCGCAGCGAACAGCGACCGTCTGGTGACGCTCACTCTCTACAAAACCACGATGGGGAAGCGGATCCTGTTCGACTCTGACAGGAAGGCGACCGGGGTGGAAGTCCGCACCGAGACATCAACGTACACCCTGCACGCCAATCGGGAGGTGATCGTCTCGGCGGGGGCCTTCCAGAGCCCGCAGTTGTTGATGGTCTCCGGCATCGGGCCCTCAGAAGCCCTAAGTCAATACAACATCCCGCAGGTCGTCGATCTCCCCGGAGTCGGTCAGAACATGTGGGATCACCTGCTCTTTGGTCCGTCATACCGGGTCCGACTCATCACCGGCACGAATATCGCCAACAACTACGCCTTTGCGGCCGAGCAACTCGCCCTGTATTTCTCCGTGCGGCGGGGTCTCTTCACCAACCCATCGGCCGATTACCTGGCCTGGGAGAAGATCCCAGATCCCCTGCGCCAGCGCTTCTCCGCTGATACGTTGCGTAACCTGTCATGGTTCCCACCCAGCTGGCCGGAAGCAGAGGTGCGTCTTCCCATCGATACCCGTAGCCCCCCCCCCCCGCTGCCTTCCATCACCAACTGACTCTCTCCCCCCTCTCCTTGCCCCGAGAGGACAGTATATCTCCTTCCACATCTTCCTCGGCGACCTGGCGAACCCGCTGTTCGACCAACCCAAAGACGGCTTCATGTACGCGTCGATGATCGGGTCGCTGGTGGCGCCCAGCTCGCGCGGGACGGTGACGCTGGCGTCGAACGACACGGACACCCTACCGATCGTGCAGCCGAACTGGCTGTCGACGGAGGCGGACGCGCAGACGGTGGTGGCCATGTACCGGCGGATGCGGGAGGCGTGGCACAGCGCGGCGATGGCGCCCATCGTGATCGGGGAGGAGTACTTCCCGGGGCCGAAAGTGCAGACGGACGCGGAGATCCTGGCGGTCATCCGGCAGACGGTCATGACCATCTACCACGCGGCGTGCACGTGCAAGATGGGAACCCGGAACGACAGCATGGCGGTGGTGGATCATCGGGCCCGCGTGTTTGGGGTGAGTGGGTTGCGGGTCGTGGATGCGAGTGCGTTCGCTATCTTGCCGCCGGGGCATCCGCAGGCCACGTGTTGTGAGTTTTGTCTCTTTCGCTACACCAGTGGTTGCCTTTCGATTGTCTAAGGGGTGAATCGAAGGTGTAAGGTGGTTGTGGATCGAAGCTGATAAGTGGGTAGATATGTTGGCGGAAAAGATCGCGGCGGATATCCTGCATGGTCCTGGAAATGGGGACGGGAATGGGGACGACGGCGACGACGATGGGGACCATGGGGACAATGGGGACAACGGAGGAAATGGGGGAAATGGGGGTGGATGATGCTCTCCCGTAGATTACTGGGTTAAAATCTGTGTTATGGTCATGGCGAATGTTTCGGATGACGGGTGTTGGCGGGAGAGACTTTTGACACCAAGGCAGCGAGGAAATGAAGCTATTCAACTTATTGGATCTCGTTAATGAGATTGAAGTAAGTTAAGTTACTGTACAGTACCGGCAGTATGTACGCCGAGAGAAGGATCGCGGGGAGATAAGGTCACGTGCTCTTATCGACCTATCGCCTAATCACGTGTCAGTCGCGATCGATCCACCCGCGCTGCTTAACTTATCTCCATCCCGCCGTAATCGGTCTCGTCACAACACACGGATCATCCATCCATCCATCCATCCATCTATCCATCCATCAGGAACGAAAAGCATGGCAACAAACACTATCGTGATCGTTGGGTGCGCTGCTCGGCCCATACTGGAAGCTCTTTGCTGATGATGCCATCTCAGGGCAGGCGTCTCCGGACTCACCACCGCCTTTCTGCTATCGCAAGACCCGACCAACTCCATCACGGTGGTCGCTAAACACATGCCCGGGGACTATGACATCGAATACGCGTCTCCCTGGGCCGGTGCCAACTACTCGCCGTACGAATCCCCCTCTCGTGGTTCTACTACACTACTGACACATTATAGAATGGGCGCAGCTGGTAGCAACCAAGCCAGATGGGAACGAGAAACCTGGCAACCGCTGCGGGAGATAACGGAGAAGTACCCAGAAGCCGGCATCCACTTTCAAGGTATCTTCACCCACCCTCTCCACCCGCCAGTGGCGCTCCAGACCTAAGTATAACCCAGACAATGTGATCTACAACCGCATCAAAGATCAAGAGACAGCGACCGGCAAGAACTTCGCTGCCCTAATGAACGCAGAGCCGTGGTACCGCGACGTCGTTCCCAACGTGTGTATTTGACCCCCAACCCCCCCCCTCCCTTCTTCCACTCCATTCCACTAAGCCACAGCACAGTTTCGATCCATGCCCAAAGACCAGCTTCCTCCTGGCATTGACAGCGCCCAGACCTTCACTTCCGTCTGCATCAACACCGCAATTTACCTCCCGTGGCTCCTGGGCCAGTGTCGCAAAAACGGAGCCATATTCAAGCGCGCAGTCTTCAAGCACATCACCGACGCAGCACACGCCCACCACTCCGGACGCCAAGCAGACATCGTGGTAAACTGCACCGGTCTTTCCTCGCAGACCCTCGGGGGCGTGCGCGATGAGACGCTCTACCCGGGTCGCGGACAGATCGTCGTCGTCCGCAACACGCCCGGGAGGATGGCCGCCCTGTCCGGAACAGACGACGGGGAAGAGGAATTGTGTTACATGATGACGCGCGCCGCCGGGGGCGGCACGATTCTGGGGGGCTGCTACCAGCAGAACCAGTGGGATCCGCTGCCGGATCCCAATCTCGCGGTACGGATCATGCGGCGCGCGATTGCGGCGTGTCCCGAGCTCGTGGCTGAAGGGCAGGGCATTGAGGGGCTGGACATTATCCGGCATGGGGTGGGGTTGCGACCTATACGAAAAGATGGACCACGAGTGGAGCAGGAGTCAATAGGAGGGGTGGCGGTGGTGCATAATTATGGGCATGGCGGGTTTGGATATCAGGCTTCGTTTGGATGTGCGGCGGAGGCTGTGCAGTTGGTCCAGGACAGTCTGCGGCGGAGGGCGCAGGCGAAGTTGTAGTTGTGCTTTACGCCTATTTGATGCGGCGATAGAAGTGTCTCGTATCGACACATCCCGGGCCCACCCGCTAAGCGATATCAGTACTAGTATGATCTGTTGCTTGTGCCCAGCCAGGCTGAGATTCCTGGGTATACGACTTCCTTGCCTATCATTTATCGTCCAGATAAGATGCCCCCGAGTCCACATCATGGGCTTCTACAAATTCTCCCATCTCCCAGCAGAGCTGCGAACACAAATCTGGGAGGACAGTCTTCCGCAGAAACTTGGCCGTCCCATTTATCGCTGGAAAGAGGGGTGTTGGCAGTTGAGCCCCTGCGACCCAACCACCGGGGCTGGACAGCCTACGCTCGAGTTCCGCCACACGCTTTTGCAGAGCGTACGGATGGACCTCCCACAGGTCTTTGTGAATCGGGAGGCGCGGGCCATTGCCTTGAGATGGCTCCAGCGCCAAGGAGCAACGATCGCAGTCCATCCAGCGCAGCAACCCTTGACGGTAGCACGGGTGATTGACCCCATGCACGACGCGCTGTACATCTCCTCAGGCGCATCAGACGATTACCTGCATTTCATCCTCGAGCCGTTTGAGCGACTGGAGGAGCTGGAAGGACAATCCGTCACCACCATACCGTCGGCCGTCCGACAGATCGCGCTGGCCAGAGAGCTCTTCGTCAACTCTGCCGGCCTATTCCACGACATTTTCCGCCATTTCCAGCACATCCAAACAGTCTACGTGATCGAAGACGTACCGCCGGATCTGGAACAGCCGATGGAGGATACGCTTCAGGACTGGTGGGAACTCGAACGTACCGCTGGCGTACGCATTTCGTGGGACTTCACTCGGGACCGGTTCACGCGACCCCTGAGTGATGCAGCCGACGACCAACGACTGTGGGCACTGCTCAACCGGGCCAGCGTAGGGCTACGCCGGCAGTTCCCACCGGAATTGCAGGCTGTTTTTGAGGTGTATCCCGTTGTCGCTGTGCGGAGAGGAGCACAAACACCCAGATTAGACCAATGAAGTACTGTAACATCAGCTGTCACGCAACACCATTCCACGTACGAACCATTCAACTAGACGACTAGACTTAATATGTTCACACCAACCCAATACCCGATCGAACCATCTACTTAGCGAACAGCCTGAATCGCCGCCTCAACATCCATGAAGTCATCCGTCCGCCTGGCCGGCCGGCCCCAGCGCACGATCCCCTCGCCATCCACGGCCCAGAACCCCCCCGCCTGCCACCGACTGCCGCTCTGCGTCGGCCGGTTCCAGATCCCCTTCTCGCGGCCCAACTTGACGATATTCATCAGCGCGCTCGGGCTCATCACGTGACTCCAGGAGGCCACCCCCGAGCCCCAGCGCGCATACAGTCGCCGTTCGACATCGACGATCACCCGCACCGGAGTCGATCGAGACCCCGACCCAGGCGCTGCCGCCCCACCCACCGCCTCCAGCCACCGCGCCGTGGAGGGTGCATCGCTATGCGAGACCGCGACGAAGTCGAGCTGCGGGTGCTGGGCGGCTGCTAGGCGAAGGGTGCGGAAATCGGATTCCGCCACTGGTGATCTCGTCAGCGTGGTCGGAAGGAAGGGGAGGAGGCAGACGAACCTGGACATCCGCAGTGGCGGAGAAAGAGGATGATCGTGGGTTGGCGGTTGGGGTTGGGCAGGGGGAGCTCGGGCGATGAGGGGGCGGGGTGGCCGAGTTGCGGCGGGGCGGACACCTCTACGGTGGACGGAGCGAGCCAGGAGGAGAGCTCTTGGGTGATGGTCATGGTTGACTGTGTTGTGTGGATGCGATGATACTGCGGTTCGATGTTGCTATTACTTCGGTGATAAATGATTAACTGATGGAATGATTGATGGGTGAATGGTGAAGGGGTGAGTAAGCTATGATGCCATTGGTGGGGGGGGCGGGCACGCGGGCGGAATTCATCCGAGCCGAACTTCTTGCCCTATCCGTGATCTGTCACATCTTCTATTCCTGGCGGCAATGTTAGTTACAGGTGTATTTACACTGAGTATTGTGAGTCATCTGCCTGGCTAGCGGTAGAGAATGCGGGGTGCAGAAGGATTGGCACTAAAGCACTCAATCGTGGCCCGGGGCTGCATCCCCGGCCCGTGTTGAGAGGCTGACCTTATTTCCACTCTCCTTGGCGGGGCTGGCATCATACAAAAATCCACCGCCAACCAGGATAATCCAGGAGATCATGAGTGTGTTCACTACTAGGATAGCTCGGTCAATGCATCAGGGTTGAGTAGTGCAGACAACTGCTGTCATCGATAGCTGGCACGGCAGCGGGATAGTTGCTCAATAGTTCGGGACCAAAGCGAGGAAACGAGGCTGCAAATGATCCTACATGCCACAGATGTGCACTAGAGACCCTGGCTAAGGATTGCACTACCGGCTTTCTAGTCTGATTGGCCGGTGAAATAGGTCAATGCGCCGCTATCGATAACTCTAACTCCCCCCTCGTGAGACGGCCATCCACCCTTGCACCTCGGTGCTTAATTGAGATCATCGGCCCAAGACAGGCGTCAAAACGCTGCTTAACGTAACCGCTCTGCTCTCCACCAAACAGCTGCACTTCTCGTACTCTGCAACGACCGCCAATCCAGTCAACCCGGTCTTGGCACCAGGGGATCGACAGGACTCGCCAAATCGACTTCCTTGGCTGCAACCCTCAATGGCCAGGGACTCGTATTCGCAGATTAGCCGCTAGGAACAAGCAAACGCGATGCAGGGACCTCGTATCCTGGTGCTGGAGATATATTCTGGCACGACCAACAAGGCCAACGGCAGAGAACTATAAAGGCTGGGAACTCCGCCCCCTGCTGCTCCTGTCCCAATGTTCTTTGTCCACCCTGATTTGTCTTCACCTCCACTCGTTCAATCCGTGTATCCCTCTGTTGATCAACATGCGTCCCTCTTTGCTTGTACTTACCCCTCTCTTGGCCATGGCCACCGCGCACGGCCTCACTCAGCTGGAGGCTGCGCATCTTCTGAAGCGCCAGAGCAGCGGCAACGGCGCCTTCATCCCCGGTACAACAACCGTCTCCGACTGTCCGGATGGCTCAATCCTTTGTGGCACCAGCAACACCTGCTACTTCCCCTCGCGGGGTGACACCTGCTGTCCAGGCGGGACCTGTACGTGCCCAATATCAGCCTCCTCCGTTCCACTGTCAGCTAGCTAACCGACACCCATGCAGGGGCCTGCCCCGGCGACTCCTTCTGCCTTCAGGACCCCTACTGCTGTCCCACCGTACGTTCACCCATCCATCTTCCCATGCAAGACCATCGAGACTGACCAAGTGTAGGGCTTGGACCGCGAAACCTGCGCCCAGCAGTACGGCGTGACCCTGACTCCGACCGTGTCGAGTGCCGCGGACGTTCCCGACACCACCACTCAACCGACCTCCGCGCCCTCCGCTCCATCCTCTTCCTCCACGTCCGTCGATGAGACACGCAGCAGCAGCAGTAGCAGCAGCAGCTCGACCTCTGTCCCTGTCATCCCGACCACAACCTCGAGCACCTCCGCGGGCGCTCCGTCCTCCGTGCCGACCTCCACCCCTGCTGTGTCTTCCGCCGCCACCGCCACTGCCACTCCGTCGACTGGACTGTTCACTGGCGGTGCTGTACACGCCCGAGAGATGGCGGCCGGTGCACTTTTGCTAGGCGGAGTGGGGGTGATGGCAAATGTTCTGTGAATGAGCTTTACTCCGGAAGAAATGTGTGATATTGGCGCGGGTACTGTTATGGTAATATGGTGAGGACTTGACTAGTTGACAGTAGCGTCTTGGAACAACGATGAGGTTGATCACGTGTTTGCATGTCAAAACTATCTAGGATCGGATTTGGAATTTTTGTGTTGGTTGTAATCTAGACAAGTTATCCGACTGACTTGGTGGTCTGGACCCGATCGCAAGGGGATAGAAACCGACGGATGCAGCTCCCAAGTTAGGGCTCGCGGGGCCGCTGGATGGTAATCCTGGCAAGGACGAGCTACGCGGGACAATCGTTAAGAAGGATTTTCACAATTGCAACTGCCCTAGCTAGTAGCATCAGCGCTACAGGGTCAAGGCTGGGAGGAACCTGCTGTTTACTACTCCCGTGGTATTGTGAAAACACTCCGCACCCGAAAAAAAGGAATCGTGATCAACCCCACGCATTTCCGAATTGGCAACAGTTATTCCGCTTCAGTCGCGCATTTAACATGGGCTCCGCATAAATTCCAGCCAGGCCGACCCACCCAAGCCAAATCCGATCTCTACGAGATGACCAAGCCCGCAACGTCAGGACCTAACAGCACGAAGAACGTTAGCCATCAAGCTCAGCCGCCCGAAGAGCAGGAATCCCTACAGTATCCCCCGTTGTACGCAGAGAAGGTGACCACATTCCCACTGCCTTGCTTAACCTCCGCATTCAGCACACTGGTCCGCAGCGTCTGCGGTCCGCCGGAGGGCAGGAAGGCGACGACGTGCGTCTTGCCGTTGACGGTGACGGAGCAGTAGCGCTGGGTGCTGTCGCCGTTCCCGTACGAGATCTGCAGGGTATTCTCCCCGGCGACGGCGAAGTCCACCGCGTCGAATGTGAGAGTCCCGTTGTCGGGGCCCCCGAGCCAGCCGATGATCTCGGAGCTGCAGCCGGAGCAGGTGATGGAGGTGGCGGATCCGGCGAGCAAGCCGGCGGATTTGGCGCCGTATGTGGTGGTGTTAGAGAGAGTAGTCCAGGTGCCGTCTTTGAAGGAGGGGGTCCAGGCGGCGTCGGAGGTCTAGGTCGAGGGCCACTCAGTAACAGGCAAGCAAGTGGGAGGATGAACAGGGGACTGCGTACAATTGTAGCGGTAGCTCCGCTGATCGTCAACGGGAGCCAGATGTAGGTGGACGAGGCCAGGTCGGTCGACACCCACCGGTCGCCCATGTACCTGCCCTACGGTTAGTGCCTGCGATGGATCTCTGCGCGTCGGTGTATAGGAGTAAGCCCACATCACCAGGCCGTTCACATCGGCGACATAGCTGGTCTGTGAGCTGTAAGTCTCCGAGCCCGAGGGTGCAAAATCCGCCCAGTCCGACCAGGGCTAGGGGGAGTCAGTATCGTGTCCTATATTCATCCAAAAGTGTGCGACGTGTAGCCATACCCCGGAGAGATTCGTCGCCGTAGTGTACTTGTTATCATTTGGGCCTGGTGCTCACATCAATACGAGTAGTCACGGAATGGCATATACGTACTCCACCCTACTCTCGTCTGCGATTAGCATAATCACCAATTGTCTGGGTGGGTGAACCAACCGGACAGCTGACTGGCAAACATGAAATACGTGTCTCCGGTCTTGTATACGGCGGGCGCCTCGTAGTCCGCCGTGAAGAGATGAACGTTGCTTTCGACGGTCAAGTAGTCGGCCGACAGCCGGTCGATGCGCAGGCCGTTGGCCCTCTGAAGGCGACATTAGAAGGGGGATGCGGCTCATGGTGCAACAACACCTACGTCTTCGGTGAGAAGATAGCCCGTCCCATCGGTATCTGCCGAGGCCCACAATATCAATCAAGTATTCATCGTATTAAAGTCAAGAGGTGCCCACCCTTGAAGAGACCGAGATCTCGCGACTGGAACCCCAGCGGCCGCGACGCGTTCCTGAATTGACACTCCTCAGAACGCTGCCTTCATCGCCAACTAAACGATTGAACATACAGATAGGTATACGCTCCGCACACCGTATTACTCGTAGCAACGCCTGCGCGGGCCTCCGCATAGCTCGAGTCATCGATGTGCAGCCACATGACGTATTTCTTTGTGTGGTCGTTGTAAATCACCTTGGGCCGTTCGACGACGCGGCTAGGCCCCAGATCCCCGGAGGCTTGCAACGTCAAGAGCTCGTTCTCAAACGTCCAGTCCAGGAGATTCTCGAGAGCAGAATCAGCATACGACACCATGCATTGCATTCAGTCTTAGGGCCTCCCACCGTGCTAGAGTAGCAGTTGATCGACTGGAAGCTGGAGCCGGAGGTGTGGTTCTCGCCGATTATGTAATACACCCCGTCCACCTCGGTGAGCCCTGGAGATGCACATGCGGTCGCAGGTTAGTGTGCGCGCGCGAGGGCTCTCGGCGATAGTCTGAAGCGGGTGTGCCTACCGGTGCCATGGGCCTGGATATGCTTGTTGGTCCCCGCCGCAGTCCACGTCGCGCCGGGGACGATGTCCAGCGAGGCGTGGACGACCTGCGCGAGGGGGATCAGGGCGACCAGAAAAGTGATAATGCGATGCATATGGTTAAGCAAGTGACTATGACGGTGTGGTGTGAGGATTCAAGACACGTCTGAGGTGAGGATTAGCTGGTGGGCCTTGATGAAGAATGCAGACCATCTTATACCCCTCTGCCGTCCGCAGAGGGGTGTGGTGGTCTGCTGGTGGCGAAGCGTCATGATACTCCATGATAGGCGGATAAATAAACATGGATGCCAGTCACACTCCATCACCTCGAATTGCGGGGTCACGGTCGTGCAAGGGGAGTTGGGCTATTCCGACCGATGTTACATTTGCCCACTCCGTCAATTCTGCATCACCTGCATCATATGCGCCGCTCGATCTGATCCTGGAGCCGCGGTTAATCAGCCCTTCGTTCGGGTCAGCGGCACGGCGCGTTGCGGAATCCAAGGAACAGCTTACGGCAAGCTACTCGTGCCAATCTACAATGACCCCATTTTTTATAGTAAACTTATAGTATTTTTGTATATTATTACTTCACTGCTCAACAGACCGCCCTTTTCTCTAACTGACCCTAATATAAAAATTATTTACAAGATTTCCTAATAAAGAATCCTAATAAACTAATATCTTCGGCCTAAAATACTCTAAGACCCTAATAGCCCTAATAATCCTAATATAACTTATATTTGCGTATTTTTTTTTTTTCAAACTAGGCAGCTTGGAAGGCTAAAACAGTATTATCGGCAGAATTGGGTTATTGCAAATTGGCACGAGTAGCCCACCGTACCTGAGAGTCGAGTGTAATCCGGACCCCCTCGCCCATCCGTAGCCAGCCCTAATGGGAACTCATACAAACGATGCCACTGGAGTAGAGGTCGAGCCATTGGGCGCTGCTCTTCTCGATGGTTGATTAGGGAGGCCTGACACACTTTCGACTGCTACTTACGACGGCCGGCTTCACTCACTTCTCTGAGTGCAGCCCTCTTTGCAGGGACGGGCTCTTTGGGTCGGGGCAGACATCTGGCGGTTGAATAGTTACGAGGTTGAACCGCGAATACCATCCATGGCGGCTGGGTGCCCAAGGCATCGGGAATAGGGACGCATGACGGGCCGCTAAGGCGCCTGTCAGGCCGGCGTTTATAGCACCTGCCAGGCGGTGCCCTTTAATCGGATATGGATGAGATTGAGCTTGGAGCATAGAGTCCCAGTCCCTTCTTGATGAGGTGGAGCGGCTGGTAACTACTAGTACGAATAACGTTATTATTGACTTCCCTGTTCCTAGATTCTTACAAGGTTACAAGGCGACCGACTGCGTTTCGTGTCAGTGCGGTCTCCCGTACACCGAGACCGTCCCCTCTCCGCGAGTCAACTACTTTCACCTCCTTCCTACGTGCCACGTCGATGACAAATCTTCATAGGTCAATCAACTTAACATTGCAGATTGGCACAAAGTAGCCCACCATGAGCCCTAGTACAAACTATGCCACTCGAGTGGCGGCCAGGGCCGCTCCGGCAAGCCTTCAGGCATCTCGCGCCGTGCCTCTTGAGTATCGTCAGTACGGCATTCACACCACGTGATCTTGTCTTGGGTCTTCCAGAAACAATCCCCCCAGGGACTCAGCCAGGGCTGACGACACTGCAGACAGGTGTTTCGGCACGGGGCTTCTGAGTCCGCCGGTCCCCGTTCTCGACACCACTCCCGAATACAGCCGACGTGGGCGGCGAAGCCGCAGTGGCGCTTGCACCAGAAGATGGCCTCGAGCTTGTCTCCCAGCGGGCGGCAACAGACCTGGCAGTCGTGGCCATGTTCGAACGGGGTCGGATGGCGCGGTTGCTGCGTGTTATCAGTGCCCATGCGAGCAACGGCGGCGGTTCCCACATACTTCTGAATGCAGGCGCGGATGATCGGCTCAAACTGCGAATCACCCAAGGCTGCGAACCCCTTGTCGAAGCGGGCCATGGTGTGGATGGCCTGCGACACCCAGTTTTCCCCATAGGAGGCTAGCCAGGGATCGGGATCCAGAAACCTCCGCGCCCGTCCCCTTCTCTCCCGGTAGAGTCGGGCCAGGATGGGCGCGTAATGACCCCAGTGGTAGGAGACCAGCTCGAGGCCCCCACGGGTCTCCTCTTCCCTCATTTTCCCGTACGCGCTCTCATCAACCGGGCACATCTCGTTTATTTTTGCTCCGGTCAGAGACTGCATCACGGCTTCCAGGAAACAGGCGAGATCTTGCTGAGGCCCACCCAGTGCACGGAGCCACGGGCTCTCCCTTTGGACTGCCCAGGATTTATGAAGCTCGTAATGGTGGTTGTACCAGAGTCGGAGGAAGACCCGCTCCGCGGCGACAAGTGCAGCCATGTCGAGAGGTGCATCAGATGGAGCACAGTCGGGGACAGACATTCTTACACCCAGTATGCTATTCAGTCGAGGCTTAGAGTGATTGGATTCTTGCAGGGACCGTCGGGGGTGACCTGGCAATTTGGATGATTCATATACTCTAAACTTCACCCGTCAGCCCACATCAGTCCGAGGTAACGATGTAAAGAGGCCGGATAGTTTGTTTCCTCTCTGATGATGTAGAGACAAAGAATCGCGTGTCTTTTATTATTCACCGTCCCGATTGTGCCTCCCGTGATGATTGGGTCAAGGCGCCACCCATTATAATGCCAGAAAGGTAGGCTGGAAACAAAGGAAATGCAACAATGGGAACCAGGAAAGAGGGGAGAAAAACAAAGCAAGACACGCGGAATCAACAAAAAGATAATCTCCCCGACTGGGAGTCGAACCCAGGTCTCCCGCGCTTGTTCCTTGGCAGGAGTGACAAGCGGAAATCATGACCGTTAGACCATCGAGGAGGAGATATGAATGGGTTTGATACGTAAGTGTCATGTAATTGCATTTGTCATACTCATCAGAGCGACGCGCTGCCCACAAGGCCATTCGCTTACTTATTCTGCACCCCAGATCACGGTATAGTTACAATAGGAGGAGATGAGAATGCAATTCGCCCCCTTCTCACTCACCCCGAAGGCATCGCCTACTGTAAAAGTATTGGGAGGCCCATACTACCGGGCGGACTACCATGTGTAGCAGGCGGTCAACAAGCCACCTCGCCTGAACGTCGCGCGTACTTCCGGAGCAACAACATTGACCATCCCCAACCACCATGCCATGTCTGCACGACGGCACCAACTATTCTGTAAAGTGGGGTGCGATCCGAGTGCAATCCGCCTGCAATCCGCCTGGATTGCAGGCGACCGGCAGCGGTGGGGACTTGCCCTTTTTATTGTACTATGAATCCTCCCCTAATCGAGGCCGCATCTCATTCAAACCACCGCAACGTTGCGAGAAAGCCTGGCGTACAAGTGCCCGCATCATCGCTGCGATGATCCGCTCGAGTCGACTGTATCCTTGGTACGCTATGCATGACCATCTCACTCGCCGCTCTCGGCGCAGCGACCGCTTGGGCCCAGTCGCCCGCGCGGGTTCTCCCTGCGTCTTCCAACTTATCTCGGCGTCGAATTCAACACCACCATCATCACTCCCGGGTCGCTGATTGATCCCATCCAGTAAGTCCAGCTCAGCTGAATTACCTCGTACCCAAAGCCCATACCACCATCAGCCGATTACTCACCAATTTGCATCTCATAGTTACCACCAATGCCCCCACAAGCCTTCCAGCCCACCCCCACGACCCCCACGGCCGGTGCCAGCTCTTCATGCTCGACCTCTCTCGATCCCCGCGCAGGCCGTCACAACCACCACCGGCTACCCGCTCGTCCCCGGAGTCGCGGCCAAAGAAACCAGCCGCCTGCACTGGTGGAGATTGCCCAGCAGGTCGGGCCCCCGGTGGCGGCGAGTTACTCCTTGGCCCTGGAGTCGTCGGAGTCCGCGGGACTTTTGGTGCTCCTGTGTGTGTGTCTTGAGTCACCGAGGCTGCTGTGGAATCTATGCGATGATCGAAGAGTATTCGAGAGCCGAGAGAGACCAGTAGTGAAAGCTACTAACACGACTCTTGTTGAATTGTCCTTCCGATCTGCTCTCTTTCGTACTAGAGGTATGTCGTTGTAGTATATCGTGACAATTTGTTATGTAAGATTCCTTTGCTGTCGTCTCCGACTACTCGATATCAACAACCACTCTTTCATATAGATGAACTCACGCTATTCCCTTCATCCTAGATCGAAATCAAGGGTCTGCAGTACGATAGCTAATCTGTGCTACACAAGCCAGAAGGAATTTCAAAAGCAACACGCTGCCGCATGCAAGATGAGACGAGCAGCACGCCAAGCATCCGGCCCCTGCATATGCCCATGCACGCCAAAGCAGGCGACCGCGAGCACGAAAGTTCCGCCGGCCCCCGCCCCCTATCCTTCCGTGCCACGGTTCGCAAGCAGTGATGTGATATGACGTGCAAATCCCCTGCAGATCCTCGTCGTGATCTTAACGGCCGGTCGCGGCGAGGCGAGCCAGCAGGCACAATCCGATCGGCCGCATGGGGCATACCTGCCTCGTACACGTGTCCACGGTATGTAGCACACGCATGTGCTGACATACTAAGCGGGGTGCCTTGCAGCAGCAGCCTGGCGCTGACACCAAGCCACAACTGACGTGAGCTTAAGCCTGCACTCTCTTCTGCCAGTCGTCAGTGACCCTTGAGCTCAACTATCCTCCTTAGTCACCCGCCGCTCGGTGTAATGAGGTGTGATTTCCGACCGAAGGAACCTCGCGACGGAACAAGACAATGTGAGCGTTTGGGTATGGGATGCACGTGACTACTGCGAGTATGCCGCGCTACGATGCACACTGCCACTGGATTGGAGAAGTCCTCGCTGCGTGATCCAGAGGGGACATGATGAATCGCTGCATGTATGTCGCAAACGCTTACTCCCTTCTACTAGGGATCGGGTGAGCTGGTCTTCAACCCCAAGCTCGATCCGTGGCCAGAGCCCCGTCGCTCGTCGCTCGTCGCTCGCCAACCCAGTTGAATCTTCCGACACGGATAGTCCCGGGACAGGATCTGCTTTCCTGGCCTCCCGTATGGCGATGCTCCTTTCTCGCATGGTCAAGCGTTGGTCGTGGTTTCAATTATCAAATGCCCTCGGCGATGCAAGGTAGCAGTTATACTAGGGCACGCCGGATCACCTGAGAAGACCGTTCACCTGGCACGGACCGACAACAGCTTTCCACCACAGGTGCATCGAGCGTTCTATCTAACATCTTCCTCAGACATCTGAGCGCGCGACTCAGGCCATGATTAGTACCTGTAGTCAGCACCAGAAAACAGCAGATAGATGATCATCTGACAAAGATAGTCGCATCCACCCGGCGACAATCAACCACCCAAAACTGCCCGACCGGTCGCAAACTCAATCAGGGCTCCAGCACACACGCAATGCAGCAACAGGCATCTACCACCAACCCCTCAAATCGCATCCCCCAATGCAAAATCTCATTCTAGGCCCTTGACCTCACCCCGATGACGGATGAACCAACGATTCGAAGTGGTCCGAAAACCCAAATGGATCGTCCGCGGCACACGCAACCCTGATTTCCCCTCCGCGGGACCAAGAGAGTTCGACCCGACGAGCAGAAAACCTGATGCAGTACCAAACCGCCACCACTTCCTGGGCCATGCACGGCCGATGACGGAGTCAGAGACAGCATTGTCCCCACAATGAGACGGGGGCTTCTCCCCGGACTGACCTTGTCTACGCGGTCTCGCCCAGCCGATCCGGTTGATGTCACCGCACACAGGCCTCTACCTGTCCACGGCACAGCCCATCGCAACCCCTTCCCCACCGAGCTGTGCAGCTGTACACACCCAGACTCCCAAATCCACACTCCATCGCAAAACAATGACCTCGCATACCGCCCCAAGCCCGTCCCCACCCGTGCCGGAGAGCATCCTCGCACTCGACCACGAGATCCGAACGCACTGGCCGCGAATCCAGCACCTCCTCACCGAGCTGCTGGACATCACGCCGCCGCGCCACGACGCACCCATCACCCAACACACCAGCGCACAAGACCTCACGCAGATCCGCGGATGGGCGCGGCCGGGCCCTCCACAGCCGCTGGAGGCGGTCATCGCGCAGGCGCAGACCATCTTCGACCACCGACTGCGCGTCAACCACCCGCTGTTCTTCGGGTTCATCCCGTCCGGCACGATCCAGCTGAGCTGGGTGGGCGACGTGCTGGTGGCGGCGTTCAACGCGCACGGCGGCGGCCGGAAGGTCGGGCGGGGCCCGTGCGTGGTCGAGGAGGAGCTGCTGCGGTGGCTGGCGGCGCGGCTGGGCCTGCCGGCCCGCACGGCGGGCGGGGTGTTCGTGTCCGGCGGGTCGGTCGCGAACCTGATGAGCATTGCCGTGGCGCGCGATTAGAAACTCGACGGCGCCGCGCGCGGGGTCATCTACCTCAGCGAGCGGGCCCACTACGCCGTCGCCAAGATGGCGCGCGTGCTCGGGTTCGCCGACCGCCAGGTCCATCGCGTCCGCTGCAGTGAGGTCTTCGAGCTCGACGTCGGGGATCTGCAAGCGCAGTTGGTCGCCGATCGGCGGCAGGGGCTGCTCCCGTTCATGATCGTCGCGACCTGCGGATATACTGAGACCGGGACGGTGGATCCCATTGCCGAGCTGGCGGACATCGCGCGGAGAGAGTCGCTCTGGCTGCATGTCGACGGGGCGTACGGCGCCTCGGTGGCGCTGTCGCATGCCCATGCGCATCTCGTGGCCGGGCTCGGCGCCGCGGACAGCGTCGCCTGGGATGCGCACAAGTGGCTCTTTTCCTCCTTCGGCTGCGGGATGCTCCTGGTTCGCGACCGGGGCCATTTGTGCTCGACCTTCGGGGTGCAGTCCGAATTGATGGATCAGCAGGCTGGCGGCTTGAGCGAGAAGCCTGAGCCGTGGGATCTCAGCGTGGAGTTGACCAGACCCGCTCGAGCCATGAGTCTGTGGTTCATGTTGAGAGTCTTGGGTGAGGAGCGGATTGGCCGAATGATCGATTATGGCATCGACACGGCGGACTCAGTGCAAGCTCGCTTGCAGGCTCGAGAGGGGTGGGAGATCCTCACGCATGCGAAACTTGGTATCGTGACCTTCCGGTATAATCCCGGAACGTGCTCGGGGGAGGGTCTAGATAGAATCAACACCAAGATCTCGGACACACTGTTCAAAGACAACCTGGCAGGCATTTTCTCTATTCGCGTGTCAGGAGTCGTGGGCCTCAGGGTGTGTTGCATCACTACGCGACTGAGCGAGGAAGATATCGATCAACCTATTCAGCAAATAGACAAGACTGCGAAACAGGTGTGTAAGGATTTCTAGTGGACTGGTCGAGCCTATATTTCCATAGACCCCTCCCCATCCCTATCCACTCAATTCGGTGCTGCTCAGCGTGTAGTAAGATAGTCGCTTCCTAATGAAACTTTACTTCCAAGGGAGTAATTCCTTCATGGAATCATTGCAGGTTCTCCTGAGCTCAGATATATACATAAGGTAACACTCTCATGCACTATCTTCGGCAATTGGGGTGATGGGCACATAATAGGAGAACTTGTTGCCAGGGTCGTACTCGGTCTTTACGGCCCGTAGCTTGTGTAACCGCCATGCCTCGTAGCCGTATACGGACTCCAGCGACTCATGGCCAAATGCATAGTTGACATAGGTCGCTGGCACTCTGTCTGGCTGGCCGTTGAGCATAGCGTCCAGTATGCCGCTGGCAAGTTGCGATGCGGGTTCCTCAAGACGGAGGGTGGGCAAATAAGCTATCATAGCAAGTCTAGCACGCGAGCGTTAGCTTTCCACTTTCTGGGTCGTAGTGCACGGGGAGGATTCCAAATCGTACACCCGACTATTATCATCACGATGGGGAAATGCGGAGCTCCGAGGATCAATTGCTCGGGCCGCTGCCGGGTTATTCGCCTCGAACAGAAGAATGGACGGCTTGAGTGCTGGGTACGCCTTCAAGTACGCATTGAACAATTCATACGCCCGACGACACGCTGTCACGTTGAATCTCCGGAGACCGGTGGTAGACATCATCTTCGATAGTCCCTTCGTACAGGGCAGACTGACCCTGCCATTGCGCGTCGCATCCGGCATGGCGGGATAGGGCACGGCGCCTCCGACAACGTTGATCGGACCGAGACTGTCGAAGGGCGCCAGGTACTTTTCTGCTTCGCGTTCGGAGCCAAGGAAATTGAATGACCACCAAATCACGGCCTCGTCACAGTCAGTCGGGGCCGCAGCAACGCAGGGGTCTGAGAACTCACATCGCTGAGGTTGAAAAGCGGGTTCCACTCGTAATGGCCGAAATGGAAGTCCAGCTCGAGCGGCTGGGTTCCGTTGCCTGTGAGGTTGTTAAGTTCTTGGAAGAGGGTTTCGAGCTTATCCTCCGTGTAGAAGTAGTTTCGAAAGTACCAGGTCTGGGTCGGGGGCGAGTAGACTTTGATCTCAAGGCTTGTCACGACACCGAAGTTGTGGCCAGCCCCTTTCATCGACCAGAACAAGTCCGGATGGGAATCGTTGGAGACGACGATGGAACTTCCATTGCCAAGAACTACATTCAACTTCACAAAGTTGTCACTCATCATCCCATACTGGCCCTGATATCTTCCGTGACCTCCACCGATGGCTGGGCCACCATGTCCGATGCACGCGCAGATACTGGTCGCTAGGGCGAAGCCAACGTCAGCTAACCAGAATTTGGAGGAGTACCAGGCACTTACTGATGACTAGACCCTCTTTCCAAAGCGCATCGATCAAGTTTTGTGTCTCAGTGCCTCCTTGCACAGTGGCAGTCTGTCTCGTGTGGTGTACGGTAACGTCCTGCAACAGGCATAGGTCGATTCCCAGCCCTCGGAATGTGCCCTGCGATATCGGCCACCCGTGGCCTCGATTGACGGTGTAGAAGGGAATGCTGTTTCTGTTCGCATACTGAATCTACTTCACCTTAGCCAATAGTCGGTTCGCACTACGGAGGACACCTACCACGGTGGAGACATCGGACTCACAGCCGACTTGGGCGATGACTGTGAACTGAGGAGGCAGGAATTCGTCATATCGCAGTGTCGCGCCCAGCCAGCGAGGATCCTCGGGACCAAAGACACTGGAGGCGTCGCATAGTAGTGGGCCAAGCTCGGTTTCAACTTGGAATGCCGTCAGTCCAGCTCGCGTCATGAGACAGAGGGCATCGACGCAGCCGGTCGGCGATCCTTGTCCCAGGGACGCCAGAAGGACCAGTGCCCAAGTGATGAGAATAGGGAAGTGCATGATGTTCAAGACACAAGATAAGCTAAGAAACCTTTCCGGAAGTGTGAAGGGAGTAATAGGAAAGTATGAAGATGGGCAGACGACGAGATAGGGGATCGAGGTGAATCAGCAGTGGCACCAACAGGGCAGGTGGTGATACAGTCCACGCTCTGAGCCCTGGGAGAGAAGGAGCAATGAGCGCTGACCCCCTTTACTGCGACTGCCACTTTCGGGTTTTGCACTCGCTCTCTCTACTTCATAGCGCCATCCATACAACAGAGCCCTGAGGGAGTTGCATATGTTGGAGACACGGTCACATGATCGTGCCCGCGCAGTGTATGGCGAGTTTCGGCAGTCTATGGTCGAGAGTTCGAACAGCTTAGACACTCCCGCTGTGCTGAACAGCATACATCTGGCAATCTGGCAACATGCCAGAGATTGAAATCCATCTTGTAAACTAGATTTGGGCCGACAGTTGACCAGCAGGGAAATTGAAGTCAGAAATCAAACAAAAATCCAGCACAACTATACAACGACGGTTGAATTGCGATGGGGGTAGTTCAACAACCGCAATTCCAAGAATCAAATCTCGGCCTACAGAAGAGAGCCTGAATGTCACGCTTCCGCCAACCCTGGCCCTAGACTCCCATACAAAACGATCAACTCTGGTCCTTGGCGTCATCCCAAAGTGCAGCCCCACTGCGAAGAAAACTCAAGCATCGTTCCACACCGGCTAAAGTCTTGCAGTGGGCTGCAGCACGTTAACGGTCTGGAATTGGCTCCAACCTTCTGATTCCCAGTGGGGTCGTCTGTGATGCTACCAAATGCTGAGTTGAAAATCCGTATGGTCGACTGAAGGTGTTATCGGTCTCTGCGCAGACGACACTTGACAATGAGCGCGAGATGCAGCCGGACTTGTCGGCCAACAGAAACAGCAACAAGCTGCAGGCAGCAGGCCAGTGAACTCACCGACTACCTCCGCGCTATCATCCTTCCAGTCCCCTAGCCTCGTGGGCTCCGGTGCCGGCCTACCCAGTGTCATGATGACACTAGTAGTTCTAGTCCCTGCCAGTTCCAGCAGAGCCACCGACTAGTCCGACGGGTGTGTGCCCCTGCGGCAACAGCAGCATCCCGGGCAGCTTGATTGCCACTGAGCTCGAGCCCCTCCAACGTGAGCCATTGAGACAAGCTCAAAGACCACTTGACGGAAGGCAATGTCCGCCATCGACAGATGCATTACCATCATCACTGCCATCGCCACCTTCCTGACTCGTAGCCTGCCTCTATCGCCATCACCCATCATCGGACTGGAGCACCCAGACACCACCAACATCCCTCTCTACCCACATGTGGCACGACGACATGCAACTCACCAACCATGCAGCCACCGTTCTTCACGGGGTCATCCCACCTCTCACAGGTGTATCCGCCCGAACTTCTCGCCGTCGGGCTACCTCCCAGATGCGAGCAGCGTCGGGCGTGTGCCTAGAAGAAACGGCACTACCAGCGCCAGTCGCGGCAACTCGACCGTCGGGCGAACTAGCAAGGGGGTGTGGATAGCCACCGGGAAGGCAATCTCGTTTACGCAGGGGGGCCACCAGTTGCACTCGAAGGCGAGCCCATCAGTGCACCAGATCATGGTGGTGCATGGAGTGCGTCAAGGAACCACTCGACGACCGGCAGACATCACATCTCCAAGCTGTAGCGGGTGTGGCCTGGTGCGACCGTGGCGAGACCAAGTGACGCCGAATGCCAAATAGCAGAAGTGATTCAATCCCGTCACATCCAATGCTGGGTGCATCCGACCAGTCCTGCTAGCTAACTTCACACATTACATAACCATGACTTTGCCATTGAAGGCGGGACTCGAGAAATGTAGCTGAGACTACTGTAACCAAGTATGAGGAGTATTGTGAATTCAGATTTGTCAAGCAAAGTCTCTCGATCGAATGTTGAATTTTCCTCAACCAAGTCATTTCATCGAGTGGTCACTTCGCTGGTCGGAGACTACAGAGTTTTCTCGGGTGGGGAGTCAGATAATTATTTATCACGATGCGACCACATTACGTTGCAGCCAGGCCACGTACTAGTGGAACACTTTGATACTTAGTGTAGTTAGTGTGTAGTCTGTGTCAGACGCTCCAGGACTGTTGGGTGGCCTACCAGACTCATCCCCACCGGTGACACGGTGAAAAATCCGATACTACCAGGGCCACGGATCAGATAAGACAAGATCGCGATCAGATAACCTGCGCGACTGGTGACTGGATGCTGGGTAAGTATTCAACCCTCACCGAGAAAACACTCACCGCGAAGCGAGAGATTTGTTGCTCTCCACTGACAGCAGACCATGACCAGTCCGAGAAATTAGCGATAGGTGGAAACGGCGTGAGAACGCACAGTGGGGGGGTGTGAGGGGGTGTGATGCAGCCAGAGGGGCGCCAGTTCTCGTGCTATCCCAGTGCCCCTCTTTTCTCCGCTTGGCGGTACCGTACCATACATACGTGATACCACCTCTCCCTTACCAGCTTACAATACTATACAGACGTACAGTTCAATCTACACAGTACAACCAACACAGCTCCGTTTCTCTCCGTTCACCCTCTCCCTCCCTCTCCAGCCGGCCGAAGCCTTAGCCACTGCTCAAGAAACTCAAGAAACCCAAGAAACCCAAGAAATTCAAGAAACGAGCCGCCCCACCGTAGCTCCTGCGCGAACTTACTTGCCCACACTAACGCAGCCATGCCCAGCCAGCATAATCAGATGGCCTGGTGGATCGGAGCACATTTCCTACCTAGTACTCAGCAAAAGACTGCTCTCCGAGTCACGCTGCGCTAGCCCCGGCAAAGAACCCCCCACGGCGATGACCACTGCTTATTCTTTTATAAAGGGCATGGACCTCCCCTTGCGCTGCACCTGCTCGACTTCTTCCATCCCACCCTGCCCTTCGGAGTTCCACCCTCACCCACCCCGCCCTCCAACATGTTCACCAAGTTGCGGGCTCCCTTCCGTCGGTCGACGACGGACGAGGCCGGCACCGCCGTCACCCTGCCCTCCCCCTCCCCCGTCGACGGCACCAGCAGCGCCCTGCCCGGCGAGAAGAACGTCGAGGCCGGCGTAGCCCCCACCACCGACAGCACCAACACCGACTCGGACGAGGAGCACCCCGAATCCACCGAGGATCAGGCCGGTACCTTCACCGTCGAGGCCATCACCGCCACCTGGACCAAAGCCTCTCTGATTGCCGTCTTCATCAAGTACGCCTGCCCCCTCCCTCCCCCTTCTTTTCAGCTCCCCAGCAACCTCAATCCTGAGTGCTGGGGCAATATCCCGGTCCGGGGGAGAACCCCCGGACCCCCCTTTCTTTCAGCTCCCCAGCATCCGCAACTTCATGAGCATACCGAACAACACCACTAACAGACCCAGCATCTGGTTCCTCTACTTCGTCAACGCCTTCCAAGTCGAAATCCTGTCCACGCTGGTCCCCTATCTCACCTCGGCCTGGGACTCGCACTCGCTGCTCAATGTCATCTACGTGGTCTCCGACTGCTGCACGGCGGCCATCTTCATCCCGCTGGCCAAGATGATGGACGTGTGGGGCCGTGCCGAGGGCTTCGCCTTCATGGCCATCATCTCGACGATGGGGCTGATCATCATGGCGGCGTGCCACAACCTGCCCACCTTCTGCGCGGGCTACGTCTTCTACAACGTCGGCTTCTCGGGCATCACCTTCTGCGTCGACACGCTGACCGCCGACGCCTCGCAGCTGCGCAACCGAGCGCTGGCCTACGCCTTCACCTCGTCGCCCTACATCATCTCCGCCTTCGCGGGCCCCAAGGCCGGCGAGGACGCCCTCGGCATGAGCATGCGCTGGGCCTTCGGCGCCTTCGCCATCATCTTCCCCATCGTCGCCGCCCCGCTGTACTGCATCCTGCGGTACAACACCAACAAGGCTAAGAAGGAGGGCCGCCTCGTGCGCGAGCGCAGCGGCCGCACGCTGACCCAGAACATCTGGTTCTGGGCCATGGAGTTCGACGGTACGCCCCTTTCCCCCCCCCTTCGTCCCACTTCAAACTAATATCCTTTGCAGTGGTCGGCGTCCTCCTCTTCTCGGCGGGACTGGTCGTCTTCTTCCTCCCGTTCGACATCGCCAGCATGGCCCCGCACGGCTGGAAGACGGGGTACATCATCGCGATGATCGTGGTGGGGTTCTCGATGATCGTCTTCTTCGCGATCTGGGAGTACTACTTCGCGCGGGTGCCGTTCATGAAGCTGAAGTACCTGACGGACCGGACGGTGCTGGGGGCGTGCCTGCTGGACGCGACGTACCAGGTGTGCTACTACTGCTGGGACAGCTACTTCACCTCGTTCCTGCAGGTGGTCAACGACCTGTCGGTGGCGGACGCCGGCTACGTGAACAACACGTTCGACGTGGTGTCGGGCGTGCTGCTGCTGTTCATCGGCTGGCTGATCTCGCGCACCGGCAAGTTCCGCTGGCTGCTGTACTGGGCGGTGCCGCTGTACATCTTCGCGCAGGGGCTGATGATCTACTTCCGCCGCCCCAACCAGAACGTCGGGTACCTGGTGATGTGCCAGATCTTCATCTCCATCGGAGGCTCGGTGTTTATTCTTGTGCAGCAGCTGGCCGTCGAGGCCGCCGTCGACCACCGCCACGTCGCCGCCACGCTGGCGCTGCTGAACGTCGTCGGCACCGTCGCCGACGGCATCGGCTCCACCATCTCCGGCGCCATCTGGACCAACACCTTCGAGAAGGGCCTGTACAAGTACCTGCCCGCCGACGCCCTCCCGGACATCGACGACATCTACGAGGACATCGACACCCAGCTCAGCTACCCGGTCGGCAGCGCCGTGCGCACCGCCATCCAGGAGGCCTACGGCTACGCCCAGACCCGCATGCTGGCTGTCGGCACCGGCCTGTTCGCGCTGGCCTTCATCTGGATGTTCATGATCCGCGACATCGACCTGCGCAAGAAGAAGCAAGTCCACGGTATGGTGTGGTAGGCAGCAGCAGCAGCAGCACCACCACCACCACCACCGACACAAATATCACCATCACCATCACCAAAAGGGGAGAAGAAGGGGAGGGAAGCGCTGCTTCCACCTACAGATACCTGGCGCTTTGCCGTTTTTCCATGTTACCCCGTTTTTATCCGCAGCCCCTGACCACGGGCTGTTTAGTTTATACCTCTGTATCTAGTTTTAATTCATCTGCATTGCCTGCATCCTGCATCTGGTGTCTTGTAGTGGGGAAATCGTGCATGAGTGCATACAGTTCTACAGTGTAGTCGGACGAACATCAAACTTGGCTTTTCTTGGTGTCTTGGTGTCTTGGTGTTGGTGTCTTGGTGTCTTGGTGTCTTGGTGTCTTGGACTCTTAGTGTCTTAGGCTCTTAGACTCTAGACGCAAAGCTTAGACGGGCGAGAACCGACTTGGCAGCAGCCTCAGCCACAGCAAGTCTCAGCGAGATTGCCGACCGTGCAACATGACACCAATTCATCCGGGAGTCGATCTACCTACCGCTCTTTACCTCCCGTGGGATATGGATTTAATCCTTTGGCACCGGGGACAGCAAAGACGAGGATACTACGGGCGCAATGGAGTGAAAACTCTGCTCGTATACGATCCGGTACCCCGACCAGGTAAGGCAGCACCGCTTCAGACCAAAAGCTAGGAACGGTGGCGTAACTAGGTAACTTAGCTTCCAGCCTTGCTCTACCTCTAGTCCACCACCACTCCATCGGTTTACACTCTCCTGTGCTGTGATTATAATTATCGGCGTAACCACCGACCGAAGAGTTGTGACCGGGAAGCACTGGATCCCGATCAGATAACTCCCTCCCACTTCTGCGGAAAGCGGATTCAGCAGACGACGGCAGCGACAGCGACAGTGGACCCCTCCGTAAACATGACGCCGACGCGCATGACAGGCTTTGGAATTCGGGCGGAAAGAGGAGTTTGGCCTGGTCCACCGATGGTGGGTTCCATGATGTTGTTGTGGGTGCGTCTTGGGTTCAGGTGCAGCTCCGCTTGCCGGGCGCCGGTATCGCTACTTATGGATAATCCAGGTATTGATTCGGTCGGCGTTGGTGTAGGTTGATGACTTGCGGTATTGATATAAATTGTTTTGTTTACTGCAGAATTCTGGAGGTGAAACGCAGAGATTTTATCTGATCGTGCCTCGTTCGCATCCACGGATTCTGAGCTTGACTAGTCTAGGCGAGGTGCGAGGATTCGAGGGCGCCAGGGCAGAAGGTGGGGGAGGGAATGGCTAGGGATTCCGGTTTTCACCATGTATGGGTGGACGGTGAGTACTGTGTATGGGGTTACGCATGGTACGGCTGTTGGTACAGTCCTGTTTATTATTCCTTTAGCGAGAATACCCGACCGACGTTCAAACAAGGTACGCTGCAGCTATGGTGTAATGTTACACCACCGGCGGCAGTACGTATCTATAGACTGTAAAGCTGTACTACCTCCAGGTCCCAACTGACGTTCAAACAAGGTAGACTGCATCTGTTGTGTAATATCACACCACCTCCTGCAGGTGTACGGTAGTATGTATAACCTCTGACGTTGAAACAAGGTACGCTGCATCTGCTGTGTAATGTCACATCACCGGTACAGTACACACGCAGGACGGTAATGCGGTACCACCCACAGGACCGGACCTGCTGCTGTACCACCACACCCACAAAGGAGCACAACCTACCTACCCGTATTCTCAAAAACAAACCACCCGCATCTGCTGTGCAACACAATCCCAAACAACTGCAGTGTAACCGTCCATACCGTACTGTATGCTGTCCCACCTTACACACAGATAAACCGTTACACAGTACGCCCCACTCGAACCCAAACCCGACCGCACCGCAACCGCAACAGCTGCAACAGCTGCACCCGAGTCCCCAAGCGGACCATGGCCCAATCTGATTAGACAACCGGCGGATCAGATAGTGGGCGGGCCCCGGTGGCGGTCGGTGGCGGTCGCTGGTCGGGATCTGATTAGATAGTTGGGCTCGGCTGCGCTAGCTGGTTGGGGCAGCGGATAAATGAGCCAAGGCGCTAGGCGGGACGGTGCCGTGCGGTGTGGTATGGGTGTATTGCGGTATTTTTTGGTGGGTTTTCATGTGTTGTTTGGTTGATGTTCTTGAGCTGAGGTAGAGTATAGGTTTTGAGTTGAGGGTGAGGATGCATGTTTACTTCTTGTGATAATTCAGGATTTTCCTGTGGGATTGAGGAGCATACTCGGCATACAACCTACACAAATAATGTCTGTACTCAACAGTCCCAGCTACGTGATCCATATTGTCACTCGCATAATATACACTTCTCCGCAAATTGACAGATAGCAGGTGAGGTGTGTCTGTGCATCCATCCCAAGAGACGGAATGAGAAACGAAAATCTATTCTATTATTAAAACCACCCTACCCAAAACCATGATACTATAACTATATATCCACCACAGGGGCCATCAACAGCCCTAAGCAACAGTCTGATGCAGCACATTGGCGCGATAACTCTCCGACCGCTCAAGCAGCTCCTCATGCGTACCGGAATCGACACACCGGCCCGCCTCGATCAGGAAGATGACATCCGCCTTGCGGATCGTATTCAGCCGGTGCGCGATCGCCACGACCGTAATGCCCCGGGCGGCGCGCTCCAGCCCATCCTGCAGCAACTTCTCGCTCTCCGCGTCCAACGCGCTGGTCGACTCGTCCAGGATCAGCAGCTTGGGCTTGCGGACGAGCGCCCGCGCGATGCTGAGCCGCTGCTTCTGCCCGCCCGAGAACTGGCTACCGTTCGGGCCGCACAGGGTCTGGTACCCCTCCGGCAGCGCCATGATCGTCTCGTGGATGTTGGCCAGCTTGCATGCTTCCTGGATTTCGTCCAGAGTGACGTCCCGCCCCGGCGGCGCGCCCAGGCTGATATTGAACTCGATCGTCCCCTCGAACAGCACGCTCTCCTGCGGCACCAGCGAGATCGTGTCCCGGAACGACACGCCCCGCGTCTGCGTCACGTCCAGGTTGTCGACCAGGATCGACCCTGCCGACGGGGTGTACAATCGCTCCACGAGCGAGATGATCGTCGACTTGCCCGCGCCGGAGGGGCCGACCAGCGCCGCGAATTTGCCGGCTGGGATGTTCACGCTCAGCCCGTTCAGCACCTTGATGTCCGGGCGCGCCGGGTACGAGAAGTGCACGTCGCGGAGCTGCACGGTTGACGCACCGCCGCCGCCGACATGCTTTTCACTGCTCACGGCATCGGACTCAATGTCCGCGGACAGCGCAGGCGGCAGCCGGTCCACGTTGCCGCGCATCTTGTCGGAGCCGATCTCGATCAGCCCCAAAATGCGGGCCATGGCGCCCTTGGACGCGGTCAGCTCGGGGGCCAGCGCGAACATCTGACTCCACAGCAGGGCGCTGACCAGCAGGGAGAAGACCACAATCAAAAACTGCGTCTGCGTGTAGTTGCCGTTGGAGATCTGCTTGGCGCCCCACCAGTACGCCAGGGCGTTGACCATATTGCCCAAGAAGTAGGTCATCGCCTGCCAGAAGCTGGCCTGCAGCGTCACCTGCAGGGTCTCCTTGCGGGGTCCCCGCAGCGAGCGCCGGTAGGTGCGCAGGGTCACCTCCTCGAGGGCCAGCGAGGCGACGGCCTTGATGGAGGTGATGGCCTCGACGCCGATGTCGACGGACTTGGTGTAGGCGGTCTCGTGCTTCTCCTCGAACTTGCCGAGCACGCGCAGCTCCATGAGGCCGGCGCCCAGCAGGAGCGGCACGAGGGCCAGACACACGAGGGCGATGCGCCAGGCGATGATGTGGGTCATCACGATGGCGGCGATCAGATTGATGGTGATGGAGATGACGGTGCCGATGACGGAGCCGCTCAGCCCGGCCAGCGCCTGGCCGTCGCGCGTGATGAACGAGAGCAGCAGCGCCGGCGTGCGGCCCTCGGACTGGTGCCACTGCAGGTCCTGCTCGAATAGCGACCGGAACGACAGCACCCGCACCGTGTACACGATCTTCTCCGAGATGCGCCCGAAGCCCGCCCAGCTGACCACGTTGGCGAAGAACTCGATGATCGCCAGGATGAAGAACATCAGCCCGTAGAAGTTGCCGCTGCTGCTGATGCTCGACGCCCCCTTGCACGGGTTCAGGCTGCCCACCGTGTTACCGAAGATCACCGCTTCGCCCGAGAAGGCGCCGCCGACGATGGCCGAGCCGATCAGCGCCAGGAAAATGTACAGGAGGTGCGGTCGGAGGGCTGGCGCGTAGCCCTTGGCCAGCGCCCAGAGAGACTTCTTCGGGGTGTTGAGCTCCTCCGGATCGGCCTCTTCGTTGGCATCGGGGGTGTTGGTGTTGCTGGAGTCCGAGGCCGGGCCTTCGTGCACCACCGGGGTCTTTTCCGTGGGTTCGTCGGTGTTGGCCAGGCTGCCCTTCTCGTTCTCGATCTCCACGTCCGTCAACGAGGGCTGGTCCGATCGGCTGGCGTTGTCGGCCGCGGGGCCCTCGTCCTTGTCCGCGGCGGCAGACATGCCCTGCAGCTTGACAAGGTCGGCGTACGCCCCGCCCCGGGCCATCAGGGTGGCGTGATCGCCCTGCTCGACGATTGTGCCCTTATGCATGACGACGATGTTGTCGGCGCCGGTGATGGTCGAAAGGCGATGGGCGATGGTGATCATGGTGCGGCCGCTGGCGATGTTGTTGATGGCGCGCTGGATGCGCTGCTCACTGCGCGAGTCCAGTGACGCGGTGGCCTCGTCGAGAATCAGCACGGCAGGGTCCTTGATCAGGGCACGCGCCAACGAGACACGCTGCTTCTGCCCACCACTGATCAGTCGACCACTCGAACCCACCATCGTTCCGTATCCATACTGCAGGGCGCTGATGAAGGTGTCGGCATCGGCCAGCGTGGCGGCGTGCTTGACCATCTGCACCACCTCCAGAACCTCGGCGCCACGGCTCTGCGCCGCCGCCATCAGATCCTTGCCCTCGCGCACCTCCGCGGCGAGTTCCTCCAATTGGGTGGTGAGGAGCGTTTCCTTGAAGCGGTGGTGCTCCGGGTTACTCGAGTTCATCAGGCCGTGGGCAATGTTCTCCAGCAGCGAGCGATCGAGCAGCGAGGGCTCCTGCTGCACCAGACTGAGGTAGCTGCGCAGATCCCGGGTGTTGATCTCGCGCAGGTCGTGTCCGTCGAACAGAATCTGGCCCTCGACGGGGTCGTACAGCCGCGTCACCAGGCCGGCGATGGTCGACTTGCCGCTGCCGGACAGGCCGACCAGCGCGGTGTGCTTCTTGGCGGGGATGCTGAGGCTGACCTTGTCCAGCACGGTGATCTCCGGCCGCGAGGGGTAGACAAAGGTCACGTCCTTGAGCTCGAAGCCGCCCTCGGCCTGGCCGTCGGTCAGCCGCAAGCCCTCGGTGGTGGTGGCGTCGATCTGCGGCTGGCGGTCCATATCCTCGCGCAGCTTCTCGTAGGAAGCAACGCCCGCGATGAACAGATGGAGGAAGGGCGCCGTCTGACTGAGCAGGAGGGTGGCCTCGACCAGGATGAAGATGACGGTGAAGACGGCGCCGACGCTGATGCCACTGGTGCCGTCGCGGACATTGGCGGCGACTTGCTTCGCGCCCTGCCAGAAGGCCAGACCGTTGGCCGAGTAGGCGATGAAGTATAAGAAACCGGCCTGCACACCGACCGCGGTCGCCTTCTTCAGCCCCTCGGTCTCGGCGGACTTGAGCGCGGAGGCGAACTTCTTCTCAAGCCGCACGTTGGCGCCAAAGGCCTGGACGACGACCAGATTGTTGAGGGCCTCGGAGGCAATCGAGGCGGCGGTGGCGGCGTAGTCGGACATGGAGCCGGAGTATTTCTCGATGTAGTGGCTGCCGATGAAGGACATGATAAAATAGGCGGGGATCAGAGACAGGAGCTCGGCGGCCAGCTTCCAGTCCTTGATGAAGGCGACGATGTAGGCGGTCACGAAGAAGGAGATACTGGACAGCACGATGCCGACTTTCTCACTGGTGCCCGAGCGAATGGTCTGGATGTCACTGCTGAGGCGGGAGGCCACCTCGCCCGGGGGCAGCTTGTCGAAGTAGGAGGGTTCCTGGCGGATGAGGTTGCGGAGGTATTTCTCGCGAAGACGCTGGGACAGGCGAGCCCCGGAGAGGGTCCAGCAGGTCAGGTGGACGTAGATCAGGACGAATTGCGCGATACCCAGGTAGACGATCAGGAGAATCTCGTGGTTGATGCTGCCTTGGTCGGAGCTGTCGCTTTCACCGTTGGATTCCGCGCAGGAGATGGAGTTGAAGTTGTCGAGCAGTTCACCGAAAATGATACCGATAATGGGAAAGGGGACGCCAGCGCCAATGGCGGCGACGATGCCGGTGAACAGTGTAGCGACTTCATATTTGGTGGGATTGCCGGCCAAAAGCAGACGGGGAAAGCCCGCCAGCTTCTTGAGGAACATATTGACAGAGAGGAGGAGGAGGAGGAGGAGGTTGTGTCGGTGAATGGGAGGTTGGAGTGCGGGGAAAGGTGAGGCGCAATTCACAGGTGGCCAGCCATGCAGGTGCAGGTGCAGGTGCTACGCCCTTAGGAATTGCCTGCACTCGCAAAGGGAAATCGCATGCACACTTCTGGCGGAGGGACAGAAGAAGAAGAAGAGAGGGAAGGGGAGGGGAGGAGGGGAGAGGAGAGAAGGAGAGGGGAAAGAAGATGAAGAGAAATGGAGTGAGTGAAGGAGCAGCAGCCGCTACTGAAGAATGGAAGATTGACAGGGGACCAAGTCAACCAAGTCACCGGCTTTACGTAAGGTGAGGAACTTCGGAGCTGCTTGGCCGCTTGGCTAGAAGGGTAAAGAATGGGCACCGAAGAGAAAAAAGAGGAGCACAAGAGGAGTCCAAGAGGAGTCCAAGATAATCAATCAGTCCCCACTTAGAGGTATGGCCGTATGGTTCGAGTATGTTAAGGTATGTAACGCAGAGTATGAAGGTATGTATGGTATGTATAGAAGGTCAGGGTGGTATCCACTCGTATCCACTGGTATCCATTGGTATCAGCTGGTAACGTGCAGCGGGCCCCGAAAATTCTTCCTCCCGCTCCATATCAATCAGCCAATTTATTGGTGAGCTGCCCCAACACGTCCCACTGCACTAGACTCTCCTAGCATTAGCACCAGAAGATAGGCAGGATCAGATAATTTCCCGGCCCAGCCATGGATCCTGAATCACCTCACCAGAAGTAGTCAGTCAGTCTTTGGATGGCCACCGACGTGACCGGTGGACGGGGTTGGTTCGTTGCTCGGAACCAGATTCGGGAAATCTAATCTGATCATCTCTCCCTGCAGTCACTCTCACTCACCAACCCTCTCTCCAAATGGGAGGAAGAGTGGATGATGGGATTGAGCCAAAAGTGGAGTTCGAGGCAAGTGAGACAGTCTAGTCTTCCCTCCCTTTGCCGGACCTTCCTTGTCAACCACGCGGCAAAGGAAAAAAAAGCAATCGAAAAGTAAGGCCACTCGGAAGGAAGAGGAGGTGGCTTGAGTCAGTCAGTCTCCGGTCGGAGGTCGGAGCACTCACACTTAGCTCTTAGACTACTTGCATCGCTGCAGGCTACGGCGCGTATGGCGAAATCGCCTGATCATCATGTGCTTGGTCTCTTTTGGCGTACTATTATGTACGGAGTAGCATTAGAAAAAGCAGGAATTGACAAAAACTGAATCATGCGGCAGTGCGACTTTCATGCCTCAGGCTGCAGTCGCTCGTCACACGTGACCGTGCTTGGCACCGATATCGCATCGCCCACGAACAACAGAGAGGAGACAAGAAAACAAGAGTAAACCAACCGGGCCCTGAGATACAGAAGAAAACAAAAAGTTTAAATTACTAGTCGCGCGAAGACCAAGTGATTGTGGCCGAGCGGGCAATACCAGGGATGTGCGCGCATTCCAAGGGCTGATCAGTCACCTCTCATCGGCAACTCGCGCTGCAAAATGTAGGCATATAGCACACTCTGGATCCCATCGTGTTTATTTCTGACAGCCCACGCCAATGCAGTCCGCCCACGAGAATCCATGACAGCCGGATCTGCCTCGAACTCGATCAACACCATGACTACCAGCAACCAACCTTGTTTCGCCGCGCACATGAGAGAGGTATCCCCCTGGGGAGTGCGGGAAGACACCAGCGACGCATCGTGTTCCAGTAAACGACGAACGATCTAGTCCTTGCCCTTGATTGAGGCCCAGAGAATAGGCGTGTGTCCATAGGCATCGACCACACTGACATCGACGTCGGACCGGTGGAGTAACAGCTCGACCACCCCAAGACATCCCTCCTCCGCGGCATATGACACAGCAGATCGCTCATACATGTCTAGGTCATTCACTCTGACGTCGGGCCGACTGAGAAACCTTGCGACAATATCCACCTCACCAGATTGGGCCGCCAGGGAGAGTGGGGATTGACCTTTGGAATCCGAAGCGTTGGCATCGACACGGCTGTCTCCCAAGAGAACGTCAACCATCGCCATCTCGCAGTATGAGACAGCAGTGTAGAGAGTGGTCACATGGTCAGAATCCTGGATGTTAGGAACCAGAATGTTAGGGTCCAAGCCTTCTCGTTGCAAGAGAAGCTCCACAAAGTCTACTTCTCCAACTTTGACGGCTTCTGATAAAGGAGTTCCGGCTTCGCGATCAGTTGGCACAGGTCCACCGTTCGGATCTACATCCTCGCGCTGCAGGAGCAGACGTACAACTTTCGAGCATCGGCAACTTGTTGCCCACCAAAGCATAGAGAGACCCGTATTTCGAAGCCTTTCGGAGGTGAAATTGCGTTTCCGCTGTCCAAGTGCATCAAGGATAAGCTGCACAATCTCGACATCGTCCTTCAGGACTGCTTTTCACAAGGGATCGACCAAATCACCATAGGTTACTTGCTCCTGCAATACAGTGAGAAACAGTTGGACCACCGGCAAAAGTCTTCCTCCAGCAGCTGCACCGAGGGGTGTCACGTTGTCCTCGTTTCCAATACGCCAATCGATCTGAGGGTGACGCAAAAAGATTTCCGTGAGAGTGAGATTTCCCGACTGGCAGGCCCAGACCAACGGAGTGCCGTCGTTGCATCTCACGTTGACATCAACTGTTGGATACGTCAAAAGAAACTTCACGATCTGCTCATCTCTCCACATAGCAGCCGCGGCCAGTGGGTCGCTCGCAAATGCAACAATGTTTGCGTTGGCTCCTGTCCAAGAGCAACTGAGCAATGTCCCATCGACCAAGCTCGAAAGCCGCGAAAAGTGGTGTCCCCACAGCCTCATCGTAAGTGTTCACATTGCGACCGCGGCTGATCAACGCGCGTACCACCTCGAGATGTCCGGTGCACACGGCGATGATGAGCTCCTGCCCAGTCAGATGGCGAAACACGAGGCTTGAAAGGTTGGGACTCAGAAACTGCTGGCATGTTTTGATGCGGCACTGGAACGACATGACACAGTGGCTGAGACTTTTGACTGTTTCGATCACAATGTCCTCGAGATCATCTGTATTTGCCATAGGTGTCAAAGCATGTGCCTCCAACTCATCTATGATCGGCACGAGGAGAGAGCAGGAGTCAGGCTTCGCCACGGAGATTTCGCACAAGATCTTCTGTGTAAAGAGTCCTTCAAGCCCCTCGCGTTTCGTCATCGCCCAGAATTGTTCCAAAGAGGCCCAATTCATTCTGAGCAGGGCGAAACGGGAGATGAGGGTATAGAATCTCTCTATTCATCGGTAGGTATTAGAATCTTCGATAAAAGTACGTATGGGGACGACCACTTGCTAGACACGAGGCGGAGTTCAGGCATCGCCGGTGCTCTTTGGACCGGTTCCAATCCTGAGGCACAATGTCGCTCAGAATTTCCTCCAGGATCTCAATGGGAAGGCGAAACAAATCCATTTTAGCCCTGATTAATTCTTGAATCACGGCTGAAGTGGATGTTGTTGGGTGTTGTTGAGGAAAAGACCTGTGAAGTGCGGAGAATGTTGGTGATGGATGTTGGTGATGGATGTTGGTGATGGATAGTGGGAAGAAGAAAGATGACAACAGGCAAAGAAATTCAACAGGCAGAGGCTTTTCAGTGTGAGAGTACGCTTTTCCAAGTGATAGAGGAGGGTTGTATGGTGAGCAACATCTCCCGATCTTTGATGTACCGCGGCTCTAATGGGATATGAAATTCACTGGCAAATGTCGAAGGCGAGACACAGCACATGACTTTGTGCCTCACGCAAGCCGTGATTGATCCTACATTCCTCTTTGCTTTTTTTCTTTCAGTAAGCATCACTCTGCCTTCGTTGTCGTGGTCAACGTTTCCTATATCCACACCAACTGTCCGTACACATACTCCGACTTGGCTCAATCCCAGGCCAAATGAGCGCCAGTCTTGGCATGGCCGACTAGTATGCGGGGTAAGCCACACTAACTCAATTTCTCTTCAGCTCAGGCCATTTCCCACGGTTTGTCTGCAGATTGCCTGCATCGCATCCCTTCCAGATGGATCCCCTGTCGATATCATCCGGGGTGGCAGGGCTGATTGGTTTAGCTCTGCAGGTAGCCCCAGTCCTCCAATCTTACGTCTCGAACTTCAGGTCAGCACGCGAGGATGTCCAAGCTTATCTCGACGAAGTGGGGGCCCTGTCCCAGGTCTTGGATCGGATGTACACATTCCTCGATTCGTCCTGCATGACAAGCGACCAATTTCAGACGACTGAAGCTGTGCTTCTGCAAACAATCAAATCATGCGAAAAGTCTCTGCTAGAGCTGATTCGCATGCTCCGAAAGCCGGTCGGTTTGACAAAGAAACTGCTATGGCACCTCGAGAAGGAAAAGGTTGAAAGCATCATTGCGCGGGTCCGGCAATGCAACCAGCTGTTCAATTTCTCATTGACCGTCGAAGGGTGGTGAGCAACCCGCTTCCTGATACTTTCACTGTCACCTGCTGACCATCAAAGGGTTCTTCTCTCGCAGACGCCCGCAGAGGTAACCACGATCCTGCAGCTTCAAATGCAGATGTCGGAGAAGATGCACAAAATGGTTGAAGCAGCGTCGTTATCGGTAGAATCAGCCAAGCTGTACCAGGACAAGACAAAGGAATTGGTGTCGTTGTTGGAGAATGTGTCTATATTCGCGAAAGCAGTCGGGCAACTGTCGGAGATCCAAGAGCGTGTGGAGGAAATCAGTCGCGGCATAACAGGTGAGCATAGATCTTTATCAGGCTGCTTGCTCCAGTATCTGTCGCCCCTACCACGCCTCCTGATGCCCTTCCCCGTGGTAAAACAATGGTCGGTCGATTGTGGACCACGCCATAGGCAGAGGCATGCCTAGCCCGTTCGAGTTGAATGACGGTTATTCCAAAGATGACCAACGTATCTAGCTTCGGTGATTATCGTGAGCGTTCTCGATCTTGGTCTGCTGCTAAGAATCAGCTAAATTGAGAAAGAGAGAACACGGATGATTGCAGCATATCTCAGTGTACCGTCGCTTCAGCCTACTCGCAAGGCTACCCAGGGCTATATCATTGACGGCGCTAATGTAGGAGGGGCGACAGCTCGAGAACGTTAGCTTCCAGTCTGATTGATCGATCTAACTCTGAGCAAGACGAGCGGCAGATCGAGATCCTCGAATGGCTCGCGCGCGACCAAGGACCAGGACGCCACCATGAGATCCAAGGACGTCGAACGCCCGGAACGGGCAAATGGATCTTCGCTCAATGGCAATTCAGACAATGGCTCGATACCTCAACGAATATTTTGTGGTGCATTGGCGGACCAGGGTCTGGAAAGTCGACGTTGATGTAATCACAACAAGTATTTCGTAGGATGTACTGGCTCGCTAATATCGCACAGGTCGTTTGTCATTGATGAGATCAAACAGTCACACACCGGTCCCGATGCTGGTGTTGCGTATTATTATTGCGACTATCGAATGCGGACTTCGCAGCCAATGGTGCTCGTACTCGGGTGCATGATCAAGACTTTTGCCGAGCACCTGGACAGTCTTCCACAATCTCTCAATGCACTATACGACAAGTGCCGGCGAGAGAATCGGCAGCCCGTTGTCGCAGAGCTTGAGGTCATCATGAACGATATTTGCGGTCTGTTCAAATCCCCCTTTGTTCTGATTGATGCATTGGACGAGTTTAGCCCCGCTGATATGACGCAAACGAGACATCTGGTCCGCCTCCTGGACAAGCTTGCTCGGAATGGCGCACGCGTCTTCGTCACAAGTCGATCAAGACCTGAGCCCCTGTCCGCAGAGAACAATGTTGTACTAGAATATACAGCGGATAGCGAAGACGTCCGATCGCATGTTTTGTATGTTCTTAGGTCCGACGACATGATGATAGACCTCTTAGATCAGCAGCTCGAAGAAGAGATATGCAGCACGATTGTCATTCAAGCAGGTGGAATGTAGGGGCAGAATGCTATATCTTCCGGTCGCAGCTGCTAACAATCGCACAGGTTTCTGTTGGCAGTCCTTCATCTTCAGAACATTCGTGACCAGGTCAGTCGAGCTGGTATTCGCAAAAGCCTGAAGACACTCAGTAGTGACCTGGGTGGCGCCTATGACAAATCCTTCGACGCCTTGTCCCACCAGTCCGCGGCACGAAAAGAGCTTGCGCTCCGTGCCTTGCGCTGGGTGGCTTGCGCCTACCGCCCACTCAGTGCACTGGAGTTGCGACACGCTTTGGCAACCGACGATGAGATTTGGGATTGGGATAAGGTATCCCCTCTCAGGCTCATAATCAGTAGCTGCTGCGGATTACTGTCGGTGGACGGAATGGAGGATCACGCACAAGTACGGTTGGTGCATCATACCTTGCAGCAGTATCTTCAGAGTACCCAGCCGGACTGGTATGCCAGAGCCCATACAGTCATCACTCAGACGTGCCTACAATACCTTTTGCTGGAGGCACTAAAGACACCTGAAATTCAAGGCGAGGTCAAGTCCAAAGGCATCTCGAAGAGGGCCTCCAATGATATTTCACATCCGAATATGCTTGCTCCAAGGAAGCCGGAGAAGAGTAATTCGGATTCGAGTGCGGACGAGATATTTATTCTCGTTGGATATGCGAAGGACTGCTGGGGCTTGCATGCTGCATTGGCGCTTTTGGAAGAGTATGTGAATTTGGCCATGCGTCTGTTCAACGACCAGCCACGGCTGAAGTTCCTGTTCGCCGAGAACGAACGCATTCATGGGCTGCATATAGCCTCTGGTTTTGGGCTTACGGAGCTTGTGCATTATATGGCAGAATGTGGTCATGATGTTGAGTGTTTCGACACTGGGTCTCAGAGCCCTCTTCATCATGCCTGTGCGCACAATCATCCGAACACAGCCCTCGAGTTGATCAAGCTCGGTGCCAATGTCTCTCACGTAACACCCAAGCGTGACACCGCGCTGTTTCTGGCCGTCGGAACTGGGAACCTGGAGTTAGTCAGAGTTCTCCTGGATAACGGTGCACCGCCTGGTCAGATCGCAAGGGATGGTTGGATTGCTTTGCACAAAGCGGCGGATATGGGATTCTTCGAGATTGTGGTGTTGTTGGTCCGCCGAGGAAGTTCGGTCTCGAGCAAATCCGCACGCAGGTTGACTGCCTTACATCGTGCAGCAGGAAGAGGTCATATAAAAATCATCGAGTTCCTGATAAAAGAAAAAGCCCCTTTGGAGGCAGTCACCCATGACTTGTGGACACCGCTTCACGGCGCATCATCCAGCGGAAAAACCGAGGCAGTGGAGTTGCTGTTGCAGCACGGAGCGAATCTTTATCATCAAAGCCTCGATGGGAAGACCGCACTGCACCGGGCTTGCCAAGGTGGACACGTCGAAACTGCCCGGGCTCTCTTACAGCGCGGTGCTGATGTCATGATCGGTGACTCCAAGGGCAACCTTCCCTTGCATATTGCAGCGCGGGAAGGGCACACAGCGATGGTGGGCTGCCTGCTGGAACATTCAACACAGCAACTGCTGCATTTGAACAAGGCCAAACGTACACCGTTGCTGGAGTCGCAATGGAGTGGCTCGCGAAGGACGGAAGAGCTTCTGATGCAGCGAACTCACGCCATTTCCGGCTCAAGTGTCTCTGATGACGCTGACTTGTCAGCGGCCATACACAAAGACGACCCCAATGCAGTTAACCAACTTATCAAATGTCGAGGGCTTGAAATCGAATCGCGAGACTCCATCGGTCGAACGCTTCTTCAGCAAGCCCTTCACGCCGAGTCCTCCAAGGTCGCACAAGTTCTTCTGGAAGCAGGAGCAGATATTCACGCCCGATCGCACATCGACGAATGGCAGCCGATCCACTTCAGCGCTTTGGCAGGGAACGCCGAATGCGTTGAGTTGTGTCTAAAGTACGGAGCTCAAGTCAACGCCCGGACACAAAGTGGCCAAACACCGCTCCATCATGCTTGTAGGAAAGGGGACGAGGACACGGTGCGGTTACTTATCAAGAACGGATGTGAGATCCGGGCCACAGACAGCAAGTACTGGCAACCGCTTCACACGACCGCGGATGCCGGCCACGAGCACATCGTCCGGATCTTGTTGGAGCATGGTGCCCTCAGTCGGTACAATGACTTGCAGTGGACAACTTTCCAGGACTTTGCGGCCCTGCGTGGACATCACAATCTGGTGGAGTTGTTTCGGGAACTGAGGTATTCGCGGAGGCCTTATGGTAAGTAGGCGGAGGGATAGATAGAGAGGAGATCACCTCTGCAGGATGGCTGGCAACCGTGACGCTGGATCGATGGCAATAGATAGTTCATATATAGACTCAAGCAGTCAGCAGAGACAGATTGAATGATCGATGGCTTGTCTGAAATTGAAGCTTCTACACTTTGACAACGTGCTGAACTCTTCAGCATATCTTAGTTGAAGACAGACTATAGCAAGGAACAGAGAAAAGAATGTTGTGCTGATGAGATCATGGATATAAGTTAGCCCAGCTGAGCGGATGGACGCCGCCTTCCTATTCTGGCTCACGCGCCTCTTTATCCGAGGGGGCAGAACCACGTGCACATCATACCAATCCTCCAGGCCAGAGGTCCAGGCTTGCAGTCATGGAAATTCACAGGGAAAATATGATCACAGAATAGAGTAGCATCTCACAAAGCTGTTATCTGACCAAATTACAGCGACTGGACCGGGTAGCTTGAGATTGAGGCTTGATGCGAAAAGATTCAAACGGGGGATGTCCTAGGGATATATAGTACGACAGGTACCCGACTTCCGGCGGCACAAATTTACACAAGCTTAAGGTCATAGAGTTGAGACAGAATTTGTCAAGATATCAATTGAACCGAAAACATGAGCGAATAGCAAGAGAATATTCTAGTAAAATATGTTTCCGTAATTACACCCAGGTTGACAGCGAAGAAATGAAAAGCCATGGTCGACGCTCAACTTGTACCAAGATTCTTATGAACAGAAACCCCATCTGTCATTGGTCGTAATCATAGATGCGGACGACGATTGCGGGTAGGCTGCAAGAGAACGCCGGCAATCAAGGACTCAGTGCACGCAGCTTCTCCTTCAACTCAATCATCTCGTCCAGACGAATAAGCTGTGCCGGGTCGTACATCACAGCGAAACGGGTGGAATTCTTGCCGCGGATCTTCATCGTAGTGGCGATGGTAGTCGCAATGTGAATCACCTCGCGCATCGAGACAACGAGACAAGGCCTCTCGCAGTCTCCCCAGGCCAGCTGCGGTTCGGTCTCGTCAGTGTCCTTGGCCCTCGCCTTGCCCTTCCCCTGGTACTTGATGACCGGGATCGTGAGGTCGAAGATCAGAAACGACATGGGTGGGGCCTTCAGCAGCTCCTGTCTCCAGGCTCTGCCCAAACAATAGATATCCAGACACATCTGGCCGGGCTCGCTATGATCCGCGCAGAAGTCGGTTTTGTGATTGGTGCATTCAGCGAGAGTCTCACTGTTCGCAAGGGGCTTGAGCAGAGCGAGCTTGACCGGGTGATTTCCCCAGAATTGAGGTATGGATGGTCCAGCGCCCAGTTGAGAGAGACCTGCTGTGATGAGACTCTCCTGAATGCACCCTAGGTGATCGATCTCGATCACGTCGCCTTGGGTCTGGGTCAACAGGGCGCTGATCTCTGTGTTGACAGCCGCGCGTTCCTCTGAAACGTTGAACGTGCGCTGTGCCCTGCCCTGCTTGTGCTTGTTTGATTTGCGTTTCGCTTTCTCGCTTGCCTCCTTCTTCCTCTCGTTGTACTGCTTTAGCTCCTCTTCTGTAGCACCTTCGGGCCACTGTGGGAATATGAGGATAGGTCGGGCTTGGATTGCCTTCCAGGGAAGCTCTTCAATATCTGAGTCCTCGTCTGGGTTGGTCGGATTGGTCGGATTGGTCTCTGGGTCTGATCGCTGTTCGGTGTCGACTCGTATCTCAGGAACCGCCTCAGCTTGTGCTTCATGCTTTGTTTGGTGCCTTGTCTTGTCTTCCACGTCTCTCAGTCCATCGTCTGCGTCGAGGTCCATGTCATCATCGTCAACATCCGTTGGAGGAACGGCAGGAGTATTTGAGTCGGATTCAGTGTCGTGCTTTGCTTCGTGGGTCACTCCGTGTTGAGCTCCGTCATCGACGCGACCTTCGTCTTTGGATTTGGGTGGCTTGCTGATTTTACGGCCTTTAGCCATGAGTGAGGTTGCTGATAGATGTTGGTGGAAGGCGAATGAAATCTGGGGATGGGTTGCGGTGGTGGTTGGTCGAAAGAGTGTTATGGGAAGAAGGATAGGGGAGAGAGAGGAAAGGGAAAAAAAAGAGAAAAGACGATGACAGATTTGCTTGACCGCAGGACAGTTTGAGTCGGAGTGAATGGAGTGCTTGGTGAAGGAAGAGAGCCGTAAGTCTACTTGAAACAACCAAAGAAGTCCCTGTCACATGATCCCATCAACACATCCTTTGGATCCCCAGTGAATGTTTCGCTTCCCACACAACACCAAACAACTGCCATACGACCTCTTGTTGTGTCCCTAAAGTTCCATCCATGCCCGTGTAGGCTTCATGCCTCTGCCACGACAAACCAGACATCAAGATAGCTCAACACCCGGTTCTTGCTGGGTCTCCCTTGTCATCCACCTCATTACTTACGATAAGAGGCTGTGGATCTTCATCGGAGGGTACTAATGTGAATCTCTCAGACTGCAGCGCAGGCTGACAAGGGTGCAACAACTTGAGCCAGTACTGCGAAGACCTGATTCCATAGGCCCACGACCCTTGGAGGGAATAAACGATCGCGTCCACAACTTGTGAGATTGCCTTGTCCTGCCTGAACCGGCTCTTTACCACTATCGCAGCGTGAACTAGACGGTATGGTATCAGCTACTCTTCCTTTCCATGATACTTGAGTGTGACTGACCAACCGAATCATCTAGATGGTGGATGTAGTCCCAGCACCGATCGACGGCCTCCTGCAAACTCTCGCCCGTGCCCCGCATAAGCCACGCCACACAGTTCATGCTTTCGGTGTCTACTCGACAGTCGTTCACGAGTATATGCTTGGGCAGGGCGTACAGGTCATGAACGACGCCAATCTGAAGACAAGCCTCGTCCATGAGGAGTTGCACGGTCGGATCATCCCAGACGCTATCGGGGATGTGAAGACCTAGCGCAAACTCCATCCAGTGGAACAACATGAACATGCCCGTGCTATCAACGCGAGATCGCTTCCATTGCTCCAAGTCGTCTGAGCAGGCCCTGCTTGGGCCGTGTTTTCTTGCGTGCATGGCCGTGATTGCTCTGTCGCTGTTTAGTACCGCGGGGCTATAGCCAAGAGAAGGGCTCACCTTTCTAGGTAGTCAGCCGCACGGAGGAATTGTTCCCTCCTCGGGCTAAGACGGAACATTTCAGCGAAGATTCCCCGCATATATTGCACATATTGTGGTTGAGTATTCTTGTCACTAGCTAGCGGGCCTTCAGTAGCAAGTAGTCTCAAGTCACGCGGTAGGCTGTCAAGTCCTCGTCCCAAGCGCAATGCCTCTCCCTGGCTCAACCAAGGATATTCGAAGAGGTTCCCGAAGAGCAGCAAACAAGTCAGCCATTTGCAAAGTATGACCAGTCGGTCATGGCTGGTGGAATGTGGAACCATGAAGGCTACGAGCGCGGGCAAGCGCATCGCTCGGATGCGTGATGCTTTGCTCTCGTCTACGCTTGGGAGAACAGCGAGGACCTCGTCCATGATCTGGTCACACATCAACCTGGTGAAGGAAGGGTGAGGGCCTCGCAGATGGGTCGTGGATGGACAGTAAGCAGGCCATCGCAAACTTTGATCTTCCGCAGCCATAATGTCAGTATGCAGAAATTGCGACGATGTCGAAGCGGTTCACCAGATATCGAGACTGACTTTATAGAACAGAGCAACTAGGTGAAGCTCGCGGTCCAGACTCTTCAACGACTTTTTCCTACCCGAACGTCGCAACAAACATGCCAATGCAAGTCGCTTGTTTTATACAGTCTATCCTCGACCAGTGGTAGCATTGTATGGCCGCGTTCGTGCAACTGACAAGGCATGACAAGAGCACTGGCCAACATTTCCAAGATTGGAAAAAGCCTATCACATGGGATAGAGTTTCTGGCCGGCCCCTTGCCGATACACTATACATGGATGAGGCGGCCACCGAACCAGGCCCAGGGCCTCCCCCGAACCACTCCCCGACAGCTTAAATCCCGCAATGACATCTTCTTGCAGCAAAACCTGGCGATCTGGGAGTCATGACTCCGGTCATTCGGTGCGTGAGGTTCTGGCTGTTTTGTTGCACGGCTGCTTTCCTTGGAACGATCTTGGCAGTGGTTTCCTACACGATCTCTTACCCATTACAGGAACTTTGTTCTCCCTTTCGACAAGTTATGGTGAGCATCCGGGTCAGCGGCCTTGACTATAGTTGGCGACCGTCCAATCGGAGTCTCTCCCACTGGTATACTGGTATCGCAAGGAACTCTATCGTGAAGTCCACCCGACACGTCAACAAACATCCGGCATCATCTCAGCCCGTGTCATCTGCTCCAGTGCAATAATTCCAAGGTCACTGTCATCAGTCTTCGCGGCCCTTGAGGACCTTCAACAAACTTGACATTACTCATTACCAAGGGCCTAATTTTGCTCCACCAGCCGCTTTTCTTATACTATCGGTCTCATGCACCTCCGGATTCCTCTTTTATCGTGTGAGATCCTTCCTTGATGCCCTGTCTCAACTCACACCTCATTCTCTATGTTTTGCTAGAAACCCAGGACATCGGTCCTCACCACTGCCGATCGACAATTCCATAAATCGAGCGCACAACAGCACCCTCGTAATAATCCCTCCCTACTGACCTCCTGAAGCACTTTCTACCGATTCAAAACCATCCACGTTCTACAATGAAAACCCAACATCCTACGCGCAAGCGACCGGAGCACGGCGGCCCGGGCGCGACAATTAGCCGACGCTGATTTACCCGACCCTCGAGTCGGAGCATGTCCGGCGACACCCCGCATAAATATGACGACACATCCAGCACCCCTCCGACCGCAACAATTACCCCTACCTCACGCACGCGCAAAATGTCCATGACCGTGACAGACAGCAACCAACCCCGGGAGGGCTTTCCGCGCCCATTCCCGGGAACCCCCAACAACGTGCTCGAGCAGTTCCAGATGGCGGGGAAGGTGGTCGTTGTGACGGGCGCCGCCGATGGGATCGGGTATGCGGTGGCGGAAGCGATGGCCGAGGCGAGGGGACATGTTGCGTTGTGGTATAACTCGTGAGTTTGCCTTCTGAGGGTGTGGGTATGCTTCTCATCTGTGATAGCAATAACGCTGCGGTGGAAAAGGCAGAGGTCCTGGCGCGAGACCACGGGGTCAAGGCGGTCGCATACAAAGTCGATGGTCGGTTTCGTTGGATGTATCGAGAAGCAAGACTGACCGTTTATAGTGTCGGACCCGGAGAGAATCCAGGCCGCGTTGACGGATGTGATTCGTGACTTTGGGAAAATCGACGTCTTCGTCGCCAATGCGGGTATGACTTCGAGACCAAAAAAGAGGCAAACCGCTAACAATCTTCAGGAATGGCAATCTCCAAGCCTATTCTCGAGCAGACACTGGACGAGTACAGGAAGCAGATGTCCGTGAACGGTATGTCATGGCCTCCAAGGGCACTGACAGTCAGAACTGACTCTCGCAGTGGACGGAGTGGTCTACTGCTCCAAATTTGTCGGTGACATCTTCAAGCACCAAGGGTTCGGCAACCTGATCATCACCTCGAGTATGAGCGCGCATATTGTCAATGTGCCGGTGGACCAGCCGGTGTACAACGCGACCAAAGCGTTTGTCACGCATTTTGGCAAGTCGCTGGCCCGCGAGTGGCGGGACTTCGCGCGGGTCAACATCGTGTCGCCGGGCTTCTTCGACACGAAGATGGGCGCTGGGGAGGACTGCCTGCAGGAGGCGTACCGGATGGCGGTGCTGGGCCGACAGGGGAACGTGAAGGAGATCAAGGGGTTGTACCTGTATCTGGCGAGCGATGCGTCGACGTATATGACGGGCAGTGATTTGCTGATTGACGGGGGGTATGTTCTGCCTTAGCCGGCTGTCTGGACTAGCCATGCTACTTTAAGCCTTGAAGTTCTTGATCATTCAGGTTGCCATCATGGGGAGGTGCATCTAGACGCAATGCATAGTGCGCGCTGATAAGCATTTGATAAAAGTCGGCTTGTGGATGGTCTGGATCAAACTGTAAACGACTATCGACGAATGCGGGGTGATGGTGAAAGGTGAAAAGCTTAGCTATTTTAGCGTGTGCACAGACAGCAGACCGATCCTAGCATCAGAGAGAATCAATGAGGTCAAATGCGCCTTCGGCGAGTTTACCCTTCCTTCGGTGACATCCGGCGAGTTTGGGGTTCAATCGGGATTAGAACACACCTGTTCACAAGAAAGAGGAGTACGCATCCACAGACTAAAACAGCCCAGCAGCCCCAGCTAATGTTTACTCGCGCAGGGACTTTTGTCATACTTCTGCTGCTGCAGCTTAGCGCCGAGCGGAGTTCGGCATTGCACCCCCCGATCAGACATCTCATCTTCCCCTCCCCCTCAAATAATCCAACACCACTCCATCCACCATCAAACTCCCACCCACCTCCGAAGATGTCTGCCTCCACCATGCGCGCATGGGTCTACACCCAGTCAGGCCTACCCTCACAGACCCTGAGACCAACGACCACCTTCCCCGCACCAACGCCCTCCTCCCTCGGTCCCACCGACCTCCTCATCGAAGTCGACTACGTCTCGCTGAACGCGATCTGCACGACGATGATGCGCGCCCTCCCCCCACAGCCCTTCTCCCTCGGCCTCCCCTTCCGACGCCGCATCGCCGTCCCCGAATTCGAGTTCAGCGGACGCATCCTCGCCACAGGGTCGCAGGTGCCCGCCACCCGACCCGAACTGACCCCCACCGCCCGAGTCGCAGGCTGCGTCTCCGAGCAAAACGTCTTTGGAACAGGGAAAGGCGCGCTCGCCGAGCGGTTGATCGCGCCAGCTAGCCAGGTCATCGCGCTGACCAGTTGCCCCTTGCCCCTTCAGCCCTCACCCTCCGCTCAGTCACCATCCCAACCCGAAACCCCACCTGCACCTGCACCGCAACCAGAACCGCTATCACCATTAGAAGCATCCGGCCTAACAGCGTGCGGCTGCACCGCCATGCAAACCCTATCCCTCACCGGACTAATAGCAGGGGACAAACTGCTCGTGAACGGGGGCAGCACGAGCGTAGGGATGCTCACGATCCAGATCGCACGGCACATTCTCGGCCCGACCGGCACGATCGTCGCGACGTGCTCGTCGCGCAACGCGGCACTGGTCGGCTCGCTCGGCGTCGACGAGGTCATCGACTACGTCGCGCACGACCCGCTGCACGAGCATCTCCGCGCCCACCACTCCTCCTCCTCTTCCGCGGCCGCAAAAACCCGCCCCTTCGACGCGATCATCGACTGCGTCGGCGACGCCACGCTCTACCGCCACTGCGCGGCGTACCTGGCCGAAGGCAAACCCTTCATCAATCTGGGACAGATGAACGCCGCGCCCGGGTTCTGGGGCCAGCTCGCGTGGGCGTGGGAGCAGGTGGCGTTGCGGTTTTGGCCGGTCGTGCTCGGGGGCGTGCCCCGGGGGTATCGGTTCTATAGTGGGCGGCCGCGGGCGGAGGATATGGGGCGGGTGCTGCGGTTGGTGGAGCGGGGGGTGGTGCGGGTGGTGGTGGATTCGGTGTGGGGTTGGGGGGAGGTGCCCCAGGTATGTTTATGTTTTCTTGCTTGGGGGGGATGGGGAAGATGTACTGACGTTGAGGTAGGCGTATGAGAGGATGGAGAGTAAGCGGGCCAGGGGGAAGGTTGTTGTGAGGGTGCGGGGTGAGGATGCGTGATACTCGCTAGTGGTTTCCTGAAAGGTTTTGGATGTTAGTCTGGATGCCATTCCAGAGATGCGGTGGATTGAGTGATGGCGGATCTGTGGGTGGAGGAGGGATGTTTTCAACTACACAGCCAGTTGAACCCGACTCTTATGCAATCTTGGGTACACATTCTCGGAGAAAACAGGACAAACACTTATATGTGTCATATTGCTGCACCCATGCCGCTGTATTCCGCATAGAGCTGTAGCTTACAGTAGTGAGAGTGTTACAAAGAATAGCATCATAACAATTCACCATCACCCCTGTTCGTTGACACGAACCAAAATATGATACATACTATCCGCGAGGGGGGGAACCCCCACACCCCTTGTCAAGAAGTTGCAAAATACCGAGCAGATCCAAACACAAGCGAATAAAAGTAGACAGGGTGAGATACAGGAGGGTTTCCCAGACCCCTGATATTTCACATGATCACAATCCATACAAATACACATTCGACACCGCTTCGGAAAGATAATGCCAATGCACACAACCCTAGATAGAGTAAGCACCACCTCCCCCGGAATCAGCGTCTACCCAATCCTGTCAGCGGGACTGCTCATCGGAATAAGATACCTACTCGGTGGTCTGCTGTTAGCCCAGCTTTGCCGACCCAGTTGGCCACCTGCAACTTGGAAGGTGAGTGGAGGGTCCGGTGTGGTGGAGTTTTAGCCATCCCGGGAGCAATGCCGCCCGAGCCCTAGATTGATAGGGCGAGTAGCTTCCGACTCCAGCTGGAAGCATTGCTGGATGTCAGATCGATCCAAATACCTCAGTACCATCCATCATTTCCTTCTATGCATGTGTTCCACACGATTGTAGACCTGTTGCGTGTACGCAATCGACACGACTATCCCAGATCGACGCCCGGCAATTGCCAGTCTCCCCAACAATCCACGGATAAGCATCAGAGATGAGAGCGCATCTCGCCCACTGAACTAGCCTGTCGAAATCATACATAGAGCAAATCAAGACACACGACTATACACCACCACCCCAACCAAGCCAGCCACCCCAACACCACAACTCACCACCCCCGCAACACAGCCGCCACTCTCGGAAACAACCGTAGCGCATTCCCCGCATGGATCTCCACCATCTCAGAAGCTTTAAACCCGCCATTCGCCTGAATCTTCGGCAACGTCGCCGCGATCTGATCACTCGGGACGTACGGATCTGCAAGCACAAGCAATCAGCACGACCGTTCCCACCACACAAACACACACACACACACACACGAGAACAAAAAAAGGAAAGGGGCGGGGCGCATACAATCCGTCCCGGTCAGGATCCTCCCCGTCCCCAGAAAACTCTTCAGCGCCGCCAGCTGCACGGCGGACGTCGCCGACGCCGTCTCGAAGTAATACCCGGCCAGCTGGGCGAGCGAGTCGGCCACGCTCCGCCCGCCCATGAACTCCATCGAGGCGAGGCCGGCGATCCGCGGGGCGAGGTAGGGCATTGCGCCGCCGCCGTGCGCGAAGATCAGGGTCGCTCGCGGGAAGCGCGCGCGCTGGCCGGTCAGCAGCAGGTTTTCCATGGCGCGCACCGTGTCGAACGGGTATTCGGTGAGCGGGAGGGGGTAACCCAGCGCGACGGCGGGGCAGGACGGCGCGGCGGGGTGCACGAACGCGGTGGCGTTGCGGGCGCTGAGGGCGGCGAAGATCGGGTCGAGACGGCGGTCGCCGAGATACATGGTGCCGTTGAAGTTGGTGTAGAGGCCGATGCCGGGGAAGTTGAGGGTGTCGAGGCAGAACTTGGCTGGTCAGTTGGGGGTGGTGAAAAAGGCGGGAGGGGAGGAGGTGTGGAGGGTGTCCTGTACCTCGAGCTCGGCGAGGGATTCGTTGATATGCGGCAACGGTAGGAGGCATAACGCCCCCAGTCGGGTGGGGTGCGTTTGCGTCCAGTTGTGCATTTGCAGGTTGATGCGTCGGGCGAGCTGGCTGGCGGCGGCGGCGTCATGGCGCAGGAAGGCAACGCCCGGGGCTGTGACGCTGACGGTCGAGAAGTTGATGCCTCGTGCGTCCATGGTCGAGAGGTGGGAGTCCAGGGTCCAGTCGGGGACGGGGAAGTCGTCTACATATAAGGTGCCATTCTTGAGGGGGTAGCCGGCGGAGATCAGGGCTTCCTTCCAGACGGGCGGGATGACGTGGGAGTGCACGTCGATGATATAATCGGCCCCGAGAGTGCTATGGCTGTGGGCGTGGGCGTGGATGAGGGTTGTGGTGGCGAGGCCCAGCACGATGGCTCGGAGGGAAGGCATGTTGAGTCGAGTCGACTTGAGAACGGAACAGATGTGAAGAAAGGATTTTTTTCGACGAGACAACTGGGGGATCGCTTCATATAGCGACGCGTATGCGATAACTAGTCTCTCGCTAGCTAGGTAGTATTGTTCCGGTAGAAACCGGTGATGCGCCGGAGCCCTACGGAGGATAAGTTAGTATGGTACTATACTTCCCACAAGCTAAAATGACCGGGGAGCATCACTAACACCCTCCGTTGCATTGCCGGCTTAACTAGCTTGGACTAGTTTCAGGGCTACGGACTAGTTAGTGTGCGATTAGAGCTATCTGGTACGGAGGTGTGTCCTATAAGTTATTGAACCGCACTAATCTTCTTAGCTGAAATTTATGTATTGACTTGTTAATATAAATTATCACAAGTTGTACTGCCTAGAAATAGCTTTATAATACTACTACTTAAATAAGTAAAGATTTTTCAATATATCCCAGGCTAGACTGAATCTAGTAGTAGTTACTTATTTAATCTTACAGATTATATCTTTTGAAGGAACTTTTATTATATTACTTATCTGGCTTTATAAGTTACTACTTTAGGCCATACTTATATGATATAAGACATTATTACACCCGGTTTACATCGAGATAATTAGCGCAGTTCAATAAATTTTGGGACACACCTCCGTAGACTAGCTGCATAATCAGCTCATGCCACGCCCAGACATGGATGAGATCCTGTCAGCACTTACCTGCGATCCGGTTGACACCGATGGAGGCCAAGGAATTGGCAATATCCAACCCTGGTCGTTCTTTGTTCGATCGCACACAACCTATTCCCCTATTAAAGTGCGGTGGTGATATAACAGGATCCCTTTTTCCAACCTACTAACCCGCAGAGACGATGAACATCCACACTCCCAGAAGATTTGCACCTATCGCCGTCTCCATGACTGAACGACCCAACGAGGTAACTCCATGGCTCCGACCAAGCTTTCATTAGTGACCCCATATTAACAGAAGGTCAGGACGCCAACCGCGGACCCTCCCTGGTTATCATCAACGCCACCTTCACCGCCATCGCCACGCTCATCGTCATCCTCCGCATCATCGCCCGTGCTTTCATCCTCAAGAAACCCGGCTTGGACGATGCAATGATCGCCGCTGCGACCATTCTCGCCATTCTGAACGTGGTCGTCTCAGGACTAGGTACAGTACCAGACCTCTCTTCCCCTTCAACATGACCCCAGCATCAGCTCACGACCCAGGCGTCACCCACGGCACCGGAAAACACACCTGGGCCCTCAACCCCAGCGACGCCGTGCCCGCAGCCAAAGTACGCCCCCGACAGGCCCCCGCAGCCTCTTCCCCAAGCAACCGATCATCAGACTAAACCCACAGCTCCGCTTCATGACGCACATAATCTACGTCCTGGCCAGCGGAAGCATCAAGATCTCCATCTCCCTACTCTACCTACGCCTCTTCCCGACGCTGCGCGGCCCCACCCTCGCCACCATTGGCTCAATCACCGCCATGACCACCGCGATCTTCCTCGCCACGATCTTCCAATGCTCCCCACTCGACGCCGTGTACAACACCCGGAAGTACGCGCACGCCGCGTGCCTCGGCGCCGTGGCCTTCTGGTCCGCGACGGCGGCGCTGTACCTGCTCACCGACGTGTGGGTGCTCGTGCTCCCGGTTCCAACGATTCTAGGTATTCCTTGCCCCGGCCACTGCTCTTACCTGCCAGGTCGGTTCTGACTCGGTCATCAGGTCTCCAGGCCAGTCGCAGGAAGAGACTTGTCCTGACGGCGCTGCTTTCGCTCGGAGCATTGTGCGTGTCCCTCTCACCTTGTCTTACCTTACCTTACCTTACCTTACCATGACATGACGCTAAGAAGGGCAGTGCATGTATCGCCAGCATCGCGCGGATGGTCTACATCGTCCGGCTGTACCAGGGCGTCGACCAGAGCTGGCACAGCGTGGACGTCTCGATCTGGTCCGGGGTGGAGCTGGCGCTCGGGATCGTGGCGGCGAGTGTTCCGAGTCTGAGGCCGGTGCTGGACCAGCTGGCGCCGGGGCTGTTGTCGTCGGTGGGGCGGAGTCATCACTATGAGTCCGGGGGAGCGGATCAGAGGAGGATGGCTGGGCCGTTCCACGAGGATATCTCGCTGGTCCGGTTGACGGGGAAGGGAGGGGATGGGGATTATGGTTCGAGTGCTAGTATTCTGCGGGGGTCGTCGGGGGGGCAGTGTCTCTCGCAGGAGCGTAGATAGGTCTTTCTCGAGCTAGATTTTTTGAGGTTTGAAGGTCTTGGGAGCTTGGACGGCAATGGTAGGTGTGCTCAGCTGGGAGCGGACACAGTCAGAGCCGGAGATGTCTGCACCTCCGGATTCATTCGTGTGGTCGATGAAATATGGATGCATCATCGAATAGTCGGTCAGAGAGAATGGAGCGTCTGGAACAGAATAGGCGAATGAGGGGTAGACGGCGAGGGAATAAGTGTCTGGTTGGACGACGCCATGCAGCTTATCATCCCTTGCAGGGATCCCGGGAGAGTTTGAGCGACCCCGTCATGCAGGGAATCGTGCTCCTCGTGCTGTTGGGTCAGTCGCGACAGACCATCGCTCTTTGCTTGTTGATGACAGACGGTCACGGAAGCAGTACTGGCCATTATTCCGCCTGAGATGCTTCTGCCCGTCATCCATGGTGGTGTTAATCAGTTGAACTGGGGCGATCGACAATGGACGGGATTAGGGCTTTCCCGGTCAGCCACCCGCTCCCGAGGGTTCCCTCCCCACCGTGCAAGATTCCTCATCGAGACTCACAGGCAGACCATCGCCTCACTGACCCATCAAACCCACCCTTGGTGGGCTCCCGGGTGATCCTTACACCCAGAATGGTCTTGTCTCAGCTGTATCACGATCCATCCATCATTGACAGATCGCCGCGCCAAGGGGTCGAGATCGGGTGCACGCAGTGGCATCCCCTAAAGGTGGCAGGATCATATACCATGTACAAGACGTGAAAACATACTAAGGTAGTCTGCCTACTGCCTCACCTGTCCTTCAGCACTGATCCCCTCTAAGGCGACAGCGCTGAGACCGGCAAGTCGGCTGGCTGGCGGTAGGCTGAAAATCGGCGCTCGGTCGGCGATAGATTTGGAGAGGTGCAGGTGGAGCCTTGCCTCGGCAGGCTAAGACATGCTTCATTCTTAGGGCGAGGTCACGTTACTGGAGTGAGTGACCTCAAGCAACCAAGACCTTTCCACGGGAGATACACCCACCTTGCCTTAAATCCGAACGAGACCTCCGGCTGAATCTGCCGTTCGAGCAAGACCAAATTTTTCTCCATGTGTACGAGTAAGAGTACAGTACCTGAGTCCGTCGATGAGTCAGCCCCAAATGCCGAGTGGAGACAGAGTGGTGGGCCGCTGAGTCAGCCGGGTAAACTCCGCTCCGCGATCGGCCCCCGCCCCGCCGCATCAACCAAGTGAGGGCACCAGCAACGCTACGCCATTAAGAATGCGACCAAGACACCTAGCAAGTTAGTAACTAACCCTGAATTCCCCGCCCCCGGAATTTGATAGTGCGTTTCAAGGCAGTCCAACTGCCAACATGACAGATGAAGTCACTTGGGCTCTTAGATCTCAAACCATCAACATCCGATGCCTCTGTCCCCCGTCCAAATCCCCAATTCCAGCCACGCAGCATCGCCAACCGTGATTGGCTCCCAGAGACAAAGCCACTGTGGACGAAAGTCAGCAGAAAACTTCTTCCCTCTCGGAACCAAACACCACTTTTCCCTCCCGAGACCAAAAACCAGTCGCGCGACAGAGTTCACCGACCCATGAGTCAATCCAGGGCGGAGAGGCACGAACGACAGCGGACTGGCTATCCACCAGCAGAAAATTCGACGAACCAGGCAAACCAGCTCAGGCGCCAAAAGTTCGGTGGATGTGCCTGGCTAGGATCCAGGATCCAGCCCTCCCAGCCACCGCTAATGCAGGTGCTAATGCAAGGAACAAGGAACAGGGTTTTGCAGTGCCTGCCAAGCGTCGCGTCTCGCACGACGCATCTCCCTACGTAGCCCGGTAAATCGGCCTATCTTATCAGTCCAGTCCGGTGTGGCGGGTTGCGGGTTTTTTTGCAGCCCTCCTTGCAGGACAGACCGTGGATGTGGATGGGGGATGTGATCCGTCACTGTGATCTGTGGTCGGGGATTTGGAGTCTGCATACGTAGAATTTTCTCTGCAGTGGAGACACGGCGATGTGATTGATTTTTCCTTTCTGTGTCTCAATGGATAGATAAAAGGGAGGTGCCCGAGAAATACCATGCATTTTCTCACGCTCTTCCTCTTGCTCCCCCCTCCCCCCCTTTGACTCTCCACTACACACTACACACTACACACCCCAAAATGCACATCCCAAGACTAGCCCTGACCCTGGCCCTCGCCCTCGCCAGCGGCACCACCGCGACAAACCACACGGCCATGACCCGGGCCGTGACGGCGCTCACCACCCTGCAAAGCTACTACAACCCGACGACGGGAATTTGGAACACGTGCGGCTGGTGGAACGGGGCCAACTGCCTGACCACCCTCGCCAACCTCGCCCTCAAAAACAGTACCGTCAACGCCACCGCCACCGAGGTCATCGAAAACACCTTCCGGGTGGCCACGAACACGAACCCGTACCCGGCGCGCGGGATCGACGCCGACTACACGGCGGCGAACGGTACCGCGTACACGATCCCCGGCCAGCCGACGGGGGCGGCCAACGCCTCGCTGTGGCTGGACGGGAGCTACGACGACGACATGTGGTGGGGGATGGCGTGGGTGGCTGCGTACGACGTGACGGGGGAGCCGGATTATCTGGAGCTGGCGGAGGGGGTGTTCTACCATCTTGTACGTTCCCCTTTTTGCATCCCCATCTCACTACGGGGTGTCGTGTCGTGCCATTCTCCCTTTGATTGAAATGGGGCTGTGTTGAACACTCATGCTAATATGCGATGACGATAGAGCCGCGCCTGGCCCTCGCTCTGCGGCAACGGCGGCCTGGACTCGGACTACACGCACGTGTACGTGGGCGCCATCAGCAACGAGCTCTTCCTGGCGCTGGGCGCCTCGCTGGCCAACCGCGTCGCGACCAACAGCAGCCGGGCCTACTACCTCGACTGGGCGAAGCGGCAATGGGCGTGGTTCGAGGGCAGCGGGCTGATCAACGCGGACCACACGATCAACGACGGGCTAACGGGGGCGTGCACCAACAACGGGATGACGGTGTGGTCGTACAACCAGGGCGTCATCCTGGGGGGATTGGTGGAGCTGCACCATGCCACGGGCAGCCACGCCTCCAACTCCACGTACCTGACTGCCGCGGCCCGGATCGCGCAGGGGGCGATCGCGGCGCTGGCCGACGAGGACGACGTGATCCATGAATCGTGCGAGCCGGACAGCTGCGACTCGAACGAGACGCAGTTCAAGGGGATCTTTATTCGGAATCTCAAGGTGTTGCAGGGCGTCGCGCCGAATGAGACCTACGCCCGAGTCATCAATGCGTCGGCGGCGAGTCTGTGGGCGAATGATCGTACTGAGGCGACGGGGTTCGGGGTCGATTGGTCGGGCCCCGTCGATGCGGCGACGGTCAATGCCTCGACGCAGAGTTCGGCACTGGATGCGCTGGTCGCGGCGATTTGGTAGATGTCCCCCACCCCGCCCCTGGTGGGTTGGTTGGTGCATTTGGGTTGGTTGCATTTATAGATTAGAATAGACTTTGGATGTGAGATTGCGGAGTGCATTGTATATACTTGCATAAAAGCATGCGTTATTCGGCATTATACAAAGCAACAAGATGATTGGCTTGAGTTCCTGTAGATGTCTTCTGCATCTACATCCCCAGTAGCCTGATAAACGGCGTGATCGCGACCAGCGGCGCTGCCTGTGGGACCCGATAGCGAGGTAGCGGGGCCGCTTTGAACCCCATCGGAGTGGAAATTCTCAATTGGATACTGTCAGGCTGACGAGCATCTCTTCCAAGTGCAGTGTAGCTTGACACATAGGTACAGACATGAACTATGCAGTATGCCCTGTTGCCTCAGCCCTCTTGAGTGGGAACAACCAAAAGTGCGAGTACCGTGGCTGTCCAACCGAAACAGCGGCCCTATATCCTGACGCTTCTCGCTGGTAACCCCCTTTCCTTGGTCTTAGGCACTACTCGTTCGATTTTGGTCCTCGTCCTTCCGGAGATTCTGCCAGCCTGCCTGGAGGACGTCCCTACATCCAATGCTCATCCCGTACTGATGCGAAGATACACTCTCTATTTCTTAGCTAGAGGATTCAACATGGGCTCCACTTCTGTGGAAAGGAGCGGGACAAGGTCGAAGAACATAGTATACTGCATATATAAACTCAAATATAGGACCAATGTATTTACAGCACCAACCCCATGTTGCTGCCATTTTTCACGATCAGTGCAAGAAGAATCAATGGGCAATAAGTCTACACCCTCAGACAACCACTAGACATCCTCCGCATGCACGACATCTTCGCACTTCCCCTTCCCCTCCCGCCCAGCCTTCCCCCCCTCGACTCCACCGCCCACCCGTGGAACCGCCCCCGGCCCGTCGAAAATCACCGCGATCTCCTCCAGCGAATACCCCTTGGTCTCCGGGTACCAGAAATACGCCGTGACGCCGAACACCACCAGCACCGCGATGAACACAATATAGTAGCGCCACTCGATCGCATCCAGCGCAATGGGGTTGACGAAGGTATTGAAGAACATGGCCACGATGGTGGCGCACCACGTCACCGTCAGGCCGCGGGAGCGGAGGCGGTACGGCCAGATCTCGCAGGGGTAGGCGGTCAGAAAGGGGGTTCTTCGCCATCACCGGTTAGCACAGTGCAAGCTTGAAGGGGTTAGGTAGGAAGAAGGCAAACTTACAAGGCAATGCAGTAGCCCGCGAAGAACACAAACAAAAACGGAATGACGGCGGCGCCCGTCGCGGAGTCCCCGGTCGACTTGAACGAGCCCGACAGCGCAGTCACCAGCACATAGCTGACCAGCATGATGCCCGCCGAGGCCAGGAACAGCGGTCGGCGACCCAGTCGGTCGATCAGGTACGCGCCCAGCGCGGCGCAGCCCAGGTCCCACATCTGCAGACACGCCGAGATCAGCGTCTGGTCGCGCACGCGGGTCACGCCCACCGAGGTCAGAATCAACGACAGATAGTACGAGACCACGCCGTTGCCGGACCACTGCGCGAAGAACCCCAAGCTGACGGAGATCATCAGCCGCCACCGGTTTCCCGGCGTTTGCACCATCTCCGCGTAGCTGCCGCTGCTGTGGGCTTCCTGTTCCGCGCGGATGGTGGCTCGGATGGTTTCGAACTCGTACTTCACCAGCGGGGAGGAGTCGTCCCCTGCCGCATGGTACTGGGCCAGGATCTTGCGGGCCTCCTCGTCGCGACCCACGGACAACAGCCAGCGTGGGCTCTCGGGTGCCCAGAGGAACCCCGGCAGGCCGACCACGGGCACCAGGGCCTGCAGGACCGAGGGCAGCCGCCAGGACCACGAGGAGGGGTAGGTGCGCGAGGCGAAGACGACCCATGCGGCGACCGTGCCACCGACGTACCATCCGGACATGAACAACGAGTTGAGGATGCCACGGTGCGTCGGGTAGGCGATCTCATTGATCAGCAAGGGGACCGAGTTACCAAACATCGCCGAGGCGAAGCCCAGGAACAGCCGAGCCAGCATGAAAGCCACGGGGTTGGGGGCGGCCGTCTGCAACGCAGTGCCGAGAGCGAGAAAGACATACCCCACGTACACGCCGGGCTTGCGTCCGTACTTGTTGGCAATCCACGAGGCCGTCGGGTATCCGACACCACAGCCCAGCCAGTAGATGGCATTCAGCCACCCCAGCTTGGCACCGGTGGGATTGTTCATGAAGCTCTTCCACTGATCCAGAGCCTCAAGACCGTTCATGAGGGATCCGTCAAATCCGTTGGCAGAGGAGAACATAACCAGAGAGAGAATAATGAGGTTGAGGCGCAGGAGATGGCCTTGTCGATACCAGGGACGATCGCTAGCTGGCAGGACTGCAGCAAGCTCATCCCCTGCAGTAGGCTTTTCGCGGATGTCTTCTTTGCTCGAGCCCATCTTGACAAAGATTTTAGATGAAAAAGTGGTTGAAACCAAGAAATGCTAGACCAGCCACGAGGGAAAGCAGAGGTTTTATCCCGACTAAGCGTCCCTACTGTTCCGATCGGATGGTTCATTTCACGCCTTGCTCAGCCGGGGTAAGACTTTTTCGTATGGAAGCAGAGTATGATGCAAGCGAGGTAAAACCTGTTCCCATCGTGGGCAGACTCCGACCTTTTCCTTGTGGCTGAAAACGCGGAGAAATGATACGAGCAGCCAATGGAAGCCTAATCCGTGCGCTCGTCAACCCATACACTCGGCCATCGGCTTGTCACCCGGATATGCAGCAATACCCGGGGTAGAAACGGGAGGAGACGTGGAGAATTGTTGGGGAGGGTTTGGGGGGGTCGGGCCACGCGGGAAGAGCGGAGAAACGGAGAAAAGGAGAAACGGCGAAAAAGGCGAAACTGCGGACGATGGAGCCACTGGGTTGATGACACTGACAACCAATCATGACGGAATTTCGGTATACCGTCTGGTGTACTCCGGAGTACAATCAAAGCTTGGGATCCACTTCCATGCTCACTCTGCAAGTTACTCATCGGCGAAGGTGTTGGGGTCAATTGTCGTCGCTGGGGTTGGGTTCTCGTTAATTTCCGCGAACATATACATAATCGCTCGCATTCAGCGATGCAGGTAATTCAAAGCCTTTTCCCTTCTCCTTGAATCTTTCTCATTGCGTCCTGGACATACCATCAACATGCCGTTCGTTGAACCACCTCCCCCCGAGACGAACAGCGCCTTCGCCCAGATTGCAAATGCAGATCTGGAAGTACTGTTAAAACAGCTCACACTAGACGAAAAGGTCGCACTTCTGACGGGTAGGTCCAGCACCAGAAGGTCAATCGCATCGCTAACGCACAGCTCTCGCAGGCGACGACTTCTGGCACACGGTCGCCATTCCCCGCCTCGGAATCCCATCGATTCGACTGTCTGATGGCCCGAACGGCGTCCGCGGCACGCGCTTCTTCGGCAGCGTCCCGGCAGCCTGCCTACCGTGCGGAACCGCTCTAGGAGCCACATTCGATAGGGATCTAGCCGAGGAGGTGGGTGGTCTGCTGGCGGATGAGGCCAAAGCCAAAGGCGCCCACGTCATCCTTGGCCCAACCATCAACATCCAACGCGGGCCCTTGGGCGGGCGAGGGTTTGAGTCGTACTCCGAAGACCCTCTTCTCTCGGGCATAATGGCTGGCCATTACTGCAAGGGACTGCAGCAGAAGAACATCAGTGCCACCCTCAAGCACTTTGTATGTAACGACCAGGAGCACGAGCGCATGGCCGTCAACTCGATTGTCACAGACCGGGCCATGCGGGAGATTTATCTCCTCCCTTTCATGCTTGCAATCGGGGTGGAGAAACCAGACGCGATCATGACGGCCTACAACAAAGTCAACGGTATCCACGCCTCCGAGAGTCCAAACCTCCTGCAAGACATTTTGCGGGGCGAATGGGGCTGGGACGGGCTGCTGATGAGTGACTGGTAAGCCCACTTCCTCGTACCATGCGAACCATAACTAAAAGCAGACAGGTTCGGTACCTACAGCACATCCGAGGCCGTCCAGGCGGGCCTGGATCTGGAAATGCCGGGTCCCTCCAGATGGCGTGGCAGTGCTCTTACCCACGCAATCACCGCCAACAAAGTTTCCACGGCCACGCTAGATGCTCGCGTGCGAGCTGTTTTGACGCTTATACAGAAAGCCAGCAGATCCGGGATCCCTGAGCATGCACCAGAACAACAGCTCAACCGCGAGGAAGATAGACAGCTTCTGAGAAAGATCGCGGCAGAGGCAATTGTCTTACTCAAGAACGAGAACAGCATCCTTCCGTTGAACAAACACAAGAAGATCGCTGTGATCGGTCCCAATTCGAAGATTGCGACCTATTGCGGCGGTGGTAGTGCTGCGCTGAACCCATATGAGGCCATTTCACCGTTTGAGGGCATCACACATGTAGCTCAAGCTGACGTCGAGTTTGCACAAGGCGTGTACGGTCATCATATGCTGCCCTTGCTCGGCAAGCGGCTACAGACCAGCGATGGCCAAATGGGCTTCACCCTAAGGATCTTCAACGACCCACCAACCGTTCTCACCAGGCAGCCACTAGAAGTCAGACACGAGACGGACGCCCAGGTCTTCTTTCTGGACTACAACCATCCCGAACTGCAATCAGTGTGGTATGCTGAAGCCGAAGGCGACTTCATCCCTGAAGAGTCTGGACTGTATGACTTCGGTCTCTGCGTCCGTGGCACCGGAAAGCTCTACGTGGACGGAAATCTGCTGGTGAACAACGCCGACGTACAGCGACCGGGGCCCAGCTTCCTCGGAAGCGGCACAATGGAGGAAACTGGCACGCTAGACCTTGTAGCCGGCAGATCCTACAGGGTTCAGGTGCAATGGGGATGCGCCAAGACTGCAAAATTCAAGATTCCCGGCGTGGTAGACTTTGGACATGGCGGGTTTCGATTCGGTGCATGCAAGCAGCTGTCCCCTCAGGAAGGAATTGAGCAGGCGGTGGAGCTAGCTGCCAGTGTAGACCAGGTGATCCTCGTGGCCGGGCTGAGCGCTGAGTGGGAATCAGAGGGCGAGGATCGAACCAGCATGAGCTTACCACCGCACACCGACGAACTGATCTCACGGGTACTCGAGGCGAATCCCGACACAGTCATTGTCGTGCAAAGCGGAACACCAGTTGAGATGCCATGGATTGACAAAGCCAAAGCTGTTGTGCATGCATGGTATGGGGGTAACGAGACGGGCAATGGTCTGGCCGATGTCATTTTCGGTGACGTGAACCCGGTAAGCTCACGCATCTCATTGAATTTCATTTTGGGGACCGCGACTAACAAGATCACCACACAGTCCGGTAAACTTCCTTTGACCTTCCCCCGCCGTCTGAAAGACAACCCCACATACTTCAACTTCCGCTCCGAAGGCGGCCGAGTCCTTTATGGAGAGGACGTGTACGTCGGATACAGATTCTATGACGAAGCGGAGATCGAGCCGTTGTTTCCTTTCGGACATGGTCTTTCTTACACCACGTTCGTACTGTCAGACCTGTGCCTGGAGCAGAATGCAGATAACAACGTTCATGTACGCTGCAAGGTGCGCAACACCGGCACAAAGGCTGGCGCAGAAGTGATCCAGGTGTACGTGGCTCCAGTACAAGCTCCACTCAAGCGTCCTCAGAAGGAACTCAAGGGATTCCGGAAGATCCGTTTGGAACCTGATGCAGAGGAGACAGTCACAATCCCGCTTGATCTGGTACGCGCAACCAGCTTCTGGGACGAGAAGGCCAGCGTTTGGTGTAGTCACAGTGGTACATATCAGATTCTGGTTGGCACCAGTAGCCGTGGACATTTCCTGGAGGCTTCCGTGGACGTGGAAGAGACGACATTCTGGTCTGGAGTCTGAGAGGATCTAGTGCAACTAAAACAAATATCAATTCATGTTGGGCGAATACGATCTGTATCGACCCAGGCCTGTAAATTCATCGTATTCACACTTTCACTGGTGTCAAGCCGAGACAGTATCTCGGTAGCGAGACGGATGTACTCTGCCGCTCTTTCTGCTTCAGGCTCGCCGGCCTGGAACGGGCAATTCAACATGACGGAGGCGATATCCCGCACTTTGTAGGCTAGATGAAGACCGTTGATTTCCAGGTTGAGTTCCGGAACATTGTAGAGCAGAAAGAAAAGCTGACGACAAAGCTCCTCCCTTGTCCGCCAGAGCATTCTTGTGTCTGCAAGGGATGTGTTCAAGCCCGGGCTATCGGCTGCTGACAGACCTTGCGCCGCCTGCGAAGCCTCTAATTGGTCAAGGAGCAGGCTCTGCAGCCAGAGATGAGTAATGTGGATGTTGACACGCATGGACTCAAACGACGACCGTAGCAGAGCAGAGAATTCATCCGAAGCCAGGTCCTGGAGGGAGTTGCCCGATACTTCCCAGAGCCGCAGCGATGGTGGCACATCGTGCAGCAAATTCTGCATACACTGTAGCCGGTCCCGCAGGTATGCCAACCGGACATCAGTGTCTTGGGCTCGAACACAAGCGCAAGGTTCGGCTAGGCCGTTCTTCGGATGAGGGCTGCGGATGGCAGCCCAGAAGACGCGTGAGTGAATATTGAATCCGGTGGTCAGACATGATGTCGGGACAGGCGGCATCAGCACCTCGTGCTCGAAGATAAACTCGTCGTCAACCTCGAGGGGCATCAGATCGTCGGGGTTGATTAGTTGGAGCTGAACAGGATCTAGATACGAGAGCCGCTCGCCGAGCATATTCTGCAATTGCGAATGGCTAGTGAAAGCAGATAACGTTAGACAGTGTACAATTTAGCGGCAATGTGGAAGTCGAACTTACACAAACCCATAAAACACCAACCAGAAGCCCTTCTTCCGCAATTGCGTCTCAATGCAATTGAGCCCGTCATAAGCCGAGATAGAATGGAGATTCAGAAGACGAGCGAACTGCATCGACTCCACATCCAGCATCCGGGCGCGATTATGGTCTCCCAGCTGCAGAAAGGCAGCGAAGAGCAGGAAGGAGGCGGCAAACTTCTGGAAATTGATCTCGTCAAAATAGTAGGACGTCCTCAAGCCCAGGTTCTTCTCGTAGCAGAAGCGAACCATCTCGCGGCGCGTGGCAAAGCGCAAGGGAGGGTCGTGCGATCGGTACGACCGGAACTTGCTGGGCATCGTCGCGACAACCACTGCGGCAATGGCGACGGTCAAGGCAAGGAACCCAGTGTCTTCCTCGTGTCGGCCTCGGCGCAGGCATTCTTGGAAAGAGGGGCGGTGAACGATGGGAACGAGGGGGTAGACGTGGTCCAGATAATCTTGCATGATGCGGTGGAAGAGAGTTTCCTCGCACAGATCGTCCGCGGCGCAGATGCCTGCCTTGCGATGGCTGTCATTCGCTGGCGGGGGCTGTTGTACCACGGCCTGGACCACACTGATTTGGGACCTGCTGAGTGTTACCCCGAGATCTGCCATTCATTGGAAGAGACCGAACATACCGTTTTTTCGGGCCTCTGGTTTTACAGGGGGCGAGAAAGGTGCAAGGCCGATTCAATCGCTCGCAGCGCGCGCATCGTGAATTCGGTGCTCCAGATGGAGAGTCTGGGAGCTGACATTTGACCTTGCGCTTCCGGCAGAGATCGCAAGCTTGTGTGGAAATGTCAATGCGCTGAGAATGGGGCCGGAGAGGGGGCATCGTGATGCATTTTGTGTAGACGATGGACTGGTTCAAGCGAAGAAGCTGGGGAACACAAAAGTACTGAAGATCCCGAGGGAAGACCGAGCCGAGACGAAGGTCGGTACGGCGACAGCCTCCTTATCGCGACCGATAAGAGTCACGTGTGTGTGTCTGATGTGGGGGACGTTTCTGCCACCGCCTAAACCTACCACTTTCCGGCCTGCTTTTGTGGACACTGTTTGTGGTCAAAATCCAATTTTCCCTCGCGAGGTTGCGAGCGTTCTGGCGGGGAAGCGGTGAGCATAGCGGTGTGGAGTGCAGGCCAAACCTACCACTTTCCAGCTCCAGTTTTTGGGGACTGTTTGTGGTCAAATCCCGAATTTCCCTCGCGAGGTCGCGAGCGTTCTGCTGGCTAAAGCGGTGAATCCGGCGGTGTAGCCAGATCTAAGCTGGGCCGCTAGTGCATCTGTAGCAGTATGCCTCAGGCTGCAGTTCCCTAGGGTACCATGTCACACCCGCGACTCTAAGACATGCCTGATGCGCCGTACAGTGCCAATTGCCCACCACCTATACACTCACATACCAAACGTATAGATCTAGTATCCCAATCTGTATCTGTACAGCCAGTGCTTCCAGCTGCTCTAGGCATAAACTCAGACCCCGAAACCACTGTCCAGCGTCATAATTCCCGCACACCTTCACCATCGGACCCATACAATCGGATACCCCGGAAGCCCCGGAAATGTCACCTCAGCATCGCATGCCTCTCTTATCGTCAAGCTATCGACACAGCCACGTTCCTTCTACAAGGCATGGATCGACACGGCATTGGGCTGTTCCAGAGCCATTGTTCCCCTCCGACGCCGGACTCGCGCAATGTCGATCACGACATTTCCCCGGACCGCGTTACGTACAGAAAACTCCACATGGCTCGCTTCCCCGCAACCCCAGTTGTCAAAGTCATACGACGGAGCGGCCATGACGCGCCGACTTTCCCCAGATCCCATCCCCGATGTAACCTTACGTCGTTGTCCAGGCCGAGGGCCGAGGGCGAGTCGCAGTATGTCCGAACCTGGGGTTGTCGACGTAACTATAGCATCTGGAGAGGTCTAGACTACGCACTTCGGAAATTGCAAACAGAACACATGTCATTCAAATCAAGTCTCCTAACGCCTTTATGCCATGGAATAGTGATATCATGATGCGACCGCGGTCATGCAAACAACGCTCGCTAGATGAAAGCCCTTCGGATAGCAGAATTCCAGCTGCTAAGACTCAAGACATGATGCATCGCGGGTAGTAAAACATTAAACTATAAGTGGGAGAATGCGATCAACGAGATCCGTCGTCATTGGTATGCATCGCATCGTCAACGAGAAGGTCGTGTCGTGTCGTAAGAAAGAGAACACCAGGTCGCATGTTTAGCTGTCGGTGTTGGCGCAAGTGAAGCTGTTGCTGTTCGCGTCGTCGTGGATGGCGGTGCCCGAGGCGTAGAGACCCAGGACACACAGGATCAGACCGAACAGAGCAATGCCAATGTTGAGCACGGTGAGGGCAATCTTCTTGGGGCTGGAGAGCCACTGGCCCCAGTTGAGGTGGAGCCAGTAGACACCGCTGAGACCGTAACTGAACCAACTAGCGAAGAGGGCGCTCTGCAAATCGATTAGTGTTGTACTGGACGATGCTTACGCGAGGAACTTACAATCAAACCGTTCAGGTCACTGAAGACGGGAATAGCCTCGGCAATGATCCAGGCAACGACCCAGCAGGAAAGGCCAAGGCCGATCCAGATGGAAACCGAGCGCCAGCCGCGGCTGTGAATGAGATCGGACTTGTGGCAGGTGCGGAAGTAGATGTACTTCAGACCGATGTGACCGTTGACAACACCAGCACCAACAATCTAACCAGGAATTAGTTCATGTCCGTCTAGGTAGAGAACAGGCGACTTACAGTAGGAATGGCAATGCCATAGGCGATCTTCTTCAAGAGGGGACCGGCGGAGCTCAAGGCGGGAGACTGGACGTCCTTGCCGACGTAGTAGTAGACCACAATGGCCGCGGTGGTGTACAAGCAGATCTCAAAGCCCTGGAGCATGAACAGCGACTTCTTGAAGTCCTTGGGCTTCTCCATCTCAGCAATCAAGCCGAAGAAGGCGACGTGGGCACAGTAGGCGAAGACGATGTTCGAGACGGCGCTGAAGGCCTTGTAAAGAGAAGTGTCGACAGTGGCTTCGATGATACGACCGGGGTGGTCCTGGACGCCGACTCCAATCATGGTGATCATGACGGCGCTGAAGATACTCAGGAAAGCTGGGCCACCAGTCAGCGAGGGATCCAGAGCGGAACGATCAGGAAAACTCACAGAAGAAAGAGATCCAAGTCATGCCCTTCATGGTGCGGGGAACCGACAGAGCCATGGAGATGACCATACCGATCACGCTGAAAACAATCGAGCAGGTACCGTGGTCGGTGATGGTGTTCATCATGACACGGAAGGTCAAAAGATGGCTGCCCATGACGAAGATGCAGAAGAGGAACTGGCCCAGGCCGAACAGCTCACGGCCGAAGGGGCCCAGCAGGATTTCGCCGGCATCAGCCAGGTTCTGGATGTGGGGGTAGCGCTCGCGGAAGAGACCGATGTTGTAGCCGGTGTACGTGGCGAGGATACCAAGACCGACAATAAGAATAATAGCACTAGATGAGCAATCGGTCAGTGAACGCCCCGTGCGATCGACCTTCGACCAACTTACGGGACGAGACCCAGAGCAGCCACGGCTGCGGGCAGAGAGAGCACACCCAGGGAGACAGACTCGCAAATCATGACTAGAAAAGTGGTTAGTGGGAGCAAGTCAGTCTCATTGATAGGAGCTCTTACGCAAGCCGCATTGCCTATAGATGACGTTAGCATGAATGAAGCGCACGGGGTGGGCTGCAGTTGAGACGTACCACCACTTCAAGGTCTTGTACTTGATTTCGGCCAACTCCTCGTTACCAAAGGCATCAGCCTCCTCGAAGCCAGGCTTGTAGCTGGTTTCAAGGTCGACGGAAGCATCCTTCTTCTCGTCGATGCGGTCGGTAGCGTAGGGCGGAGGGGAACCGTGGACAGTGTCCATTGTGTTGGTGAATATGGGGGTGTGTGGGTTGGTGTGTGAGAGTATTGAAGGATAGAGAAGCAGCGACGGAACGGGTAAAGGGTGACTAAGGTCGGGAGGAAGTGTCCGGGATGCTGCAGACAATGGTGGATGGATGAATAGAGACAGAAATGGAGGAAACCAGCAGGGGAAGGAGAGGGTTATAAAGAAGATTCCGGAAAAACACAGCTGGGGCCAGATGAAGTTCGGAAGAGGAGGGAATGGTTTGACATGCCGAAGACCTGGGGAAAGAAGATGGGGAATTGGCAAGTATGGAACTCGAGCCAGGCACACAGTGGGCACACGGTGGACACACAGTGGGCACACAGTGGACACACACACGAGCAATCGGCCCGGCGCCGAGACAAGCAATCGCCGCAACTGCAGCAGATCTGGAGGAAAATTTGTGAACGGAATTGGTCACCAAGCCGATCATCGGCCAGTGCGGACCAATGAGACGCATTACCGCCTCGGGGGCGGAGGCGGGTTCCATGGGAGAGAGTTCGGGCGGTGCACTGCAATTGCTACTGCCAGCATGCAAGAACCAGCCGCGGCGGAAATGGCTAGAGCTGCAGTGAACTGCAGTGGAAGCTTTTCTCGCCCGGAGTTGGCCTGCAGGGCCGGCTTTCTGTCTGTCTGCCTACCACTGGCCAACGCTGGCCAACGCTGGCCAGACTCTCCGTCGATTTGCAATCCAATCGTTGAGCCCGAACCATCGGCACTGTCGCTTAGTTGCTCCTCTTTCCTCGTGGTTCCCCATCTGGATTCCACCATTGCTCGTCCAACTACGAATAACAATTGCTCATCGGGACAGGTCAGACTGGCTCACATATCTAAGGTTGTTTTATTTGCCGGTCGGGAGTTATTTCTGCCCCGGGGATCCCCGAGGTGGTGGACAATGGGCAATATGACATGCAGGTCATGTGATGTGTCCGCCCTTGCATCGTCCACCTTACTTCTCTTCATATCACACTGAGTAAGACACAACATGCTGCGGACTCCGATGGACGCCGGACGCACGTCTCACACGGTGCCAATCATTTCCTAGGGTGTCTGCAACGAGTGTGCGCCACCGTCTCCCTGGAATAGGCAATTTGCACGGGCTGCCCCCCGGTGCCAGAGGTGAAGGTGCAAATTGAGTCGGTGGCGCCGCGAGGGCAGGCGGAAGGATTGGCTGGCGGTCTAGCGGCAAAATGCTTATTTTTTGTACGTAATTTGGTGGCCGTTAGCGGCTGATACCACTCCGTAGGGTTACATTCACCGGTCGCCCCATCAAGACCGCCCGCCAAGCTTCGAGTCGGGTGGGTGTTCCACTGCGGTGCGCTGCTTATCTTGTTGGCAATTCCACCACCAGTGACTGGTTGGGCTGTACGTAAAGCAAAGCCGGAGGCCATTGAGACACTACTTATTCTCTATCTAATCTCTCCCTATCTACAGAAGGGCATCCGGGCATCCTGATGCGCAGTGAATCACCGGTGAGTCTCAGACATGCTTGGCAGGCCTCGAAATAAGCATCACGCTACAAGGAGACAAAGTTGCCGATGATGAGGTGGCTCGTCTTGAATCCCGTAGCCAAAAGGCCAGGCCAGCCACTCATGCCCATTGGTCGGGACGCCCCGGCATTGGGCTTAGTTAGACTTTGCACGCGGGCTGTTTGCAGCTCCAGGGCTATGAATAATCCGGCCGATTCCCTCTTGCAGAGAGCACATCCTACGGGCAAGTGTCACGGGTATAGTGCCCCGTGGCATCAACAACATGAGCCTTGGACAATCCTCAAGGTTCTATACTCAGCTGCAAGAGAGATAGTATAAATTCAATTGGTCACTCTATCACTCAATCCCATGATCAAGATGCCCAAATGAGTACTCGAGTGTTGTCTTCGAATAGTCCTCAACCGAGATATATATCTACCCGCAGAGTCACCAATACAAAATATAGTGTGGATTACGAACGTAATATTGTTGGAATTAGTACTTGCTCAAGAGGGAAGTTTGATACCTTGAGATTCGCTGAAATTATGAAGGAAGGAGGAATTCTCCACAAATTCGTGGCGCTTACATACTCCCAGTTCTTCTTGGAATCATGTGACCTCGCTGAAGCGAGGCGTTACACGCACACGCCGATATAGAGACCACAAACCTAATGCACAGACAATCTAACTACTCCATCTCAATCCTCGAACGTCCTTTCTGATGCATCCACTTCATACAGTAAATCGGACTATCTCGCCACTCAAACAGCACCGTCAACCCCACACCAAACACCAGCGAGCCTTAAACTACTCAGACTTGACTAGCGCACCCAACCAACCCCGGAACAAGTAAAGCAAAACAAACCCAAGCAAGCACTAGTCCACACCCTGCGTGCAAAATCTAGATCCTGAGTCACCATGATAGCATCGCTGCATCATGGCATGGCATGGCCATAGCCTAGCCCCTCGACCCCTCGACCCCTCGACCCCTCGACCCCTCGACCCCTCGACCCCTCGACCCCTCGACCCCTCGACCCCTCGACCCCACCTGCAGCCGTGGCAGCCTGAGGCATAGACCGGGGTAAACGTCAGGCAGACAGGCAGGCCAGCAATTACCCCGCCAAGCCCAACGCAGCGCGGCAACCGCCACGCCACGGGATCGAGTCGAGTCATAGCTGAGCTGAGCTGGCCGGCAGCAACACTTCCTCCAACCCATCCCAATTTACCACCTCCCACCTCCCACCTCACACCTCACAACCACACCACAAACCCCACCAACACAATGAGCACCCCAAAACAAGCAGTCGTCTGCGTCTTGTAAGTCCGCCCATATTGGCCAAAACGAACCTCCCTCCCCCCCCACCTGGCACTGACCACTGAATCTCTGCCCATACCAGCTGCGGCTCCCGCTCCGGCACCTCCCCCGCCCACCTCGAAGCCGCGCGGGCCCTGGCGCACCAATTCCACGCCCACAACGTCCAACTAGTCTACGGCGGCGGCACCGTCGGGATCATGGGCGAACTGTCGAAGACGCTGGTGTCGCTGTCGGGCCCGAAAGCCGTGCACGGGATCATCCCGCGGGCGCTGGTCGAGGTCGAAGAAGGGTACAAGACTCCCACCCCCACCCCCACCCCTACCCTCACCCCTACTCCCGGGAATGGGGCTGCCTCCGGCGGAGCAGGCAAAGCGCCCGAGCGCGTGGGCGGGGGCGACACGATGGAGGAGACGGAGTACGGGCAGGTGACGGTGGTGGCGGACATGCATACGCGGAAGCGGCTGATGGCGCAGAAGGTGTTGGAGGGGGGGCCGGGGTCCGGGTTCGTGGCGCTGGCGGGCGGGTTCGGGACAATGGAGGAGCTGATGGAGGTGACGACGTGGAATCAGTTGGGGATCCACAAGGCCGGGGTGGTCCTGCTGAATATCAACGGGTACTGGGATGGCGTGCTGCAGTGGGTGCAGGCGGCCGTGCAGCAGGGGTTCGTGAGTCGCGAGAATGCCGGGATTCTGGCCGAGGCGACCCGCGCGGAGGACGTGCTGCGCATGTTGCGCGAGTATCGCATCAGTAGTGATCGGATGGCGCTGGATTGGGGGCAGGAGTAGAGTACCGTGCTGGGACTGGGTACGGCGGGATGCAGTGGGGGGTAGAATCGCATTATAGACTAAGGTATATATCATTAAAATGCTAGGCCAATGGAACGGATTCCTATTGCACTTGTCTTCAAGGTTGGCGCGACACGAAGCCCGATACAGCCTGAGAAGAGATACAATGCTCAGAGGAAGATATACTCCGTAGGTAGCTGAAGTACGGAGTACTGACTAGTGCCGCAGGTCAATCTGCAGCAGGCGGAAATGAGGAGGCTGGACCAACCGGGTTAGTCTGACAGTGACCGTCAGAGTGGCTGTCACTAACCGATCGCACCGATCGACCCCGCAGTCCCTGATCTCAACTCCCTATTTCTATTTTCTATATATCCATCCACTGGCCCCTTATTCTGCACCACCAAAATGCAACCATCTCCATCTCCACCCCATTCCACGGACCCCCCAGAAAATGGCAACAGCCCAGATCCCCCAGCTGTGGGCCACCGCCCTCGCGCGCTACGAGAAAATCACCCACAGCCCGCTGGACCCCCACGCCTGGCGGGACCTGACCACTGTCGACGGGCTGTGGGGCGCCATCGAGGCCGAAAATCAATCCTTCCAGGAGTTCCGCCGCCAGCGCGCCGGCCTGTGCGCGGCCCTGAGCCAGGCGCTGCGGCCCATCGAGCTGGTCGGCGATCTGGCGGCCAGCGCCGCGGGAATGTTCTTCGCGCCCAGCTCGTTGGTGTTTGGGGCCGTGCGGTACCTGATCGACGCCGCGAGGGGAGTATCGGCGAAATATGATGCCATTGTGGAGTTGATGGTGACCTTGCAGGTGGGTCTTGTCATGCTTTGCTTTGCTCCGCTGGTCAGGGGCGTGCTCCTCTGGTTATAGGGCATGCTGAACTGACTTGCCCCATGCACAGGACTTCACCACCCGTTTAGCAGTCTACGCACAGCAACAGATCTCCCCACCGCTGCAGGAGAAAATCACCACTATCCTGACCACACTCTTGGAAGTGTTCGCGATCTCGCGCCAGCAAATCCGCCTCGGACGACTGCGGAGTTTCGGGAAGAACGTGCTGCTCGGCAACGACGACGGGAAAGCGGCGATCGCCAAGCTGGCGCAGCTGGTCGACGGCGAACGGAACCTGGTGGGCGCGGAGACACTCACCGAGGTCAAGGGGGCGAAGGTGGTCATCGACCGCGTCGACGTCCACGTCCTCGAGCTCGCGCGGCGCATCGACGACCTCAACCGTCTGCAGGAGCACGCGGCCGCCGAAAAGGAGGCCGACTCCGTCCCCGAAAGGAACCACCGCGACAAGGACAAGGTCAAGAGCGTGCTGCAGCCCGCCACCAGCGCCGACGACCGGTACAGCATGATCGCGCGGGCGCGGGTCCCGCAGACGGGCGACTGGGTGCGCGAGGAGCCCGAGTTCCGCGAGTGGCTGCGCCGCGACAAGCCCCTCCTGTGGGTGACGGGGACGCCCGGCGCGGGCAAGTCGTACCTGGCGGCCAGCGTCATCGCCTATTTGCGGGAATTGTATCCGCAGAACGTCCAGCATCCCTCGCATGTCTCCGTTGCGTATTACTTCTTCAAGGACGACAACGTGAAGACGCGCTCGTGCCACCAAGCTCTGCGTGACGTCGCCTTCAAGATCGCGCAGAATGACCCCGCCTATGCGAATTTCGTCGGGGGTCGGGTGGACTCGCCGGAGGATATCGGAAGTCTGTCGAGTCTGTGGCAGCAGCTGTTCGTGGAGTACTTTATCGCGCACGAGACCGGAGACAGCCAGGCGTACATCGTGCTGGACGCGCTGGACGAGGCGTTCGCGGAGGAGCGACAGGAGCTGTTTCAGCTGGCGGGCGATATTCAGCCGGGGGGACGGCTGCAGCTGCTTCTACTGGGGAGGCCGCATATAGCCCAGGAGATGGACGAGCTGACGGAGCAGCTGGCCGTGCCGACGATCTACATCTCAGACGTGAACAACTCGGATGACATCGTCCGGTACATCCAGAGCAGCATCGCCAAGTCGGTGTACCTGCGACGCGCCTCCAAGGCGCTTCAGGCTGAGATCGTGCGGCGGGTTTCCAGCGGCGCCCAGGGCATGGTATGTACGGAGACTCAAGTGAACTTGATACTAGACTAATATGGTGCAGTTCCTCTGGGTCGACTTCATGCTCAAAGAGCTACTGAAAAAGCGCGACGAGGCACGAATGCGAAAAGCACTGGAAGAGGCACCGCGCGGCCTGTCCGAGATGATCCGGCACGTCCTGAAGAGCTACTCCGAGAGCCTACGGGATGCACCACAGTACGCCGAAGATCTGAATGAGATGCTGGCCTGGATCGTGTGCGCCCACTGGCCGCTGAAGCTGCAGCAGCTGGAAAGCATCATTCAGTGGCGGTCGCCAGAGGGCGAGGGGTGGATCTGGCTGGAGGGGTATCTCCGGCGGGAGTACGCCTCCCTGTTCTCGCTGATCCGGGAGGATGGACTGAGCACGGCGGATTTGCAACGGGCGAACATCGGACGAGCCGATTGGGAGGTCGACACCCTGGTGGATGACGGCTTCGACGACACAGACAACCCGTCGGACTTTGACTCGGACCCGGCGACTACGGAGGTGACCTTGAACCACGCCTCGCTGGGAGACTTCTTCCGCAACGAGGCCGAGGGGCCTGTTTCGGCGGACGACGGGCCCCTCGTGGGGATCGACTACCACGCGGCGAAGGTGCTGGTGTTCAAACGGTACTTCGAGATCATCGCCTGCGAAGAGGGCTCCCCCAAGCAAGAGATCGCGCAGGTGCTCCGCGTGTACGCTGCCGGGTCGATCGTGTCAGCCTTGCAGGACATCGAGATCGACAAATGCAGCGCAGAAGATAAGGGCATTATCGGTCTGAGCATCGCGCGCCTGCTGTCCGTCCCTCCCATCCTCGAAGCATACGTCAAACACAGAAGCGACGTGTCGTACCCAGGCGAGCACCTCAAACTCTTCATGAGGTGGCTCAGAGATCCAGACGTGCAGGCCTCGCTGCCCCCGACCGAGAAAGCTTGGTTCGAGGAATCCACCGCCTCAGGCGACGTGGGGATCTACCTGCTGACGGCGAAGTTCATCGCCGAGCAATGGCTGCAGACTGGGTTCTGGCTGGCCGGGCCCTGCTGCCGCTACATCATGGAATACATCAAACTCAGCCAGGACGCACCCCCCTTCCCGGACAGCCCCGTCGAGGCCGTGCTCTCCGCGGCGGAGTGGTGCGGATTCGCGCCGGACCAACTCTGGCACCGCCGACTGGCAACCGCACTGCGTGATCTCGGGTTCCTCGACGAATGCATCCCCCGCTTCCAGCGCGCCGTGGACCTGGACCCATCCCCGAACCCACAGACCCTCCTCGCGCGAGCCGGGATGGCGAAAGCGTACCTCAAAATGGGGCAGTTCGCGCAAGCCATCGAGCAGGACCGCCTGTGCGTGGCGGAGCTGAACCCGCACCGCCAACCCGACCAACCCGATCTACAAGCGCACGCGTCGTACGAGCGGCTCGGCCAGAGCTACACCGCGCTCGGCGAGGTCGAGTCCGCGGTGGCCATGTACAGGGCTGGTCTGGCGACGGCCGGATTCTGCAATACGTGTCTCTGCGCGATGCTGGAGCAGCTCCACGCGCAGAGCCGCCACGAGGAGATCATCGCCCTGCTCAAGAGCCTCGACCGGCCCGCCCTCGGCCAAAAGCCTGCCTCCTCCTCCTCCACCACCACCACCCCCTCAATCCTCACGCAAAGCATCCTGACAAACCCAGACTGGTACGACGACTTCATCGACCGCGTCACCGCCGCCGCCGCCAGCACCAAACAAATCCCCTTCCTCATCGACGCGTACGCCACAGCCGTCGCGACGGCGCACAAGCAACGCAAGGCCGTCGCAAAAGCGAGCCTGGAATTCTGCCTGGGGATGCTGTGGCAGACGCACGGGCGCGACGGGGACCGCGCGGCCGCCCTCTGGGAACGACTGATCGCCACGTACCGCGGCAGTCGGGCGGAGGGCGAGATGGTCTCGGTGCTGGAGATGGCGGCGGGGGCGCTGGCGACGCACTACCTGATCAAGGCGATGGAGGTGGGAATCGACTCGGAGCAGGGCCGGCGGTACGGGGTGTTGCTGGAGCTGTTGGCGCGGGGAAAGGCGGTTGCGTCGCATGGGGAGGGCTGGGATGCGTGGCGTGCGGATGCTCGGGACGTTGTGGATGCGCAGCGCCCGAACAAGGTCTTCGTGACCACGTCGCCCGTGGGACTGATCCTGGGGAGTTATTATCGGCTGTCGGGGCGGGAGGCGGACGCGATGGCGTGCTATAAGGCGCAGGTGCAGGCGGCGCTGCGGCTGGTGGAGGATGAGAGGGCTGGCATGGCGATGGTGGGGTATACGCGGCTGAGTAGTGTTTTTGCGGCGCTCGGGGAGGACGAGGAGGCGCTGGCGATGTGGTATCAGGATCGTTTGATGTATGAGCTGATGGGGGGGGATGATGATGAGGACGAAGGTGATGGTGAAGCTGAAGCTGGATCTGATGCTGCTGACGACCCCGAGGACTCGAAAAGTCCCACCTTCTTCACGTGCGACGGCTGCAGCACCTCCGTGGAGATCGACGGCAACTATATCTGCCGGTACTGCCACGATGTGCTGTTCTGCCCGGGGTGTATGCAACGACTCGAGGCAGGGACGCTGGGAGTGAGGGTGTGCAGTGCGCAGCATGCGTGGGCGTTTGTGGCGCGGCGGCCAGAGGCGGTGCGGCGACGGGGGGAGGAGCAGCGCGGGATGCTGTGGTTGCGGGGGGAGTGGGTGGAGGGGGAGGTGTGGAAGGCGGAGTTGCGGCGGCGGTGGGGGCTGTAGAGAAGCTGTATATCAGTTCAGTAGATTGGTGGTATGCTTGAGATCGATTTGGGCAGGTAGAGCAGCATTAGCCAGTAGACTCAACGTTTATGCTATCAATAGTATCAAGATCCAGCAAAACCAAACACAGTCCCAGCAATCCAATCCACCCACCCAATCCCCATCCCTTCCCAACCCCCGTCCAAATCCCAATCCCCCCTTTCAAACACCCCCTCAAACCCCAAGTCCCTCAAAACCAACTCCTCAAAACCGCAACACCCTGCAACACCGCCCCCAACCCCACAACCACCGCATTTTCCTTAATACCATGCCGGAGATACCACGCCGAGCTAGCCCAGAGCATGGCGTTAGTGATCAGCGCGATCGCCTTGTTAGTCGGGTCGCGGAGGGCGAGGGGGTTGCGGGCCCATTGGTAGTGCAGGAGGCCTATCATTATCCAGCATATGTTAGTATCAGTATTAATATCGGTATCGATATCGGCAATCAAGGGGTAGAAGGATCTTGGTGTTGTGTTGTATTGTGTTGTTGCGCTCGTCATGGCCATGTGGGGGATGGTTTCGTGATAGGGAAGGTGGTAACGAACCCGTCGTGAAGAAGAAGGCGCTTCCCTGTGCAGTGCATATCCGTTTCATTAGCATCGGTTGCTTGGTATTGATTGGGGTATTGGTTGGGGTGGACAATGGTGCTGGTGCTGGGCAACGTACCTGGAACCAGCCGACAATGCCGAGCGCCCAGGGCTTGGAGTTGCTGATGATCGTGTAGGCCGGGTCGGCGGTCCATTGTTTGCCTCCTAGCTTTAGCATGCATTGTTGTTAGTATTTGGATTGCGGACGGATTGTGTTGCAGAGCAGAGCAGAGCAGGGCACAGCAGTTGGCTATAGTCCTCAGTTATGGTAAGAAGGGAGGTGCAGCGTACCGTATGGCCGATGGACAGGGCGATGAAAGACAGCGCGGAGGCTTGCAGGGTGCGGCTGGGGACGGCTGGAGCGGGGGTGGTCATTGTGTCTGTATCTTCGATTCGCAGGGATTAGGTATTAGATGGAGTGAAGGTGTTGAGAGCGATTGAATCACGCAAGTAAGTGATTGATTGAAGGGACAGTGAGTGAGTGTAGGTTACATGAATCTAAGGAGGGCGAGGCGAGGCGGAGCCAGACCGCACGCTGGCTAAGTACGCCGGCGGGCACTTCCTCCTGCGGGGTTTGTGTTTCGTCGACGTCAGAGCATCCGTTCCCGTCCCGTACCACCCGGCTGCGGATAAGCTGTAAGTAAACAGCCCGGAACGGTTAGGCCGTCCGGTTTGTCGCCGATGCCGTTGCCGTCGGTCACCGAGGGGCCTTCGACACTCGGTATAAGATCGATTCTCTGGTAGTAATTGAGCGGACTCTACCTAGGCTAGCTCTGTAATATATAGGTGCTCTTGGATCCATCGACAATATACAGTCATGTTTGATTGTGTAAGAATAGCGCTGGATTGAAACATGTCACGTGATGAGCGCCGCCAACCACATCCGGGTCAACGAGGTCCGTGTTCGGCGACTTTCGTCCAATTAACTTACACCCGGTCTGCCACCCATTGTATGCAGTGAGACCACATTTGTTGACTATCTGGGTATGACTACATCAGGGTTGGGTGTTACCAGGAAGCTGAAAGAAAAGGGGGGTCCGGGGGTCCTCTCCCGGGAAGTCTCATTCTAGGTAAATTGACATGGAGTGTCCAGCCAGTGACAGCGCTGTAAACGGGCAAGACTCCAGCATTAGCGTGCGGATTGTGTACGCTTTGCATATATTCATAAATCCCGAAACATCCCGAAAAAGGTCCATCCTAGGCCCTGTCAACCAAGGACAAGGTGATCAGACATACTACCCATAGTCGAACCAGTAGTCTAGACAACCAGCTCTAATCCGTGATACATCCATCGCCAAGGACGTTACATCAGCCTTATCGTCTCCTAAAGCCACTCAAGGCTGGTGGTTAAGAGGCCGGAAAGCGCAGGCAACAGGAGCGGAAAGGGAAGACTCAATGCCCGTCAAGATCGGTCGAGCACCTCGGCGTGGAACGGGCCCCGAGACATGCTGAAACGCAGGATCGGCCCCGTGCTCCAGCAGCAGCTGGACCAGTGCCTCGTCCTTCTGGCGCGCCGCGACCGCCAAGGCCGTCAACCCGTGCTGATCGCGCTGGTTGACGTCCAGCCCCGGCCAAGCCAGCATGCGCGCAACGGTCCCGTAATGCTTCGACATCACCGCCGAATGAAGGCAGGAGAGCGTGCCTTGTGGGTCATCTGGTGCTCGCCGGTGTACCTCTTGAAAATCCACGCCCGCGTCGAGTAAGAGGGCAACCACCTCCTCTCTTCCGTTCAGAGTCGCATTCCAGAGGGCAGTCGCATGCGATGGGCGGGCATTGGGCCAATACCTCGCCTCGGCATCCAGGAGAAGCTTGGTCACGGAGGCGTGACCGTCATTTGCTGCCCATAGTAGAGGCATCCAGTTCCCTGTTGGGCGTGGCAGCTCCGACTTCTTATCGAGCGCGGCGAGCAGCGCCCTCAGAATGGCCTCCCTATCTCGATCCGCAGCGCATGTCAGTGGGGAAAGTCCGGACTCGATGCAATCGAGATCGCCGAGGTCCCGGTCCGCTCCCCGCTCCAGCAGCAGCTGGACGACGTCCAGATGTCCGCCTTGCACAGCACAGCAGAGCGACCACCGTCGCAGCATGCGCGGTCGCTGCGGTCTCCGGACGTCGTAGACCGGATGTGGGGATGCCCCGCGATCCAGAAGCGCCTTCACAATGGGAGTAAACCCATTCCCAGCCGCTTGCGCTAGCGCCGTCTTGTTCAGTGAGCCTTGAATCTCTAGGTCCGCCCCGTATTGAAGCAGAAGGTCGAGGATCGTTTCATACGCCGTGCCCGCGCACCATGGCAGGCCGGGCGGTACATCCGGGCCGTCAGCGGGGTCCCGCGATCCTTTAGGGCCGCCGAATTGAACCGCGATGAGACGCTTGCCCTTCATCTTTTTGCGCCGGCGCAGCCTTTTCTCCGACTCCTGTGGCCGAGGCGGGCCAGCCTGATTGGACTGACTGTTTTCGCATGGCCATTGGCTCGCATCTAATTTTCCGTTCAGCTTGAGCGGGACCGCTTGCCAGCATTGAGAAGGCCGTGCGGCGCACATCAACGGGACCGTCTGGCCTTGAAGTTTATCTGTTGAGCCCGGAGGCGCCCCATGGCGGAGCAGCAGCTCGACCATCGCGACATGGCCATTTTCCACGGCAAGTGCCAGACTCGAGGATTGATCCCGGCCGCGAACACTTGCGCCGAGCCCCAATAGAGTCTCAGCAATGTGAACATGGCCAAAAACAGCAGCCCAATCTAGGGCCGTGAGCCTGAATTGCGGATCTCTTCCATCTAGATCAAGTGGGAGGGTGAAACGGCTGGCAGCGGCGATGACATGGTCAATGGATTTGGGTTGATTGGTTTGCGCAGCATAAACGAGGGCGATGTGGCCATGGCCCTCTTTAGATTCTCTCTCTAGCCATCTTCTGCGAAATGTTCTGAGAAAATCATATTCTTCTGGCTGTCGGCATTTCGCGGCGTGTGCGCGGCGGTTGCTCTTGCTGCCGGGGAGGAGGAGCTGGCGGTAGAGGTGCGGGTTTAGGATGGCGTGAAATTTGCGACAGGTGCGTACTAGGGCGTTGATGTCGCGTTGCCTGAGGCTGGTGATGATGAGGAGGAGAAGCTCAGGGGGAAGGAAGGCAAGGGACATAGAGATAAGATGAGAGAGATGAGCTGAGCTGGTTGAGTGTCGATGGTGGATGGGGATGGGGAAGTGCGGAGAAATACGGAGTAGAGGAGAATGAATGGGCCGATTGGTGGAGGAGGGACGGTGACAGCGGTCGGAACGGGCCCATGTTGTGCCGTGGTCCGAGCTTTATGCTGCTGACCAAGCTACCCACTAATGCACATGGCAGTCTATGCGCACTTTCATCTTGTCTCTCTGGCAGATTTTATTCTTGAGACTCATCTGCAACCTCTCAAAAACGATTTCATTTGATGATTTTACGAGTTCATTGACTCAACCAAGTACGCATGTCCCACCCATTCTATATATCTGACAGAACAAGTGCAACGATTGTCCCATGCTTGCAGTATATCCTGCGATCCACTCATAAAATCTATATACAAACCACAACCAGTCCACCTACTCCTCCACCCCCTTCCGCCCCGCCAACCCCACCGCCCTCTCGCAGCGAAACCCCTCAAACTTCCTGGCCGCGACCCTCTCCCCAAACAACTCATCCAACTCCTCAAACGACCGCCCCTTGGTCTCAGGCAACTCGAAGAACAGCACCACAAACATGACCGCCCCCATCCCGGCGAAGATCCACCCGATCAGACCCCCCAAATCCGCCTCATCAGAGTTATACAGATACGGCATGACGACATTCCAGACGGTCGAGAAGAAATAATTGAAGGTGAAGCCGACGGCCAGCGACTTGGCGCGCAGACGCACGGCCGAGACCTCGCCGGCGATGGCCATGGCGGGGCCGATGCCGGGCCCGTACACCCACCACGACAGCTGCAGGAAGATGCCCACCACCCTACGCCCACCACCACACATCAGCCACCACACATCCTATCAAAAGCACCAGGGAGAGAAACATACCACAGCGCCGCACTACTGTGCGGAAAACAGCCCGCCACGCCCATGACCGTAAACAGGCCCGTGGACAGCCCCATCCCGAACAGCACCAGCGTCCGCCGCCCGAACACCGTCATCGCCCACCCGGTCACCAGCGAGCTCGCAATCCCAAACGCGATCCCGATCTCCGTCATCATCCCGATCTTGGCCGCCGACATGCCCGCCTGCACCAGGAAGTACGGCCCGTTGGTCATGAAGCTCGACCCGATCACCTGCGGCAGCGCGTTGCAGTACAGGATGATGCGCGTGCGCCGCCAGTTCGAGCCGCGGAAGCACTCCGCAAAGCTGGCGCCTTCGGCCTGCGTGGCGCGCAGGCGTTCCTCCTCCGTCGTGCGGATGATCTCGTCTAAGACCGAGGGGAGGAGGGCGGGAGGGGTGCCGAGGCGGGTCAGGGCGCGGGCGGCGTGCGAGGGTTTGTTGTTCGCCACGAGGAAGTAGGGCGATTCTGGGATGAGAATTAAGAAGAGGAAGAGGAGGCCCGGCCAGACCCAGCCGCAGGCGAAGAGGACCTGTTGTTGAGGTTAGTGGGGGGATTCTGGGGATGCAGAGGGAGAGGGACAGACTTTGTAGGCTGCGTCGGTGGTCATGGTCAACCGGGGCAGGGCCACGGATGCGGCGATCATGTAGCCCAGGTTCTGGTCTGGTTAGTGACTGGATTTCTCGGAAAGAGTCAGGTAAGGTACCATGCAGAAGGTATAGGCCGATAGAGCGATACCACGCAAGGGAAGCGGGGTGATCTCAGACACGTAGGTTTGTCCCGTCGTCAACGCGATCCCCAGCGCCAGACCGTTGATGATCTTGCCAGCGAGAAAGACGCCAGGCGTGTTGGCGGTGTACACCACGGCGAATCCAGCAGCCGACAAACAGGCAGCGACCAGGAACGCAACCCGTCGACCCAGCCGGTCGGAGATGAATCCGCCAACCGTGGATCCGATCATGGTGGCTACCTGCGAGAGAGCATTCCACAGAGATTGCCAGTAGGCGGGAATAGTGTATGTGCCATTGACCAAAGATCCGAACTTTTGTCTATTCGATTGTCAACTCCATACTTCACATCAGGAGCAATGTAACTCACTCAAAGGCCGGCATAGACAAGGACAGCGACAAAATCAGATTGTCGAACCCATACATCAGGGCTCCGACGTTGGCATACAGACAGAACAGGATGATCAGTGGGTTCTGGCGTAGGGCCGTCCATGTTGACGGCGGGTTGTCATTGTGGGCGAGCTGTTGTTCGTGGTCTTGGCCTTCGTTCGCATTGACATTCTCGAGGTGATTGGTTTCGGTCTTCTGGTCGGTGGTCATTGTGTGATGGATGTATCAGACGACCGCAGAAGGCAATGCAAGTGTGGGCTGACAAGATCGCGAACGTTGGGCAAGGGATAGTTTGCATTATAGCAGAACCAGCAGGGGATAAAGCAGGGTTGGATACCCCACGGGGTACCGGAATTGCCGACGCCCGGACCATGTGGGGATGGCCATATAGACACGTAATCCTGGTCGGCAAATCCGGGGTACGGCTGGCCTCACAGCGAAGAGTCATGATCTTGATACAAAGAGGAACCTGCATATAAACCCAAGTGATTAAGGGTGTTGTGCTAGAGATTCCCAAATCCTGAACCTTACTTCACTTCTCCTCAGTGGGACCCCTCTGTTCTGCAGGCTTGGATTTGCCAATCGCTTGTCGATAAGTAGGTATTCTCAGCAGCAGCCGTCCGCCGCTCCACCTAAGCGAGCTTTTTCTCCGTACGGTCCGTCCATGTGAGCACTTTAGTCTAATCGCCCCTCGGCCTAATCCCATCACCGAGGATATCTTCTCAGAAGAACAGAGCACACATTAAATCGTACATGACACACCAACTGCCGGAATCCTGACAGCACTGCAACTGACAAAACTTCACCACCAACCCAAGATAGTATTCCTACAAGAGTAATCGAATTGAACAGCTGTTTCAACACCCCTCGGACCTCACTACACCGGAAAGCGAGCATCCAACGCCACCGCTCCTTCAGACCGAGTGTGATCGTCCATCCCCGACCTACAAGGATGAGGTAAGCGCAGTTCAATTTCTCCGCGTTCGGTTTATCCGAGCATGCCAGATGGGTTTTACTTGATGGATTGGATTGAGTTCAGCGGCCGAAAGCTTGGACGGTTGGCCGCATTGATTGGGTGTAGCCACTGTATTTGATTTATGCCGGTCGTATGCTTGTCCACGTGCATAATGCAGTTTAATCAACCTAGACCGACTGATTCCCCCGAGTATGTTAGAGCGACAATAGGCTTTGGGTTGCGCTCAATTCCCGGGCAGCAGTTGGGGGCCTAGTCATAGGCAGTTTGTTGGATGGTCGTACTCGGTAGGAAGCATGGTGCGACTATTGGCCGAATTACTAGAAGAGGAGGTCTACCGCCATTATTCACCAAAGCACTCAATAACCCCACTCCCTCTACCTTGTTGTGGCTTGGGAACACGGCCCAGCGCCTTGAAATGCATCTTCAATACATACCACAATCTCAGGCCCCATCGTATGGTAAGCGCCCGGCATGGAGGTTAAGCGCCGGGAAGCGCCACGTCAGATTGCAGTAGGCTGTGTATGAACACAGACTTGCTCAGCCTTGCTGCTCCTGACTATTAAAAGTATGTAATGCTAGCAATTCCTCTTTGAAAGAAGAGCACCAGATCCGACCGTAATTCGGGGTTACCATGGGCTCGGAACATGTCTCCCTCCGCCATGAGGACTACACGATCGCCTGCATCTGCCCCATGGGCGTAGACCGGGCACTTATCGAAGCCATGCTCGACGATATCCACTGCAGTCTACCCATGCCACACCACATCGGCAATTACGCATTGGGCCGCATGGGCCAGCATAAAGTGGCCATCGCCCGCCTCTCCAAAGCGGGAAACAACAGCGCAGCGTCAGGCGCCGTGCAACTCCTCAACGACTTCCCACGCCTTCAATTGATCATTCTGACAGGGATCGGAAGCGGGATCCCCGATCTGACCAGACACGTAGACATCCGACTGGGCGACGTGGTCGTCAGCAAGCCCACAGGAGTGTTGTCGGGAGTGGTCCAATTCGACCGGGGCAAGATCCTCGCCGGGGACCGCTTTGAGCGAACTGGGGCGTTGCATCTCCCCCCGAACGGGTTGCTGGCCACCGTGGTAAGGCTGGAGGCACGGCACCGGCGCGTGGAGAGCGAGATGCCGCGGTACCTCGAGGGGATGCTGCGTAAGGTCCCTCAGGAGCATCGAGCGAAGTACTTCTTTCCGGGAGCGGACGATGATCGTCTTTTCAGGACTGAGGCGAGCCATGCACTTGGAGGCGGATGCGGAGGCTGCGATCCAGCGGGAATCGTGGTACGACCCGGCCGCGAAGATACCAGCCCAGTGGTGCATTACGGGACGATCGGGTCAGCGGATGTTGCGGTCGAGGATGGTCAGTTGAGGGATCAGTTGCGAGATGACCTGGGGATACTGGGTGTCAATATCGAGGCTGCCGGGGTGGCGGGCATGGTTTCCTGTCTTGTGATCCACGGGGTGTGTGACTACGCGGACTCGCACAAGAACAAACGGTGGCAACCCTATGCGGCTGCCACAGCAGCTGCGTATATGAAGGAGTTGGTGTCTGTGATTCCGGTCTCTGAGACAAAGTCGGTGGAGACGGAAGATGTTAGGGTTGATGGTACTCGGGAATCAAGCGATCTTGCAAATGGGATTGTGGCAGGGCCCGGGTCGTTGTTCCTGGCGTGCCTCATCGGCATGTTGAGTGTATCGCTCGCGCTCAATGCATATCTTCTTTCATCTTTGAGATGAGGTTCGCTGCATGTCGGGAAAAAACGAGGGCTGATAGCTCAGTATCTATCACAGAGTACGTGATCCAAATAGTGTGGTTTTAGTGACGAGATATGGACGATACAACTTGGAGTCAGTTGTGGACAGTCAGGAAGGCTTGAGTCAATGATTAAGTTGTCAAATCTTTACTTGAGCAAAGCTGCTGAGATGTATGAGTAGGCAACGCGTTTGGTGGATGGGGCACGTCACGTGGCGTATGCCCATCAACTTCTCTGCTCACCTATAGCCACTGATACAATCACCATACCCGAGATGCCTTTACTAACGATGGTAGTATGTGCGCCAGGATTGCTACGGCTGGAATGCATGAGGGTGCGGCTTAGAACAGCCATCCGCTGCATGATATTCATGTATTTCGTTATGGTCATAAGTCTTAGTGAGGGTTCTATCAAATGTTGGTTGTGCGTCAGTAAATATTCAAGAGTGTTGTCCCAACCTTCCAGTTGATCCTCTTGTCCAGTACAGTCGCTTTTCTCCGGCCCCAGACCGGAGATGCACGTTCACGTGATATGCATTGTCCTTCAACCACGGTCGCGGCAGGACATCCATCACTGCTGGCACAATGATCATCTGGCTGAGAAGCGGTAGGAGCAAATGCCCCCTAACCACTGAGCTGGCTACTGCACATGAGACCCACTCGGACCTGCTATGCCCCTCCACATTTCTCATTTCTGGCCAGAATAGATGACGAACAGCCACTCGAGCCATTGGCGCTTAAACCCGACCAGTCTGCCAGCTGCCGCAAGACCCCATCCGCAGGTAGTGTGTAAAAGGTGCACGACATTCAGCAGTCTTCAGCAGTAGTGAGGGCCGTTCCACCGCCACCAAAAATACTGCAACCTTGTCCTTCAAATCGATTCATCATTTCACGAAGGCTCTGTCCTAGGGGCCTTTGCCCTTGCCGAACGGACCTTTGGCACCGAAAAAGGTATGCTGTGGTCGCAGGGGTTTCACCCGGGGCTTGACTTCCACCTTTTCCTGTGGCGCTTTCGGATTTCTCCCTGGTTTATGACTTGCGCCCGGCTTGAAGAATGGGTATTGGGACACCGGGCCGCGGAGTTTGGGTTGCTGGTTCACCGCCTCGGCCATCTTTCCTTTCGGCGTGTTTAACATCTTTCCTGTTTTGGAGAACCCACGGGGCGTGAAGAAAGTGTTTGAGAGTTGTTTGGCCCTAGGCTGCGGGCTGGTCGTGTCATCCAGCTCCTCCAGCGTGGCAAGGTCATCCTTCGGCCCTGGCTTGTTCTCAGAGAGTCGGGCAGGGCGGAATTTAGGCCAAGGTTTACGGGGCTGTGATTGCGGTGAGGTTGAAGATATCGCTTTGGCTGACTGCCCGGTCATCTCCAGGGTTGTCTTGGGATCTGGCTTTGAGATCGTCTCTGGGATAGCGTCTAGGGCTGCCTCTAAGGTGGTCTCTGGGATGACATCTGGAGAAGTTTCGAAAGGAGCATCAGTGGCCACGTCAGCCGACTCATTGATCGCCTCCTGTCTCGTCTCGACACCGGCAGGATCCCAATTCGCTAATATCTGGTCTCGCGCAGCATGCACGGGAATCCCTGACACTTTCACCCACTCTCGTGGCTCATATGTTCTCAGGGGTGGAGCCCTCGGCGTCTCCAATTCCTTCCAGTCCTCGGCAAGCTGCGCTACCAACTCCAACTCCTTCGCAGACACACCCACATTTGGCTTCTCCTCAGGGCTTCGTACAAGAACCTGCGCGAGCTCCGGTAAGACGGGCTCCTTGGAAAGTGAAAATCGTACCAAATACCGAGCTAACTCATCAATTTGGGCCATTTCGACATGCGAGAGTTGACGTATGTCGTGGGGTCCGGGAATGGTGTTGAACAAATACTCGTTGATTAGTGGAGGGTAAAACGGTATATGGTACCGATGTTCCGTCCTCAGATGTCTTCGGAGATACGGATGCAGTTGTGGATTCGCGTATGCCAAATACCACGCGACTTGGTGTAAGAGTTGCGTCGTCAGCGTCCCGATATAACCCTCACCCTTCGGGATCTGTTTCTGTTGAGAAAGTGCAGTGACCTTCTGTTCTAGAAGGAAAGCCTGGGCCTTTGCTGAATCGACATTTCGTAGAAAATCAGCAGGGAGCCACCGTGGATCGACCTCCCAGTCCTCGGTCCGGTCTGGGTTGTATTCTCGATCCAGTGGTGGCAACCCTTCATCGGGAAGGCTGGGGATGATTGAAAAGTCCGCCTGCCAGTCCAACTCGTGGATCAAGGTGGGGAGCCGAGACGTAGATATCAAGTCGGAATTTTGTATTTTAGGACGCCTGGGACCCCCTGTTATTGTGACATAACCATGTTTGGCACCAAGTGAAAGTCGGATGGCAATGCCCCCGCTGGCTTCCCAGGCCTCCTGGTCCCAGTCAAAATATGATACGGCAGAAGGCTGACCCTCATGCGTCATGATAGACTGCTGAGTGGTCGTGTCGGTGGACGCAGATTCGTGGGCGTTCAAATCATGATCGATGACCCCGAAAGCAGGGGTGGTAGACACGGGATCAGACGTCAAGTCAACATCCTGCCCAGTGCTCTCTTGGCCTTCCGCCGCAGGCGCCCGGAGTCCATCAGATTCTGTCAGGCTAGAGCTTTGACCTGCTCCATCATGGTTTTGGCTTTTCACAGGCGTAGGCTCCGGGCTGGGCTCGAGAGACTTTTCCAGCCCGAGAGCATGGATGATGTTGTACATGGAGTGGAGATTCCCATCACTGTCTATAAAGGCTGCTCCGATGATGGTGCCTGCAGCAAGCTTGATCTGCATCGGATCGATATTGCGCCGCGCTATGGGCTTCCTGAACACGGAGGCTGACAAGATGGCCTCAGATATGCTCTGATTTAGCTCAAAGTCGGGACTCCTGAGGACTGCGATAGGGGACGGAGTAGGGGGACCGGCGTATGAGTGGCTATGGCTCCAGCTTTGGCTGCTCGTGCCAGGTCGGGCAGCGGCTGTGCGCATCATTGTTAATACGGAGGATGCGACATTCAGCAGTACCGCGCTGCCACTGCGCGAGAACCGAGGGTCATCCGGTCTCTCGCCGAGTGTCCGGAGAGCATCAGTGAGATTTCGGGTGTTTCGAAAGGTATAGCCCAGCTCACGCTGCAACTCCATCAACCTGACATGTCTCATGGTTATCGCTCGATCATGGCATCCAGATTCCACAATCGGCAGGGTGTCATAGCAATAGACAAGGAGCTTGTCAATTTCCCCGGCAGGAAAATATCATGAGCTTAGAGGGATTTGGAGCCAGAGGGCATGACGTTTTCATAACAATTGATAGCGTGACCAAGACGAGACATGTGCTGCTGAGGAGGTTGTCAGGCGCGTGAAGGTTCTTTGATTGTTGTTCCGCGGCGTCAAATCCGCTCACCGCTGTGGTGCTTCCCCGCATCAGCCAATCTGCCGGAGGAACATCTTACCGCCTTCCAAGCGCCTTCCACCGCCTCGAGGGAAATAAGTCAGCCGATCACGTGCCAGGAACAGGGGCGAGCGGAATCTCAAAGATGTGGAGCGCGACCCGCAATGCTTCGGAACTCTCAGCCTTCCCCCACAGAGTTCAACTCGGCAGCCAACAGCCGCGTCGCAGATCATCCTTAGGATGAAAAGGTCTTCTATGTTGTTTGATGGTGACAATACAGATGTTGAAGATGAATAGGAGGGAGGCGAGAATCGTCCGGCGGGGAGTGGTCATTGCATTGATGCTGGCTGAAGACGAAGAGGGTGGAGGGAGAGGAGGTAATGTTGATTACAGCAGCAGCCATCATTGAAATGTGTGTGTTTAAAGGATATCCGTAGAAGGTTCAGGTGGCTATTTTGTATTGTGGTTCGTCCTGCTAACCGCTGGGCTGTTCAGGGGCCGCCAGTAAGAACAGCCCTACAGGCGCTCGAGGCAAGCCAGAGGCCAAACCATGGCACGTTGCCGATCGAACTAAGTGAGCTTGTCATAGAGTGGTACCCGTGGTTCTCTCTTAAGTTCAGAACATCTCTATCCCTTATGGGAACTAAATGCAGAGTAGGGAGCCGTATATCTGAATTTCCCCGCATGAGAGATGGCGTTTCTGCCCGGGGGGGGGGGGGGGGTCTAGCCGCCAACAAGCCACTAACGATACTGTCTTAGCGCAGTAGGAGTGCAATTGCTCTTTAGGAAGGTCATTGTTATAATTCCTCAATGACCTTTGAGCAGGGTCACTGGTATGATTATCAATTGTGAACTCTCTCCAACCACAATCGAGAGGAATGGCCCAGTCCCTGGCGTGCAACAGCGCTGGAGTACCCGACGGATCACTAATCATCACACCTTCACGCGACCGCATCAGCCAAGCGTGCAGCCATCTGACTCGTCGCAGGCCCTGCATGTGCAGCTGCAGCTGATAAGTCGCTACCAACAGACCAATGGAAGGGGAGGGTGCTATCCCACTGGACGGAGGTTCCCCGCTCGATTGCTCCCCGGGTCCTTGTGGAGTCTGCTTATCTCCCATCCCCGGCTGTCGGCTGTCCGTATTTATTGCAACATGCCGCCATTTCTCATCTCTGAGCAAACCGGATTCGAACTTCCCAGTGTAATCGCGAGCCAGTTTCTTAGAATGGGGACCACCTACTCCAAACCCGCCGCTACTCCCAGCGAGAAAACTGCCTCATCCTTTGCACCGGTCTACGCCGACGACGAATCCCCGCAATCTCGTATGCCTTCCCCACCTTAACCCTACAATGACAGACCATCTCGTTAACAGTGCCAACTCAAGCACCACCCTATCAATATCCAGATGACGACCTCGAGCCCGAGGCAGAGCGCATCCCGACGCTCTCCCTCTCCAACCTGAAATCCTGGAACGAGTCGCTCCTCCGCGATCCCAAGGTACGACCTCCCCTGTTCTCCCCCTCCCCTCACCACTTTCCCGCACCCCCCTAAACCAGCCAAACTCATATGTACATAACAGAACCGCCTCGCAATCACCACCCTCTCCAGCCAACCCTACCCGCAACTCCTCACCAACCGCACAACCCTGCACACCACCGCGCAACACATCTTCAACCTGCGGATCCCGAACGAAGGCGCCCCGATCACGAACCAACGCTCCTCGGGCCGCTGCTGGCTGTTCGCGTCGACCAACATCTTCCGCCTCCCGCTCATGCAAGAATACAACCTCGGGGAATTCGAGCTCTCGCAAGCCTACCTCTTCTACTGGGACAAGCTCGAGAAGGCCAACTGGTTCTTCGAGCAGATGCTCGCCACGGCCACGACCGAGGACTTGTCGGGCCGACTCGTGCAGAAGCTGCTCGAGGACCCCGTCACCGACGGCGGCCAGTGGGACATGGTCGTCAACCTCGTCCGGAAGTACGGGCTCGTGCCATCGACCGTGTACCCGGACAACTACAATGCCATGAACAGCAGCCGGATGAACTGGTTAATTACCGCCAAGCTGCGCGAGCAGGGGCTTGTGCTGCGGAGGCTGAAGCGGGAGGGTGGCGGACGGGGCGTGGCGGAGGCGAAGACGCGGTTTCTGAAGGAGATTCACTCTTTGGTCACGATTCTGCTGGGGCCGGCGCCCAGTCCGGACGAGCGGTTCGTGTGGCAATTTTATGATGCTGCCGGGAAGGCGAGGACGGTGCGGGTGTCGCCGAGGGAGTTTGCGGGGCGCGTGAGTACCGAGACGGGCGTGAGGAAGGTCGGCGGGAGGGTGTGTGTGGCGCCTGCTAGGTTGTTTAGTTTGGTCAACGATCCCCGGAATGAGTATAATCGGTTGTTGACGGTGGAGCGGCTGGGGAATGTGCTCGAGGGACGGCCATTGACGTATGTTAATGTTGAGATGAAGGTGCGTCTTACCCCCCCCCCTGCCCCTGCCCCCTCCTGTTCTTCGTTGTGTGGGGAACATGCTGACAATCACCAGATCCTGAAGAACGCAGTCATCGCCATGCTGAAAGCCGGCCACCCCGTCTTCTTCGGCTGCGACGTCGGCAAATCCTCCGACACCTCCCTCGGGGTGATGGACGCGGACCTGACCGACCTCGCCCTCGCGTTCAACGTCTCCCTCGGGATGAGCAAGGCCGAGCGGCTGGCCAGCGGCGAGTCGGCCATGACGCACGCCATGGTCATCACGGGGGCGCATCTCGAGGACGACGGCACGCCCGTGCGCTGGCGCGTCGAGAACTCCTGGGGCGAGACCGCCGGCCAGAAGGGCTGGTTCGTCATGACCGATCGCTGGATGGACGAGTATACCTTCCAGGCGGTGGTGGACGCGGAGTTTGTCTCGCGCGAGGTCCGTGAAATCCTGGAGCAGAAGCCCAAGGTCTTGCCGCGGTGGGATCCGTTGGGGGTTCTTGCTTGATGGCTTTAGGGGTGGGGGTTGTGAAGACTCGGATGTTTCTCGATATCGCACGATTTGAGACTAGAGTATGCCTCGAAGAGTAAACATCCAATATCTCATGAAAGTCCTGGGTGTAGTTACCGAAGATCTGTTTGCACACAAATAGGTAAATATCCGCTTGCATCTGTGCCGTAGTGATTCTAAAGGTGGGGGGCGGATATCCGTCGTCTGATAAATCTTGACGCTCAGTGTCGTGGTCTGGGAGGGATGAGGGAGGTTCAGGGGGGCTTTGACTTCGGTGCAATGTGGAATTTAATGGTATGAACCATATTCTACGACAGAGATGTTGAAACCAACAAGAATAGCCATGTAAGACTTACACAAGGACGTTGAACGTGCGGTATATGGCACACGTTGGTCATCATTGCTAACAATGAGAGTCCAGGTGGCTGGTACATAAGGGGGGAGGGATTTGGGGTTCGGGGTCTCGGGAGGAACTCCTAAGTCGTTCTATGATGCATGCAAGTCTCTGAACCAGTGAGAAGAATGAGATGACTAAGGAGGTGGTAGGTCTACCACCGTCGAAGGACTGGCTATAGGATACGTGAGCATCGGTATCAATGGACTGAGAGTGGTTTGAGGAATGCATTAAATCTGTACGACGAAACTGAGACGGCAGCAGAAATGGGGCGTTGAGACTGCGCGGTTGCTGATTGTTCAATCTGGGCGGCGCCGTGGTTTCATGTCCATGCTTACTGGGTGAGTTCCTCCCCGCATGCTGTTGATAATAATGTTATGCAAGATACTGGGCGATTTCCTCTGTGAATCTTGAGAAAAGTTCAAGGGGTATCTCCCCAATGCCCAAGCCAAGATGGACCTCGGCGCCGGCTTCAACAAGTAGCCTCACAATCGCTATGTGACCATTTGATGCAGCCAATTCCTGTGAGGTTGAGAATCACACAAGTGATTATCTCTTCGTACAGTAATCATAAATGAAAGAGATTTGACCATACCAGTGGAGTCCACGGTATTGTCGATAGGGAAGGATCCACTCCTCGCCGAAGGAGAACGCGTACATGATTAGTATTACCCGTAGCTGCTGCGCGATCAAGAATATGCTTAACAGTGAGAAGACAATTGACATCTGCCCCGGCGTCAATGAGAAGCCGAGACACCCGTTCATGCTCTTCAGAGGTACAGACCCGTGTCCAGGCGAATTGGATGTCTCTGCGTCGGCTGTTGACAGCCGAGTTCTGAGTGATCAGGAAATCAACCATCTCGGGATGATTGCAAAGTGCAGCCAAATTGAGGCAATTTTGCCCTTCAGAATCGCGACAGTCAATATGTTCGTGACTGTAGAAGAGTTCTCTTGCTGCCTCGACACAGCCTTTCGCTGCCGCCATAAATCGAGCTGCGCGCAAGATATTCTGAAAAGTGGGGTGTGATAGCTCGTGCTTTGCCAGATGCAAGCGGAGACGCTGAGAATCATTCCTGTAGGTTGCATGAAGAATAAAAAAGCCTCCACCAGGCACAAAGGGAGCAATGTGCTCTACATGCGACTCATCATCGAAGGTTGTCGTAACGATGGCATTCGCAATGCTGCAGTGAACGGTAAGAGCATATGCCTTGAATAAAGGAAGGCAGCTTAACCCCCTAAATTCAACCAAGGTGCCACAATTCTGTATGATGTGAACCAAAAGCTCACATTCCTTGGCGTGATTTTCAACAGTAACGTCAGTCATATTAGCTAAGGCAATTCCGTCGGGCGTGTGCGATCGATCAGGAGTACATCCCAATGGTGTAGCAATGCTGTAACCCTATAAGGTAGCAGGGTTGGCAGCTGCGAAACGTTAACGACCATATCTCATGCGCCGGTAGATGCAAATACCTGTCGCCTGAATTCTGTCCACAGTTGAGACGTGTCGTGCGATTTCCTTCTGAACTCGTTTTCGAGGGATGATTGCGCCGTTGAAGCGAATCTCACTGTCCCTGATACCCCCCTCGGCTTTACGCTTCTCGATGCGATGATCAGCCCCGCCACGCATCTTCTTTTCTGTTTTTGCTGACACACCATCAATTGAACCATCGTTTGTAGGTATCCTTGCTGTAGATAGAGTTAATAATGTAAAAGATTCTCGGACAGCGCCTCTAGCAAACCTGACACTTATCCTGCGCTCTCTATCCATGTAGTCCCTCAATGCTTCCAAGGTCATATTTTCATCGAGGTAACAGCTTTCGTATGATGCTATCGTGGGCAGATAAGTCCATTTTGACGAGGTGTTGTACCAGAAGAAGAATTTTGTGTTATGGCGATGGCCAGTAGCTGTTAGCATCAGGTGTTTATACACATCAAGATTGCGTACAGCGCTTACCCAGAAGTTCCAAATTATCTCAGGAAACCGCCAGGCACGCCACGCAGCCTGACCTCGGACTCAGGTTCTGGGTGGAAGGTCCAGGTTGGTGCTACTTAGTACTAGCTGACATGCGCACCTCTTGGACATGCCCAATTGATGCAACGGTTCTGTGGTGGAGAAGCCGGCGAGGCCACCTTCCCTCATTTCCCAATAAGAAATTGATAAACCATTCGACCTGTCTGATCACCGGGCCAGACTTCATCTGGCATCATTTGGTGCTTGGAACCAATGGATGGCATTGACTTATCAGCGCTGCGCCTTAGTCCATGCCACATCGCGTCTTGGATTGGTGGGGCCCGAATGTGTCTCGCCGACCCTGGCAGGGAATGCCATCCCCGGCTCGGCCTGAGTGGACATCTCTGCATAAGTCCACATCATTCACATTGCCTTGGCGCAGTGCGCTATTATCCTGCGCTTCCAATTGGCGTGTCCGTCTCCACTGGCATTAATCCCCCTCCAGGCTGCCTTATTGTCCAGACCGCCCACATTGTCGCAGACCCACTTTCCCCCGGCCTTCAAATCCCTTATTCCAATTCATTCTTCGTTGCACAAGGCAGCTATCATTTTAGCCTAGAGGTACGGAGTACACACACCGAATACCGAATCATTGCTCCACACTAGTACCAAGTCTTCTTACCTGTCGCTATGAGTCTGTCAGCAGAAAGTATCCTCGCCCTATTAGCCTTGCTGGTCGCCTGTGTACCCGGTCTATGGTTTATCATCAGGCACAATGCTCGCATCCGCCAATGGTGGAGAGGCAACACAGGTACGGAATCCCAGGCAAGAAGTCGGACTATCTGCTCCCATTCCGCCCGCAATCGTGCGTACCATTTCCACACTAAACTGGAAGCTCACCGGTCGGCTGAGCGTGCAGGACAGAATATACTCCTCAACCATGGCAGAGACTCGGATAGTTTCCACAGTCGCGGCTCGTCCCGCCGAACCCCCCACTTCCGATCCACCCACCCGCAAACCATACTGCCATTCTTCAACCCCTTCGATCCCATGCTTTACCGATCCAGTCCCTCCCGAGCAGGGCCCACGCCCCATCAATCAGAAATGACCTTTATTTTCTACCGGGCGGTAAGTCCATTCGTCGCGGAGTCCAGTGCATGCAATGCATAATTTCCACTGGTACTGATTTTCTCGCGCCAATGACAGATCGTCGACATGGTTCCGGCCAGAGAACAGCCTTATGCAGGTGTCTAAAGTGAAGATGAGAGTTGATGAGGCTGTTCATCGCGGAAGATAGGCTCCCTGTCTCGATGTATAATTTTCCTTTTGTTCCATAGAATTGCTGCTTGTGATGCCTGCTCTATACCCCTTCCTCAGCGAGACCCTCTCTACTTCGCGAAGCAACCAGGTGAGAGGAGTTGCAGCATGACGGCATGGTTGGCGTTGTGGCCTTTTTCGGGTTGTTTCTTATCTTATTCCCCTTCTTATTCTGTTTCATTCACCTTTTCTTTTTTGTCCATTTCTTACACCCTGTAGATCAAGAACACCATAGATGACAATATAGAAATCGTCGGCGTTCGTGAGGAATCCAGCCCACGTGATCCGAGGCGATTCACCAAGCGAGTTGCCCACCTTGGAGACTCAGTTCAACAACCCACGACCATCAAAAATCCAAGAGAATGTTTCATATGGTCCACCCCTTAGACCTCAGATCGCGTTACAGAAATGTCTATCAATTGAACTGAGCGCCCGAGGGAGGGCCGGACGGCGGCTTTTCATAGACGGCATTCCCCTAGTAAGAGCAAGCCGGCCACGTGATTCAAGGCGGCTTACCAGGCTGCTTCCTCCTCTCGCCAACCACCCGAACTTGAGTGGTTCTGTATCGCTCACCCGTAAGGTTGGTTAGATCGATCGCCTACGAATAGTAACCTGATTCGAGTAACCACCTTTTCGCTACGACCACTATCATCATAGGATATAAGCCTTATTTGTTCTCACGTGAAGCTTCTTTTTCTTGTTTTATATATAATTACTCTCCTCTCTGGCTCAATATCTCCCCGTCCATGCAACCGCGTCTTCACCTCCGCCACTTCCGCATCTGCACGCGCGTCAACCAAGTCACCCCAAACAACAGCACAAAGTTCGTCACGCAGAACGCGAGGAACACGCCCGCGTCGCGGCCGCGGGCCCCAAAATAAAAGTGCAGCGAGCGGGCGTACTCGTCCCCGACCGAGTAGGGACAGAACTCGCAGGCCTGGGTAGCCGAGGGATTGAGCAGGTAGCCCGGGTTGCTGTCGAGGTAGGCACCCAAATACTCGCGGCAGGTACCGTTAGGGATATCGAAAACCGCCAACTCGGTCGACGTGCACTGCACCTGCACGTCGTGGACGACCGTGGAGACGGTGGCCTCGAAGAAGTAGGTGAGCGGGTCGGCCCACCAGAGCCAGGGGCGGTAGAAGTCGTTGAGGGCGCTGTGGGGGTTCGCGGCACCGGAGAACATGAGGACCGTGACCCAGAAGAGCGACATGGCGTAGCCGGCCATCGTGGCGTTGGGGAACACGGCCGCCATGAGGTAGATAAAACCGAGGCCGAAGAGTGCGAACAGCAGGTACATGCCGTACACAACGCCGGCGATGCTGGCGGTGCTGGCGAAGCCGAAGGTCCAGAAGGTCATAAGGAAGACGAGGGTAAACAGGCCCAGGAACCAGGGGATCTCGACCAGGATCAGCGCTCCCAGCAGCGCCTTATAGCCGTACACACCGTTGCGCTCGCGCGCCTCGAAGATCGCCCACTTCTCGTACCAGACGGCTTGCACGTCGGCCGCCACGCTGGGAATCAACCAGGTGCACAGCAGGGTGCCCAGCATGTGGTTTTGCAGGCCGGAGGTGCTGGAGGTGACGTGGAAGAAGGTAAACGAGACAAACAGCTCGAAGAAGATGGACTTGGCCAGGCGACTGAAATTGTATTGTCCGTTGCGCCACACGGCCTTCCAGTGGCGCTGCGTCAGGATCAGGACCTGCTGCCCCAGCGGCATGGCGTATCGACCGCCAGCTTGGTCCTCGGACGTCTCAGCATGCGCGGGGGTGAAGGGGGTCGCATTGATGGCGCGGATCTTCTCGCGGAGGACTTGGCGCTCCGGCGACTCGTTCCAGATGAGCGGCCAGTTCTGCTTGGCATGATCGCCCGCGACGGTGGAGATGATGAATTCAGCAGGATTGTCAGCAGGGCCCATCACCGCACCGTACCGAGCAAAATAGCTTGCCACCGTCGCGGCGTGCGCCCCGGTTTCGCCAAAGTAGACCGTCCGTCCGCCAGGCGCGAGCAGCATGATGTGGTCGAACATCTCAAACAGCACCCCCGAGGGCTGGTGGATCGTACACACGATTGGGACCCCCTCATGGACGGCGATCTTCTGCAAGAAAGCCACAATGGAATACGCAGCTTGGCTATCCAGGCCGGATGTTGGCTGTAAAAAACAGATTCTGTCAGTCTGTGATTCTTTTTTTCACGCTTTCAGTGAAGCATCATACCTCGTCTAGAAACAAGAGTGCAGCCGGCTTCGCTACCAGTTCAACCCCGATGGTCACCCGCTTGCGCTCTTCAACACTCAACTGACCATCCCCAGTGCTTCCCACAAGGGCATCGGCAATCTTCTCCAATTCCAACAGCGAGATCACCTGCTCCACATAGGCGAGTTTCTCTTCACGGGGCACCTCAGCAGGCCGGCGGAGCAGAGCACTGAATTGCAGCGCTTCTCGCACCGTGGTAGTGGGCTCATGGACGTCTTGTTGCATACAAAAGCCGCAGGATCGCGCAAATGACAGCGGGTGCGGCGGCGCGCCTCCGAGACGAATATCGCCCGTTGTGCGGCCCTCGGATTTCCGCTGAGCAAGGTTATCGAGAAGGGTGGTCTTACCCGCCCCAGAAGCTCCCATCAATGCAGTCAGCTGACCAGGCTTGACGTAGCCAGAGACATGATCCAGGAGCTGTTTCTCCCCGCCTCCGACCGTGACCGTGTAACAAAGGTCCTCAAACGTGAACGAGGCACGGCTCACCGATGGCGGAGTCTGACACGGCAGAGGGCTGGCCCCGACCTCGTCCACGTCGGTTTCTGACTGCCCAGAGACAGACCTTTTCTCCGCTGCGCCATCGTCACTTGTTCCCTTGCTTTCCCTCGGCCTCTCGCCTCGCTGCGGGATGGCGGCACCACGCTTGTATACCGGACCGGTTGCATTACCACTGTCTCGAGTCATGAAGGTCAGACCCACGGCACCAAGCACGGTGTAAAGGAACCAAAAGACCAGGATGATTCCGAAGTTTCTCCAAAGATGGGCGCGGGTATAGCCATACATCGTCTCTGCATAGACGGCGGCGTCCACGAAGGCTGAACCCTGCTGCGCCCCTGCCATGGGACACGCCTGGTAGCGGATATCATCGTAGCCCGGTCCGTGAGGAATCAGTTGCGAGTCGGTGCAATGGAGCTGCATGTGGTAGAACTCGTTTCCAATCATAGCCTCCACGGCGTAGGGAGTAGGACTCACGCGGCGGATCCAGGAGCCCCAGCGATGCATGGTGGGCACAGGTGGAGCATATCCGGAATACAGACAGGCGACCGGTAGAGCACAACCCGCCAAGAGATGAGCAATATTGAGACCTGGAGCCCAGGCGCCCAACATGCGAAACATAGTCGCAATAGCGGAGTAGTGTGCAAAAATGATGAGGAGGAAGGTGAAGAATTGCGAGGCAGTCTCACTGAGCCCGATGAGGAAGTAGTAGCAGCAAGCAAATACCGTGGTTTGGATCAGGGCGGATGGAATATCAGCGATGGTCTGGATTACCGCATAGGCGGCCGGATGAAGAAGGCCCATATTATGCTGCTTGAGTAGAATGGCGCGGGCATTAACGGTTTTGCCCACCTCAGTCAAGGCATTGAGACAGAAATATGTTGCCGCAAAGAAGAGTGCACCGCTCCGTTCAAACGAGCCCGCGGCGGTGCGCGGAGCGGCATAGAATCCCGACCCGGTGATGAGTGCATTCAAGATACACAGAATCAAAATGGTGAGCAGGGTCCTCCAGTCGCCCCAGAGCAAGCGGTAGGTTCTTTCGGTGCCCACCGCGATCTGCTTGAAAATTGTCGCGGGCTCGACGGCGTGTTTGTAGGTCAATCTCGATCGCAAACCACCAACATCGCTTCGCAGAGCCGTCAAGGCAATCGGATCCCTCTGCGCAGCGGTATGGTATTGAATCAGCTCCTTCTGGAGTTGCTCGTAGTGTGTACTGCGCTTGAAAGCCTCCGCAAGACTGTCGGGGTCCAGGTAGAGAGGGCCCGCATAATCTGAACGAATTGTGCGATCGACCGGGGAGGTTACCGAGGTGAGAAAGTCAGGGGTCGTCTGGCGCTCAGGGCAGTAGAACCCCAGTTCTTGGAAATATTGCTTGGCCATGTTGATCCTGCCACTGAAGATCATCCTCCCATCATACATTACCAGAACACGGTCGAAGCACTCCTGATACATATCCTCCGAGACCTGGTAGAGCGTAGCGATGTTTGTCATTCCCGTCGCCCGGGACATGCGCTTGACCAAGCGAAGGAATTCCAGAGCCGAGGAGCTGTCCAGCCCACGGATCGGGTTATCCCAGCTCACCAGGGTGGAGTTGATCGTCATCGCTTCGGCGAGGGAAACGCGGCGTCGCTCACCCCCCGAGACACCTCGGATGAATGCATCGCCCACAATGGTGTTTTTCGTATGCCCGATACCAAGTGCATTGACCAATCGCTGTGTATACTCGGCGGAGAACCGTGAGTTACGACCAGGAAGGCTCGCCGGCTTTCGTAGCTTGAGAGCAAAGTCCAAGGTGTCTGCCACGGTCAAGGTCGGGAAATGGATATCATCCTCCGAGGAGTAGACGACTTCTGACTTCAGCTCGTCGGTCATATCTTCCGCCCTCAGTGCTCCATAGTGTACCTCCCCCTGGACAGCATCAAACGACTCGCGGGTGTTGGCAATGATCTTCAGCACGGTGGTACAACCCGCTCCAGGGCGGCCGAGGACCAGCATGGTCTCGCCCGGGAATAGCACCCCGGAGACATCCTGCACGATATTGCGACGAGCGGGTGTGTGTCGGGAGATGGTAGATCGAAGGAGCTGCCACGGTGAGCGGAGAATGTCGAGGAGAATCTGCGGGAGGTCAGGCACGGTCCGTTGACCACCGTAGGGGCCCTGAGCGGTCACATTCTCGAAGGCCACGCCCAAGGCACGTCCATCATAGCGATAGATCGGGAGCTGATTGCACGAGTCTGCTTGCTGTTCGACATCGGGAGAGTCTGTTGACATGTTCAAAAGTCAGATTAGCCGTGGGCTGGAAGGATCACGGAACGAGGGATAGGCAAACTCAGTCTCTTTTGTTACCTTTGAGAGCGATTTATAATCGAGGACAACTGCCAGAGCGCTGCACTGCGTGTTGTGTGTATGCGTTATGGAGATGGGTCAGGCAGTGGTGGGGATTGAATTCGGATCGGATGCTCGGATATTGAGGTCTGATCCGCAGTTTGCTTAGTTTGATCTCCACTTCCTGCACGGACTCCCACTCCCACCCCCGAGCCGGTGGGATGCGTGCCGTGGCTTAGTAGTTTGTAGTTCGGAGACAACACCAGACAGTTCTGTATACCAGTTGACTTGGTGACTTCAAATATCCTGTTGTTCAATCTATACAGGAAGACTAGGAGTCAAAACTGTCTGGGTCAGGAGATCCTACTATCGATAACGCTGCAGAACGTTCCTGTCTTGATCCTTGATCATTGACCGATCAGCATCTAACCACTAATCCACGATGTCTTTATAAATCCATCTAGTCATGACCTCTACTACGCCTATGCATGTCTTACTTCATCTTGACCTGGATTATGAATGGTGTCTCTATAGTATGCGATTGGGCGACCTTGTTTCAATTCTCGTCCAGTTGATCCGAACTACTTACTAGCATAATATGTCTTGAGCACGGAGCTGTGCTTGCCAGTTTTGTTCATCCAGGATGGATTCAGTTAGATCAAGGTCAATGTCAACAGTAATGAAATCTCCGAGTACATGAAGGCCAGCTATGATATTCAGTCAGTAGTACCCCCGTTCAAAGTAAGTACTATGTATACTAACTTCCCAGCAACAACAATTCATGGTCACGTGCAGCGGAACTCGGGTCAAGCCAGCAGCCGAGGACCACACTCTATCGCTACTCCGTACATTTCCTTCTACCTGTAACTACCATCTCCTCCGATTTCCGATCCTGTTGCGCAGTATGAAACGCGTTATTGACATATGATTACACCATCAACTATTTTCGTAAAGGATGCTGCCTCATAACTCAGTCTCCTCAAGCCCATCGTCACCACCGCCTCTCCATGAGCGGCCGCCCGGTGCTCGGATCACACGTGCCTGTGAGCGCTGCCGCTCCCGAAAAGTCCGCTGCGATGGCCATACTCCTTGCGCCGGCTGTCGACCGCGAAATTTCCCCTGTATCTACCGATCCGCCACAAGACCGAGGAGGCAAGGAAAAAGAAGGTTGCTGGATAGTCGATCCGCCATCTCGGCGGAAAACGACCCGCAAACCCGTTTGATTGTGCCCACCTCCGCTTCCGCCTCTTCCGCTGCTGCCTCCCGACCCAACACCATCGATACCACTCCCCAGCGAGTCCCCAATGATCCCGTTCAGTTCAAACGACACCGCGAACTACGCGCTGGAATTGGTGTCTCCAATGTCGATACCGGTTCTTTCCAATTCTACGGCCCCTCTTCGCATTTCTGCTTCATCCAGCGTATGTGTCAGCGCATCGCGCGATCCACACATGAAACCATCGTTACCCCGAATAACGCGGTGCCGGATGGCGTCCGCAAATGGAACCTGGAGCGCTTTATGTTCTGTGTCAACGGGTGTCAAGGTACAACCGGACCGCATGCTGCCTACATCTCGCAGGAGGTAGGAATTGGCCTGATTGATTCGTACTTCGAGATTCTCCACCCGCAGATCCCCGTGCTGAACTACTCCGAGATCGTCGACCAATGGAAATCTTTATGGAAGCCCCCAGCGCAACAAAAGCTCGACAAGCGTAACGAGATTCTTTTTATTGTTCTGGCTATCGGCGCCCGCGTTACCATCGCGGCGGGCCAACAGGAGACCTCGTTGCTAGAAGGATGGGCGGACCATTTCGCCGCGCAGGCAAATCCGAACACTGCCGTCTTGGAGGACCCCAGTCTATCCACCACGCAATTGCTGCTTCTGAGAGCAATGTATGCCTACCAGGTTATGCGGCCGAATGATGCCTATTTGTACCTCGGCCACGCCGCTCGCAATGCCATGGTGCTGGGATTCAATCGATCCCAGGTCATGGACGGGACCAATGCGACTGTCCATGCGCTTAAACGCACCTTCTGGACTGTCTACGCCCACGAACGCATGAACGCTCTTTACGCCGGCCGTCCATCTGCTTTTCGTGACGAGATGATTGATGCTCCATATCCTGAAGACCTCCCCTTACCCACCACGACGGACACATCGACAGACAGCAGTGACAGCCACCACGGCCCAACTCGGCTTTGCGGCTTTATACGCGCCATGGCCGGCGTCGCCCGCGTTGCTGACCTGGCATTCGTCAAAATCTACTCCCCTGCCAGCGTCGCCAGCATGGCACAAATCGCACTGTTGCCGGCAGCGGTAGCCGGGATCGACGGACTGCTAGGCGCTGTAACGCGCGACCTGCCCCTGTACCTCCAGTTCTTCGACGCAGCCTTACCAATCGGCTCAGGCTGGCAGGAAGTTCAACGCCTGACGCTGGGCAGTAATTATTATCAGACGCAAATGTTGACACATCGTCCGGCCTTGCTCTTCAGGGCCTTCTTCGCCTCGCTCGACGAGGCTCAGCGGCGTACAGGCCACACTTTAGAGCTAGAGCACTCTATTCAGGAGACCTTGACCGCCGCAACGAACATCATCAACTTGACTCATGACGTCTATTTCCGGCGGTGCCCCCGCGCACGCTTCGACGGGTCTTCGGCTACTATCATGGTCGCTGCCGCTGTCACCCTACTGTATGATGTGCTGGATCCGACGACGGGCGCGGAGCACGCGCGCGAGGTATTCGCTACGGTGGAACGGGCCGTGGAGTGCCTGGATCAGATCGAGCATGTCGGTCCCACCTCGGGGAAAGCCGTGAGTCTGGATGTGATGCGCATCGCGAAGGAGGCGTTGCGAATGACGACAACGGATGTCGAGGTCAACCAAGATTTCATTGGGACGTTTCCGTGGTTACAGTGCGTTCTCGTGTCTTTCTTTCGCTGTCCGCTCAGATCATTCAGAAAGACTTACCATATTTCGCAGGTATAATCTGCTAGTTCCACCAAACAGCGCCGCTCTGCCGTATGAGGCGCCACACCCCGATCTTGGAGCAGTACCTGTCTCCACCCAGGGCCAAGGTCACTTATCCTCCGCCCCGGATACCGTACCACCGCAGGACCCTGCGCTGCACATTCCGGCCACGATGCCAAATTACATGTCCTACTGGCTGGAAGCGGGCTTCTCCCCGGAGAACATCCCAAGCTCCTTGTTCTAGTCGTCTCGAGTTTGATGTGTTAGGTAGATACGGTAGAAAGAATAGAACACCGTTGAGTCACGGTACTAGTCGCTGCGCTGGAGGAACCTATCAACCAACTGCCTGCAAATTCTTTTGCTTCTTGACAACTCCTAGGCACCTCACCTGTGTATGGACTGCGAGAAAGAGAAAATCGTATATCTAAGATAAACTAGCATTGTCTCGAGCCCAATAACAAGCATTCCTCCATCTGTGCGTCTAATTTTGATACACCGCTGAGAGACTGTACCTAGATAGTTTGGAGAGAGCATCTATTTTCAAGCTCCCACTCGATAGGTCAAGCTTCCTATTGCCACCAGCTAATAACAAGTCAATCGGGTCAAGGGGGGCACGATCAGAAGAATTAGTAAATTCAGTTGCCGCTCTCGGCGCAGAACCACAGCCCCGACGAACGGAGCCCTGAGTAACTCGATTGATAATTAAGACAACAAAACGGAGAAAGTCAAAGACAACATATTAGCTTCCAGGAAACGATAGGCCGAGAGGAGAAGGGATTGTTTGTAAGCTCTCACGGCCCAATATGTAAGCATGCGGAGCGCGAGGATGTACTGTACTGAACACGAGCACCCGATCCGAGGTGAATCTATGTCTATCGTGCCAAGCCTGTCCCGGGTATTCGGCTCCCACACGAGAGATCCGAGCCCCGAACCAAATTACAGCAAACTTGCAAGTACGTGCGCCGTCGAGTTTGTTGACTTACTCAGCTGCAACCTTAATTAAGTTTCGCTCCATTTGTCAAGCGTTCTTAGTAATTGAGCTTAACTTCCAGCATGTGGGATGCCTGCACAGCCCGGTATAAAGCACCTCTATCGCATGGAGCCCACTACCCAACGTCCGAGAAACAGAACGTCCCCACCGTATAGTATCTTTACCATTCTCCAACCAGCAAAGAATAGCATTGACCACGACCAACCCTTCCAATTCTCACCCACCTCTTGTCTCACAAGAGAATTATCACGATGCCGTTCGCCACCACATCCGACAACCAAGAAATCTACTACGAAACGCACGGCCCCGCGACCAGCGCAACCACGTTAGCGTTTGTATCCGGCTACTTCGGGATCACCGCGATCTGGCACTCGCTGATCACGCGGCTCAGCGCCCGCGGCTACCGCTGCATCGCCCACGACAGCCGCGGATACGGGCGCTCCGCCAAGCCGACCGCCGAAGAGGCGTACAGCATCCCGCGGCACGCGGAGGACGTGCACGCCGTCCTCGCTGCCGCCGACATCCCCCCGACATCCCAACTGGTGCTGGTGACGCACTCGATGGGCGGAAACATCGGGGCGGCGTATTGCCTCGCCCACCCGGGGCGGGTGGCCGGGCTGATCCAGACGGGTACCTATATCGACGGGGCGCGCATCCAGGCGATCCTGAGCTACGAGGCCCTGACCTCTGGGGTGGAGAGCCCGAGCAAGTGTGTGGCGTTCTATACGAACATGGGGCTCGAGGAAGCGACGGCGCTGGAGGCGGCGAAGTGGCCGGCCTACTGTCGGAGATACAACGCCAGGGCGTTGTTGGGATGGGCGATCGGGGATGATCAGTATGCCGACCTCACGGTTCCGGGGTTGGTGGTGCAGGGGGAGTTGGACGCTGCGACGCCGGTGGAGCTGCTGTGTCGGCCGATCGTGGAGGCGATGCCGGCGTGTCGGTTGGCGGTGTTGCCGGGGGTGGCGCATTTCCCGCCGACGGAGGCCCCGGAGGAGGTGGAGCGATTGGTGGTCGAGTTTGTGCGGGGGTTGTGAGGGGTCTGGGGGCTGGGTTTGGGATGGATGCTGAGCTTTTGACTGTAACATTTCGATGGCACAAGTCGATGTGTCGAGCTATCAATTCTTATTGTAGTGGAATATTGCTTTCTGATTACAGTATACTTTTCCAACCCACGTAGCCTTGCTATATATAAGATTTTATCAGACGGGATATTTCTACCCGTTTTTCAGGTGATTTCTGTGTAATTGGTTATTTAAATAGTATTAAAGTCCCTTTATAGCCATTGTTCTATGGGAAGAGAGCTATATCTGCTGATAGTTATACTAGAGAGATACACGAACAACTGTTTAGTAGTTGTAAGAAAAGCGTATACAATATCAGCAAGGCGCGGAAATCAGCTATGGGGGACCTGGTTATAATGAGGCCTTACAGGTACCTTGTGATCTATTCTGAATCTTTTACTTCGGCGGGGGAGGGGAGGTGACAGATGGACCTCCTGCCCTGCGAGAAAGAAGGAATAGGAGACCCTCCGGACTTCCATTCCTTCTTTCAAGAGACCTCGGTTTTGTGCCGGTGCAATTTCTCGCCCCACGCATTCGACAGTTGAGAAAAACCTGCAGTACCCCACTCCTACCGGACAAGATCTTACATAGGACCTAGGTAATCAGTATCTCAATGTGCAGGCTGTATTGTACACTCCGTAAGAACTACCAGTACGTAGACACAGGACGATCAGGTCGTCGACAACAGAAAAACAGACGCTTCAATGCCCCCCCTCTCCCAACACATGTCCGAGTTCCTTCAGGACTAGAAAGATGTGGCTTTCCAGAATTTGTGCAGTTCTTCCTTGTACTCCTCGTCGCTGCCCGAGAAGGGCCAGACGTTTCCAGAGCCCAGGATGGATTCCGCCTGATTGGTTGGTGGAAGGAAGTGTCAGTAAATCTCTCTCCGGCCATGACTCCCCTTCTACCGGACTCACCTCTTCTTTTGAGATGGACGTCTTGTAAACGTGGAAATCGCGCGACCAGGTGTCAATACACGCATAGTGTTCGGTCGCGTACAGCCCGGCGCGGGTGGGAAAGTCGCCCGCGCTGCCGCCATCCCCGTAGCACCAGTAGTGCTCTTCTCCGTCCTCGTGGAAGATAAAGATGGCCCACTTCCCCATGGTCTTATCACGACTATCCCAGGTGTTCAGTGTCTGCATGGTTGATCAGGGTCTGTCGCTGAGAGGATCGAGGGTTGGCGGAGTGGCCTTCTGTTTTCTGATTCGGAGGGGCAACCTCTTGCTTGGCATGATTATGAGATGCTGCGTTGGTTGGTTCATTGCGCGAAATGCAGATTGCTTGCGAGGAGGCTTGTATCACCCTGATCAGTGTCCTGCTCTATTACAATCGTTCGTGGGTCATGGAGCTCCAGCCTCACCGCGTACTGTACATTGTTCCGCCGCGATTCGCATAGTATGGCTCGGAACGGAAGCCAACTTGAAGAATCCGATCCGAGACTATTCCGTTTCCAGCTTAGCGCAGTAAGGAGCTCGGGATCCTGCCCGGCATTTCCGCACTTCCCTCCATAGGAGCCTGCGGCTCGATAGGTGGTATCAACAATGTTCCAATTTGACACTCTATTGCTAGTAGCATCCTTGTTAAGAGAATTCAAAGTTGGATGGGAGCTCTTCGGTCAGTAATCTTCGTCTCATCTTAAGGTATGAACACTGCGATTCACCAAAACAATAGCCGTCTGTTTTTCTAATAGGGAAACTGTAGGGCTCCAGACCTTACACTCATTTACAGTTTATACCCGGCTTCTCCTTGGGCTTTCACTTTCCTGAAGCTCGAACTAACTGACTTATGACTATCAACACCCTTTGGGTGGCCGGTTTGTTTCTCACATCGCAGATATCACTGATCCTAACATCCATAGTCCTTGCCTCATCTACGCACAACCCTCACAGTGCTGGCGACTTCATCTCTTCCTCACCGTCGAGCTGCGGGCTGTCCTGTGCACGGCACATATCTGCGTCTTCCAAAGCGACCTCCTTCCACGCCCACGCGAATGCCCAGACCAGGGCGGAGAGACAGACCGCCACAATCAACATGAGCTTGTACGTCTCACTGTACGCGGCGTTGATGGCGTCGCGCACGGCACTGCCGACGGGGTACGCCGTCTGCACGTTCAAATCCTCGTAAATCTCGTCGAGGAGGGGGCTCTGTGCCTCGTTTGCGGGAAGATCCCTGCGCAGCATACCGGGGAAGATCGCCTGCCACATGGCCGAGCTGATGGTCGAGCCGATAGCTCTACCTAGGTCGGATACCATGTTCTCCACGGCGAGAACGGCGGGGAGATGTGGTGGCGGCGATGAAGACGACGACGAGGAGGAGGCGACGGTCGCCATCAGCACGACCGGGAACAGAAGGGCCATGGTGCCGAAACCGAGGGAGACCAGGATCTGGCACAGGACCACGTACGCGATGCTCGCGCTGGCGCGGCGGAAGCGGATCATCAGCCCGACGCCCAGCACGATGACGGAGCCGCCGAAGTAGATGGCCTGCGGGCGGACGCGGCCGTACCGGCGGAGGAGCAGGCCGACCAGCAGCGCCCACAGCGAGGCGCTGACGGCCCAGACGTTGGTGACGTACGTCGCGGCCAGCACGCTCAGGTCCCACACCACCACCAGCATGGAGTAGAAGTAGCTCTCCCACACGTACAAGGCGGTGAACATGGCGAGCACGGCGGCGTAGGTGACGACAATGTTGCGGTGGCCGAGGAGCCGCCACGGAACGACGCCGACGGCGGCCCAGTGCCGCTCGTAGACGCCAAAGGCCAGAACGAGCAGGCCCCCGACCACCAGGAAGCAGACGACCAGCGGCGCGCGCCAGTCCCCGGGCTGGTCGGCGGCCAGACTCACTCCCAGCAGCAGCAGGGCCAGCCCCGCGCAGAGCAGCAGCAGCCCCACCACATCGACCTCCCGGATATAGTGGGCCAGCCGCTGGCGATTGGAACGCGGACCGGCGTCGTCTCCCCTCGATCCTCCTGCTGAGGGTCACTGTGGAAGAGAAGCCATGCGAAGGGGCCTGCAACGACCGGGACCACAATGGCGAAGAACCCCAGCCCCCACCGCCACCCAACGGTGTCGAGCGTTGCCTGCGCGGCCGGCCCGTACGCCCAGACGGTGAGGATGTTCGGGGAGGAGGTGAAGGCGATCCACCACGCGCGACTCGCCAACGGCGCGGTGTCGGCGATGAAGATGGTCACGCTGAAGGTGATGCCGCTGGAGCCCACCATGTAGAAGATCTGGGCGGCGCTGTACATCTCGACCGTGGTGCACGCCGCCATCAGGACCATCCCCACCGTGGTGCACAGGGCGCTGAGCGCGAAGGCGGGCGGCCGCCCCCAGAGTTCGAGCAATTTGGCATAGGGCAGCTTCATCAACCCGCCCAGCAGGCTGGAGAGGATGGTCGTGGTCGCCGTCACCGAATGCGCCGCGAAGGAGCTGCAGGACCCCGCATCAAAACTGACGAGCTTACCTAACAATCAGCGCACGGTAGGTCTCGCTCCGTGGTGACCAGCAGGCTTTTCTCCAGGACATGTTCAGTCATGATACGATACGACTCACCGGTTGCGTTTCCATCCCCCGAGGAGAAGATTGCGGAGGTGCCTTCGAGGCAATCCGTCGACAGTTATGCCGTTCACCTGGGCCTCTGTCGCATGAACAGTCTTCGATCGGCTGATGGCCGGTCAGGGAACCATGTAGACTCTAAGAATTCCTTGCGAGGAGGACTGTAGCTTCGACAATGGCAGCTCACCAGAGTCCCTCTGTGAAACTTGTCACAGGTTTATCTGATTTAGTTGCTATGCTGGCGATTCCAGATAGACCGGATGGTATGGTGAGGAATTGTTGGAGGAGTGGGGCGTCCCCGGCAAGCCCTAAAAATGGAAAAGCCGAGACCTGATGGACTGTGACGGGGAAGCAGCCTTTCGGTCATGCTCCACCATTTCGCCGATTTAAGCTTGTTCTCACTGGTTAGAGTTTTATTATCCGCGCATGCAGTGCGTAGGCGCTAAATGGCGTTAGTCACCGGAACATACGCTCCGCCACGCTGGCGGCAGAAGGGGGAAGGGAGACTAGGGTAAGTGTACCCCAAGACGAGGTCAGTAATGGACTCACCTGCATCAGAGCCGATTACCGTCGGTAGCTAGAACTCCTAGCATTGATATACACCTATCTTCCGTGTGCTTATACTGCGTGGCCTGGATACTATAGGGTGCCTCTGTGCTCGAGATGGAGCTGAAATAAACTGCCTTGTGCTCATGTCGGCCTACTGTAGGGTGGTGTCTATGTCGAGACCTGCGATCGCATCATACTTGTAGGGTTGTGTATCCACAGCATTCTCCCGTCTACCGATTCACGCCCTCACACCCTATCCACTATTGGAGGCAGCTGGCCACTTTCGACCAACTGCCGAACTTCCTTACAAGACCGTGAGTATTCTTCACGCGTGAGAGTCGGAGTGTTGTACTCGAACGCAATCCCTAACAGACGCATCTTTTGCTTTAATTGCTCCATGCGATCCCATGGATAGTCGTCCGGGTCTACATAGCCTAGCCAATCGATATACGGAACGAACTCTATCCGAATCGTCCGCAGCGCCTGGCCTTTGCCCGCCAAGGCGCCCTCGGCAAACGCCAGCAGCCAGCGCGCCTGTGGCTCGTCGAACCCCAACAGGCCTGGCCCCCAGAAATCTCCGTAGCTGATCAGGTCCCAGACGAACGTCCGCACTGTCGGGCTTAAGAGCTGATCAATCGCTGCGGCAGGACGCCAGTAAACGCGGGGATGCGTCTCGGACATGACGTGGAAGGGCGGGCAGACGACCGTGTGCAAGTTGGGGAAAGTGGAGGCCCGGAACTCCAGGCCCAGGGCGTAGAACGGGATCGCACCGAAGACCATGCGGCGGAGAGTGTGGGGGTGGGCCTGCAGCCAGGGATAGAAGACTTTGACGGTGGCGGGTGTGTGTGCGGGATTCTGCTCTTGAGGCGCTCGTCAAATGCCAGGCTGAACTCAACCAAGCCGCAAGTCGTGGGCTGTTGCAGAGCCGCATCATTCTATTGCCGATAAGGGGTACAGGTTAGCCTGCGTGGTCTTTACGCTTCGAGATCAAAGGCATTTTGGGGAGACGGCATCTAGCGATGTGAATGAACCAGGAAAGACAGGAGGAAAGGGGGGAGCGAGAAAGAAAAGAATGATATCGGGACCAGTGGAAGGATAGGGACGGACCTGTAAAGAAGCGTAAACCTCGTGAGCCTCTCTTCTGATAGCCGACGGGGTTGTTGGGTCTGTGCCGGGCAACGCACGCAGCTCCGCATAGCCCTGCAGCTGACATTCAAACCGGCCCCCGAAGCCGTCACAAGGTTCATTGATAACGCCCATCAGTTCCAACCTCCGTAATGCTGGAAGGTGCCGGAGAGCATGCTGTAAGAGCTCCCATTGGCTGATCACGATAGACTGTCCAGGCTCGAGTGGTGATTGAAGGCGTTCCTGGCCCTCGGGCGACCAACCTACCTCCACCTCACCCTGGATCCTTAGCATGTGGACCTTGGCCCCACAAAAGAGGCTTAACACGTCGGCTGCAGCCGCATAGTCCGCGAGTGAGATGCAGGTCTTGGTCCGATCGCGCTGTAGGACCAGGACAAGAGATCGGGCGGGCAAGAGTAGGCTCGGGTCGGACCGCAAGGCGCGGTATAGGCAGTTCGTTCTTCGTCCAGACGGGTAGCAAAACTCCAGTTCGCGATACAGCAGGGGAACTGTGAGGCGGTAAATTCGCTGACAGGTGAGGAGAAGGGCAATGATGCCGGTACCTGAAGGCCGGATGCCGAGTCGCCGTTCGAAAGAAATCCGGCCTAGAATAAGGCCGAGGATCTGGCCTAGGATCTCGGGAGGGAGATTGAGGATGAATGACCGGGGCATTCTGTTTCACGCTCAATGTGGGGTTGATGAGAGAGAGATAGATGGGGGGGGGAACTAGGTTGAGTCAGACTGTCAGTCAGGCAGCACTGATTATTTGAATAGTTTCAGTTGTGGTAGATAATGCCCAACTGGTTAAGCACGGCTGGTTGCTGAGGTTGCTTGTATTCACAGAAGTCTGGAGGGGAAAAGAAAAAACGTCAGACGGATGGGAAATGATGATGTATGCCTTACACCACTTTCAAAGGTAGTTTCTGTTGGATCATTCACTACTGTCTGCCCCTCCTACTTCAGCAGCGTATTGTCTTCACTGATTCACTGTGTTACACTGCCATCGCCAGCCAGTATCCTCTGTCCCTCCAGCTTTCTCTTCTCTCTTTCTCTCTTTCTTCCACCCATCTCTCTTGCATGGGAGAACTCCCCACTCTTTCACATTCAAGGTCTTCCAGCTCTCGTCACTCCAGCTTGCTAAGCACTTCCTCGTGACACTCAGAGGTCTCCAGAACAGCTAGAACCTGAAGTATTCATCAGAAAGAGAACGAACGAAAGCAACTTTCGCATGACGAGGAAGATCATCGGCATGTTGCCGAAGGAGGAGGCTGTGAAGCCCTCCAGGATTCCTCCAGTGGCCTCCGGACTTCCGTACGTCTTATTCACCCAAGTAATCATGTCCTGTCAAGCTAATATATAGTCTGCAGGTTCTTCGCAAGCAAGATGGTCAACCTTAGCGTCGAAGCGGACGTCCCCATCTGCATCCACACCGACCTTCTTGCTGCGAAAGCCCCACAGTTCCATCTGTCCACGATCCGCGACAACAGACTGACCATCCTTGCCCGCTTTGTGGAATGGGCCTACACCGGCTACTACACCGCGCAGTACGATAATACCAAGCTCAACGTTGGCGTGGGCGAAATCCTTTCTACAATCGATGATGCGACCTTACATATCGATATGATCACCTTTGCAGACAAGTACGGAATCTCCGCGCTCGTCGCCTTGGCGCAGGACAATCTCAGCGCGGTCGCCGAAGATTTGTTCGAGAACTATCCCCGACCCTCCAAGGTCTCGGTCTTTGTGAATATTTGTGCCATAGCCGTTTCAGAGCTAGGCGCGAGCCATTCAGCCTGTCGGGATCTCGCCCGTTTCACCGTCCGCAACTTGGACGTCGTGCGGGCGGCCGACCTCTTGGACTCGTTTCTCGCAGACCATCCCGAGTTTGCGGTGGCCATGGTGAAGTATTTCGAGGGGCCAACTGCTGGCTATGAGGCTGATTCTTGTGGTTTGGGTCCTGGTCGCGATTTGGATAGCGAAGATGCTCTTTCTTGGCATCCCGATTCCTTCGTCGTGGGTCGTCGCGCTTCCGAGAGTGGGCAGAGTCGTTCGGTCTCAGACATCGATGATCCCTTCCGCGGGTGGCCTGTTGGTGCTCCTTCGGGTTCGACTGGGAATGATAGGAAAGCCTGCGAAGTTCCTTGGTAAGATCTGTTCGCGGAACTTGAGGATCTGAAGATCTCCAGTCTGGTAGTTACATATTGGGATGGTTGAGATTATGGTGCGCTTGGATTGGGGTGGTCTTGCAATATTGCGTTACTTGTGATTTAGTGGCATTTGCTGAATACATTGCCTTCAAAGAGAAGGTTATTTCCATCCCAGAGTCTGCCTGCTGAATCACAGCGTGACTATACGCTGATTCCGTACATTGGTCAATCAGCTAACCGGAGTAACGGCCCCCCTTGGACATTGCTTTCGAATTTATTCTAACCTTGTGATGGTTAAAGTCTGCGAGCAGAATACAAGACAAAACAGATAATTTTTTAATATTAATGTTGAGCCCTCAGCCACCCATTCACCTCTTCTGGGAGAGGCCTACACCCCTCATAAATTCCCACATCAACCCAGGAAGCAACCAACCCAACCAAGCTCAGTAGATCTTCCCTTCCATAACTTCTTCTTTTCCACACCACCACCTTGATTCTTTGTCCCAGCACTTTCCTCGCGACAAACTCCTTTATCTCGTGCTTAAGAACAAAGGTCCCACCCACCCTCTTGACAACCTCCCATCCTTTCTCCCATCCACATTCTCAAAACAAAGGTCGTTCTTCGCACAAAGAGCCCAAAATAGCAGAAACGAGAGTAAAACATCGAGTACTTTTTTACAACACTGACATCGCTATCGCAACAAGATTCACAACATAACCTCTACCCACATCATCAGCAACCTATCTCTCTCCTGCACTCGACACACACACACACTGCAGACCAGTATTCCTTCATCATCAACACGTTATCGTCCTGGATTCAAACGATAGACATCCAAATTCGTACCTCCGATCTCCTCTCATCTCATCTTTTTCCACTCGCCTGTTTACCCAAACGTACGCGTCGCTGAAATTTCGCTCTACGCTAGGTCCCCGAGATCCGACTCGGTGGATATTATCAACGTTCATCACAACCCATCACACTCGCAAATCGAATTGTTTCTCACCCACTTGAAAAGAGAAGAAATGGCCCGTCCATCGAAACAGAAACGCGCCGCGAGGATGCGGGCAAAAGTGAGGCGCGCGGCACTGCAGAAGCAGACACAGTCGCCCCAGAACACAGAGAACCAGCAGACTACAAAGGAAGAGATGCAGGTTACACATGAGGATGAGTTCCATACACCGATGGACGATGGGAATCATATGCCTGTGGGGATGTCCGCTCAGATGCTTGAGGTGGACTCTGCCAGCGAGAACCAACTTTCACACACTTCGGAGCAGGTGATGCAGTTTTTGAATAATGCCCACGTCACCGGGGGAGTGAGCGTCCGCGCAACACAGTATGAGACAGAATCTTCGGATGAGAACGAAGGTCTACAATTTTCTACACAGATTACACAGCCTACAAATGTTGCAAAGGAAGAGACCAGAAATGAAGTGAGCGTACTCGGTAGACAGCGCGAGAATCACGCGACCAATGATAAAACTCAACAACACACAAACCAGCAGACAGATCATTCGAAGTACATTAAGAAGGAGACGGAGGCCACCACACAACATGAGACGAACCTCCCTATCAATCCTCCCCAAACCATCAAGCAAGAAACACAACCTCCGACCGATACCGAAGAAACCACCGAGCGAGTAAGCATGCTGGCAAAGAAGCGCAGAAGGCGCCCGGTCCCAGTCCAAGCACCGCAACCCGCCCCAGAGCCTACACCAACATACAAATTCACATCACCGCCGACCCTCACCTACCCCAAGACCCAACCCACAATCGCCAATCCACGACCCCTAAAGGCCCCAAAACGCAAAGCCTCAGAGCCCGCCGAGAGCATCGACCTCAGCTCGCCCAAGAAACTGAGCCCCAAGAAACGCAAGGCCCGAATCGCTCCAGAGATCATCGATCTATCTTCAACCACACCCGCTCCAAGAGAGCACGGACAGAGGCCAAGCCCCAAGAACCTCCGGAAGCGCAAGCCCGTCGACCCGCCCGAGACGATCGATCTCCGCTCGCCGATCAAACGTGCGCGGATCTTGGCCTCCACGTCGCCTGGCAGGACCAGAAGTTATACGAAGCAAGCCGTCCACCCGCCACAGACGCAGGCTAAACCCAACGAAGACTCTCAGAAGGGGAAGGGAGGTAAACGGGTTGAGTGGGCGGACCGGGACACTCGCAAACAGACCACCGTTGCCTGCCAGGACTCGACCAGGATCAAAAAAGAGGATCAACCCCATCGCATCCGACGGGATAGAAGCCAGATGCGCAAACCAGCACACTCCCACGCCGACTCCCATCCCAAGGCTCAAGTAAAGGTGAAGCGCGAACCGACCTCGCACTCACCCGAAAACCCTTCCCCCGAGAACCAGACCGAGAACGCAACCCCCTTCTACACCCCCCTGCAACAAGCCCTCCTCTCCCAAACCCAAGCCGTGACCAACGCGACCTACGAGGTCCTCGAACGCCGCCTCGCCAGCACACAAGCCACCGCTGCGCATCGCGCGCGCACCACCCTCGCCACCGAGACCGAGACCGACACCGAAACCGACACCGACATCGACACCGACATCGACGCCGCGCACGACCCGATCCCGCCCCTCCCGCTCGGCCGGGTCCTCAACGTTGCCAAATACCTCGACACGAACGTCCTCTCCCGCCTGACGCAAACCTGCAAAACCCTGTACCGCAAACTGACCCACGAGCTCCAACTCCGCCAGGACACGACATCCATCCCAGACAGCGCCTGGCAAACGGAGATCCGGCTGGGCCTTTCCGACGCCGAAGGCCGACGGACCGTCGAATGGCTCCCGGGCACAGGATACTACCCTGGCCCAATGGAGCTGGCCACACAGCACGGTCGCGTCGACGACGTCCGCGCATACCTCCTCAAGGGGGCGGACCACAACTGCCTGAACGCGTACGGCATCCGCCCGCTCCGCTGGGCGGTCGCCATGGGCCAGCTAGGAGTTGTGCGACTCCTGCTCGAAGACAAAGCGGACCCGAACCTCCCCGACGAAGACGGCGCGGGGGGCGCCCTGGCCGGCCCATTCGTAGGGCCGGGCACGGAGACCGAGACGTTCATCGAGACCCTCCTGGACGCCGGGGCACGTATCACTTGCATGGACGCCTTCACGAACCTGTGCCACTCGCGCAAAGCCGCGGAGTACCTCAAATACGCGATCGCGAACGGCAGCGCCAGCGCCAGCGCGCTCGGCCACCTACGGGGCGCCGCGGGGACGACGGTTCTCCACGTCGCGGCGCAGATGGGCCACAAGGCCATCGTGAACATCCTGCTCCACGATTCGGAGGGGGTGGCCATCGACGCCGTCAACGACCACGGCCAGTCGCCGCTGCACCTGGCGCTGCGCGACGGCAACGAGGCGACGGCGCTGGCGCTGATCGACGCCGGCTGCGCGCTGAATCTCGCCGATAATTTCAACCGGGATGCGCTGGCCCTGGCGATCGAGAAGGGGTACGCCGAGGTCGTGCGCGCGATGCTCGAGGCGCCCCCCGCGGCCGGGGTGGATTTCCGGGCCACCCGCAAGTACGGCCATCGGCCCTCGGCGGAGATGACCCATCTCGAGGGCGCGTTTTCGTTTCGCCGGTTCGGTATCATGAAGCTGTTGCTTGTCGGGAGGGTGCATGTCGTCGATGAGGTGTTGCAGAGGCGGTGTCGCGAGTTGGCGAGGACGGATCCTACTTATGGGGAGCTGTGCGAGGATGTTTCGTTGCTCATGGGGAGTAGTATGTTGGGGTTTGATTCGGAGGAGGTGCAGACTGAGGTGGGGACCGAGGTTGGGGAGGAGTGATTTGGGTGAGGGGAAAGGTTGGATAACAGAAGGGATTGGATACGACCAGCGGGAGGACTTGGGATGGAGGGGGGTATAGGACTAGCAGGAGGATTTGGGATAGAAAGCGAGTGTATATGGTTTGGAGTTACTGTTAGTGTTGGGGCTGTAAACCCGAATTAGCGCTGCTTTGAGAAGAATAACGAAGTTGAACATACAAGCACCCAAAGAACTACTTGACCACCCACTACGAGAAGGTAGGAGAAGACCACAAGTCAGAAGCCACATGTCAAAAGACCGTCAATCATTATTCACCCCCATCTATACAAGACGAGTGAAGATATGTAAGTATGCAACGTAATGCAGTATGTACGGTATGTACTTCCCCCCAGTCCCAGTCCAGGTCCAGGTGCAGGTGCAGGTCCAATAGCCCGACCCCCCATTCTCCTCTCCCATCCCCCATGTATCCGCACCCCAAACCAACCCCAAAAGCGAAGCGAAGGAATATCACAACCCGCGCTTCTCGGCATCGGCATCACGATCCTTCCCGCCGACCACCACCTCCTCCGTCGTCACGCCCCCCACATCCCGCGCATTGAGGTACACCTCGCCCTCCTCGTCATCGACCGCGGCCTCCCACCCCAGCTTCTCCGCGCGGATGCGCTTCTGGTTCTCGGTGGGCCACACCCAGCAGATGGCGAAATAGCAGACGAAGGCGGTCACAAACGACAAAATCCAGCCGAGGTCGCCCATGCGCGTGGCGGTCGTCGACACGGAGGCGCCCAGCGAGCCGACGAAGCCCGGGAACGGGAAGGCGATGCCGATGATGTAGGCGATGACGGCCTGGACGTTCCACCCCTTCAGGTAGTAGTAGCTCTTGTTGAGCGGGGTGCCGTCGTACAGGGCGGGGATGAAGATGTTGCCTTTGGTGAAGCAGAAATCTGCAGCCGGATATTAGCATTAGCATGGTTGGAGGAGCTCAAGCTCATGGGGAGAGGTGAGAATGGGGGAAGGGTGGGGCATGGGGAAAGGGGCAAGACAAGGGAAAAGGGGCGAGGGGCAACGTACATTCACAAACCATAATGGCAACCACACTCCCCATGAACAGGGCGTAGCCCGACAGAAAGGTCTCGAACTTGGTCGCCGACGCCAGGATCTCCCACGGACACACCGCCCAGGCCAGCGTGTGCACGATGTACTGGCCGCGGCGCA